CTCCGCGGCCCCGCCGCCTCCTCCCAGCGGCCCCGGACGCCACCCTCTCAACGGCCCCGCCGAGCCGCCCAGCAGCCGAGCCGCCCAGCAGCCGAGCCGCCCAGCCGCCGAGCCGCCCAGCAGCCGAGCCGCCCAGAAGCCGAGCCGCCGAGCCGCCCAACAGCCGAGCCGCCGAGCCGCCCAGCAGCCGAGCCGCCGAGCCGCCCAGCAGCCGAGCCGCCGAGCCGCCCAGCAGCCGAGCCGCCGAGCCGCCCTGCAGCCGAACCACCCGAGCCGCCCTGTCTGGTAAGAGCAGCGCCTCTTTCACAGCCCTGCCCTCACCCTACTGTTTGCGCTGCTAGTCTACTGCTGTCATGGCTACCCCTAGTGTCCTCGCTTTTGACGCTGAGGGTCGGGCCATTGACTTTGACGTCTGGATAGATGACCTGCAGCTTTTCTTACAGTGCGACAGAGCAGACGGCCTCTCCCTCTTTGACCTCACTTCTGGTGCCTCTCCTGCCCCCGCTGCTGATGCTGACGCCACTGTTCGCTCACAGTGGGCCACGCGCGATGCTGCTGCACGTCTTGCTGTGCGTCGCCACCTGCCTACCTCTGAGCGTGCGCACTTTAGCCAGTACAAGAGTGCTCAGACCTTGTACGACGCTGTAGTTGCGCGCTACTCCTCACCTGCCACTGCTGCACTGAGCCGCCTTATGCTACCGTACCTCTTCCCTGACCTTGCTGCCTTTCCCACAGTCGCTGACCTCATTACGCACCTCCGCACTAGTGACACTCGCTACCGCGCTGCGCTTCCTGCTGAGTTCTGCGCCAAGAACCCCCCCCCCATGTACATCACCCTCTACTACATAGTCACCCGGCTCCCTGACTCCCTTCGCGTAGTCAGGGACCACTTCCTCTCAGTTTGCCCCACCACTCTCACCGTTGACCTCCTCAAGAAGTCCCTCCTAGCAGCAGAGAAGAGCATAGTAGCTGTAGGAGCCTCTCGTGGTGACCCTCGCACCCCCATCTTTGAGGGGTGTTCCCCCTCCCCCCTTTTGCCCTCTGTTGCCTCTGCTGCTGCGGCCGACCTCGTTGGGCTTGAGTCGGTCGGTGCGGCGTCTACCCCTAGCGGGAGACGCCGCCCTGGCAAGGGCAAGGGGGGCAGGGGCACTGGAGGGGCTAGCGGGGGCGGTGGAGGCGGCGGTGGAGGCAGTGGAGGGGGTGGGGGTGGCGGTGGGGGTGGTGGTGGGGGTGGAGGTGTCGGTGGCGGCGGTGGAGGCGGAGGCGGCGGCGGCGGTGGCGGTGGGAGCGGAGGTGGCGGCGGTGGAGGAGGCGGCGGCGGAGGAGGTGGAGCTGGTCGGGGTGGCGCTGCGCAGAGGGCCGGCTCCGGTGGTGGTCAGCGCCAGCAGCAGCAGCAGCAGCAGCAGCGCACTCGTGACATCCCCCCCCCCTCAGCAGCTCCGTGAGTGGTACGCTGCACGCCAGCGGGGTGGGGGTACTGGTCCGTGCACCTATGTCCTCCGCACCGGCGACCGCGCGGGTGACCAGTGCGGGGGTGCGCACTCCACCCAGCGCTGCTTTGGCCGCCGCGCGGGTGACCAGTGCGGGTGACTTGGTCTTTGCCACAGCTGACACTGCTGGACTCGCCCACGTAAAGTCCGAGCTGCAGAAGAGACACACGTGCACAGACCTGGGTGAACTGCGCAGCTACCTTGGCTTGCAGATCACCCGGGACAGAGCACGCCGCACCATTACCCTGACTCAGTCACACATGGTGCAGCAGGTCCTTCAGCGCTTCGGCTTCACGTACTCCTCGCCTCAGGCCACTCCTCTGCCTACTCGCCACTCGCTCTCAGCTCTGCCTTCGGATGAGTCCGTAGAGTCGAGTGGCCCGTACCCAGAGCTTGTTGGCTGCCTCATGTACCTGATGACCTGCACACGACCTGACCTCGCATACCCTCTTAGCATTCTCGCACGCTATGTTGCTCCTGGGAGACACAGACCGGAGCACATGGCTGCAGCGAAGAGGGTGTTGCGTTACTTGTGCAGTACGTCGGGCATGGGGCTTGTGCTTGGAGGGCAGAGTCCAGTGGTCCTCACTGGGCACGCAGACGCTTCTTGGGCTGACGACCAGGCTACGCAGCGGTCGTCACAGGGTTACACCTTCAGCCTTGGTTCCGGCTCTGTTTCGTGGCGGGCTACCCGCTCGTCTTCTGTTCTCGGCTCCAGTTGTGAGGCTGAGATCTACGCCGGGGCCATGGCTGCACAGGAGCTTCGCTGGCTCACCTACCTGCTGACTGACCTCGGAGAGCCGCCTCGTTCTCCTCCAATGCTGTACGTAGACAACAAGGCCATGCTGGCCTTGTGTCGAGAGCAGAGACTGGAGCACAGAACGAAGCACATTGCTCTCCGCTACTTCCTTGCTCGTGAGCTACAGCAGCGTGGTCAGCTGCGGCTTGCGTACGTGGCCTCTCAGGCCAACACTGCTGATATCTTCACCAAGGCACTTGCGCCTTGTGATCATCAGCGCTTCTGTACTCAGCTGGGTCTTGTGCCTGCCTTGCCTCACTTGCTCACCCCTTGACCTTGTTTGTACTGTTGCATATATATATACACCTGCTCTTGCTTGTCTAGCCTTATATATATATGTAATCCTGCATGTGAACTGGCCTTGTGGCCTTGAACTTGTGCTCGGAATGTGTGGTGACTTTGTGATCCACCCTGAGCTTGCTTTGCTTTGCTTGACTGGTCTTGTGACCCCTTGTTCTCCCCCACTTTGCCTATGGGGGTGTGTCAGATTTATATGACATTGCTACTGTAGGCTATAGTGGGGTAGCACATATGGGGTACAGTTTTCCTAGGGTTTGCATTTGTACCCAACTTTCCCTTAGTCATCTCATTCCTCGTTTCTTCTCAAAGTGTTACGTACTGGCCTATCCTTGCACAGATTCAGGCCATCAAACGCGCAAACAAGCGTCACGTGCTGCGTAGTTGTGCGAATGAACTCAAACCAGTTCCTATGGCTAGGAAAATGGATAAACTAGGGAACTGTGTGAAGAAATAGGGTAAAAAAAAACATATAGTCGATAAAACGGTGACATGTTGCGTACTGGCCTATCCTTGCACAGATTCAGTCCATCAAACGCGCAAACAAGCGTCACCTGCTGCGTACTTGTGCGAATGAACTCAAACCAGTTCCTATGGCTAGGGAAATGGATAAACTAGGGAATTGTGTGAATAATTAGGGCTAAAAAAGACATATAGACGATGAAACGGTGACATTTTGCGAACTGGCCTATCCTTGCACAGATTCATGCCATCAAACGCGCAAACAAGCGTCACGTGCGGTGTAGTTGTGCGAATGAACTCAAACCAGTTCCTATGGCTAGGGAATAGGATCAAATAGGGAACTGTGTGAATAAATAGGGCTAAGAAAAACATGCAGACGTTGAAACGGTGATGTGTTGCGCACAGATTCATGTCATCGAACGCACAAACGAGCGTCACGAGCTGTGTAGTTGGGCGAACGAGCTCAATCCAGTTCCTATGGATAAGGAATAGACTGAAGTAATTTATTATGTGATTTTAAAATGCTAAAAACAAAACCATATACAAGGAAGATAATACATCGACTACTACCAAGTATTTAATAATATTAGAAAACATGTCAATTGAATGATATAATAAATAAGTACACAAAAAACTAGACACTAGCATTGGCAAGATAATTGTTTTACGACTATCTCAATATCCACCAAATTATAATACCAAGCGTGTTGACAAAAAATGTAACATTACCAATTTAAAATTAATCGCACTGTTTGTTACAACTTCATGAAATATGAAAAGAGCGATGAACAGTTTGGTGCCGCGAAACCGTCTAGCTGAGCCTGCGGAGTTGACTTCAAGTGCCCAGAAACACGCGCACCACTTCAAAAAGCACGCAACACCCTAACAACACTCCCACGAATCATGCGAGCAACATTCTCGCATGATTCCCAACCCCTGGAAGACGAGGAAGACACAAACAAGATTCGCGCATGTCACAATCCCCTCCCCCCTGTTTTGCGATATGCGACAGGATGTTCTGAGTAATGAATGACACGCAGTGTCCATGCTGTCAGTCATCGACTCATCGTCAATCACAATGCAATCCAAAGCCAACCGTTCGCGAAACTCCCCATCAATTCATCAGCGAACCAAGTGTTCAAATTGCGTGTCTCGATTGGTTTCGCCCTGGCAACACAACCAGCATCGCCCAGTTTCGCAAAATATCGCGAAAGCCTGATCCGAATTTCCATCAGCATAGCGAACTCCCCAACGGCTATATGTTTTCACTGCCTGTGATAGTCACAGCTGTCACGCACAGGTCGCGTCGCGTGACAATTGAGTTACTCGCAATACGTAGTCCTAAACAGTCTGGAGCGTTCTATTACGGCCACCTGGAAATATTGCTTTCAGAGGTCGTTACTACAATGAACGACGGTTTCACAACGAACGTAGTGACGTTCGCGCTCGATAGCGCTGCTGAGTCAGATCCTCCGTCGCGTGACGAGTCCGTCAAGCGACTTGCCTGCTTTCAGCTTGACGGTCACCAGTCTCGCGGTCGACTTCTCGAAGCCTCGTACCTAGCTGGAAGCCGAGGTGGATAACTCAGATCCGGACGGTCGGTAATGGAAAATGACATGGGAGTTAACGACGTTCTTGTGATGTTAAAGCACACGTGGCGTCAGCTCATTAATCTAAACGGCCGAGGTATCACCTAATAGAGTACTTGCAACCTCGTGCTGCTGTCCAGTCAAATTAGAGGTTTCGGTGCCCACTCTCTACGGTGTGTGTATATTCAGACCGTTCTGGTTCTTTTTCCACTCAGGGGAATTTCGTTCATTCCACCCTAATCCTGACACATGGCTGCTTGTCTCTCCAAGAACCCGGCATTTCTCCATCTCAAGTCAACTCTTGACTGTACCTCTCCAACGGTTACTCGCAAGGGCCTCGCATATCCGTCGTCAAAACGAACCATGGTGGTGCGGTCCAGCGCCGACCAAACGGACGTCAAGCGCCAGCCGGCCGTCAAGGGCCAGCCGGCAGCCGTCAAGAGCGAGCGGCAGCTGACGGCGGAGGAGCACTGGGAGTGGCACGCGCCGCACATCCGCAACTGGCGCGGCGAGTGGAAGATCTGGAAGCCCGTGGACAGCGACGCGCTGCAGAAATCGTTCAAATCCGTCCGTTCGTTTCAGTTCAAGGATGAGGAGAAGACAGCTTTTGACCATGTGGTGAGTTGGTACTGAGCCAGCATCAGCGAGACTTGCTTGCTGAGTCATTTGTATGTCTAATATGACTCAGCAGGGATCTTAGGAACTCACAGCTTCATTCATGGAAAGTTACATGGACGGTCAAGGCAGGCAAACGTAATAGGTTTTTTTCTTTCACTCCATCCAATTTTCATCTACCCTGGCTGGCAGAATGACTGGTACGAGGAGAAGGGGGATCTGACTATGACTCCCTTGTCAGGGGTAACTTGGGAAATTTCCTGCAAAGAACACAGCCTGCCCGATGGCATCATGCACCCTGCCCGCCCGTCGCACCGTGTGCTGTGCGTCAATCCCAAGGGCGAGGGCGCGTGGGTGCAGCAGCAGTTCAGAGGGCCACAGGAGGGGCTTTACCTTGAAGCCTTCTTCAGCAAAGGTATGGTATGGAACGGTATGGTATGGCGTGGTATTTATGCTGTGGCATGTGGGGTGGTATGGTTCTACCGAAGCTGCATCAACACTTCAGAGGTGCCTCAAAAGTGCAGCAGAACTTCAGAGGGCCACAAGAGGAGCTTCTTGACGACTTCCCTAGCAAGGGTATGGTATCGAATGGTATGGTATGGTTTGGAATGGTATGGCATGGCATGGTATCATGCGGTATGGTATGCTGCTGCTAAAGCCGCATCAACATTTCAGAGGCACCTTGAGAGTGCAGCAACAGTTCAAGGGGTCTTATGGGAGTACTTTGGTGATGGCATGTGGTGTAGTATGAATGAAACCCCTTAAGTAGTTTTTTTATGTGCGATGCAAAAATATCGTCAGCAATGTTTTTATGTCCTCATGCCACTTTCATTGCCAGGAACACCCACTCACCTTTCTTGACCTCCTTCAGCATCACTGACTATTCAACACACACCACTCACTCCTACCCCACTCCACACCGCTCTCTCTTATACCTGTTGGCCGCACTGATTGCTGATTTCCCTCACTTCCAACTTCAATGCTTCCTACGTTTGAGGGAACTCTTAGACTCAGATTCCTTTGTAGTATGAAGCACCACCAACTGCTCACACTTCAGTTCATCGCTCCCCTCCCCAACCACACACTCCAGGTACAGAGGCTCAACTGAGCGTCCCGTTTGGATTCGATACCAAGGGAACTTTCCTGGCGTCTGTGATTGTCGAAGATCTTGCAAACTTCAATAATCTGCCTGAACCAACTTGACTCCTCACACGTTCACCTGTATCGCTCCCTACCCCACACATGCACTCCAGGCCCAGAGGCTCAACTGAGCGTTCCTTTTGGATTCGATTCCAAGGGAACCTTCCTGGCGTCTATGATCGTTGAAGACCTTGCAGGGTCTAAGGATCGGCCCGAACCTACCTGGAAGAGCAAGGCCTGGCCATCGCCTGTCCCAGACGTCCTCCCTAAAGAGTTCCCCGCCTTCAGTTCCACAGATCAAATCGCGGGAATCGAACAGAAGATTACTCCCAGCCTGGTAGCCTCCGAATCCATTTCCCTATGGAATGGCTACTGTGGGAAAATCGCAGATGATCATTCTGTGGAATATATGCTCGTGGCGATTCCGCTGGGTGTAGTTCTGTGTGTTCCCAAGAGCCTTGAGCTGGTGGTGGGAAAGCCATTTAGCATGTCTGCCACGTGGCATGTGAGCAGGCATGAGGTGAAGCGAGTGCTTGCTTCATACGATGCAACGGGGAAGCTGCTGGGGCTGTCTGGAGGTGATTACACCCACTGAAGATGTGAAACTGGGGATGATTGTCAGCACAATCCACACCACCTGCAGATATGGCTGATAGGGCATCTTTGTTGAGTTCACCGAAATATGTTTAGCTATGGCTGCAGTTGATTGGAGGATCATCCATCTTTAGATGGAACCTATGTTGCTATGTTACAATCTTGATGCCAATTAGTGTGACGGAGTGTTACATATCTGCAGAAACGAGGCACTTGCTCTCTACAACGGTAGGGGATGCGCCACGCCACTAACTCAGGTTAGCTCACATGTGCGAGGCAGTAAATGTAGGAGGTGATGCTTTGTGTTACCAGCTCGAAGCCAAACACTTCCACTCTGAGCAATCGCCCCATCCAGGAGAAAATCATCCATGCATGAATGTTGTGGAGTTGGTGGGATGTAGTCACAGGAAGTGCCACCAGACGGATATGGTTTTGACCAATGGCCACCGGTGTGTGTCTTGGTGTACGGCACTGCACCAGATGCCACCGGCACCACAAGTCTAGCTGGAATATTGGGCAGATTGACCGTTTATTGAATCGTTCCACCAGTGTGCATCACTCTGTCTTGGTGTAGGGTACAAGATCCAGCGTTGCATTGCCCGGACGTGAGAACACCACCTGCACTCAGCGCAACAGAGGGTTGAGATGGTTATTAGGATGTGGACATGGAAGGAATCCAGGTGCAAGACAATCAAACAAACGGAGAAAAAAACAAACCACAGAAACACACAGAGTCATCTTCCATTAGCCAGGTCAGCTGCAGCTGTTCACATATCACCTGAGTTTTCACCTGAAGAAGTCTCAGAGGTTTCATATGACTTCGCTAACCACAATCAAACCTTCCTGAAATCGCCTGAACCTTTCTGAAAACACCTGAGCCTCCTTGAACCTCCCGGAATTTACCTGAACCTCCCCGTGATTACTTGAACCTTCCTGAATTCACCTGAATATCTCCGAGTGTGCGAGTTTGGAAGCCCACAGCGCAGTAGACAAAGTAGTACTGCCACGTGCGGATGAACTTGGGACCGAAACCCATCTCCATAATCTCACTGGAAGGAGTAGTTAGGGGAGAGAGGGAGAGGGAAGAGGGATGTTTGACCAAATGCCGCATGCCATGCAGTGACATCCCAATCCCATCCCAGTGCCATCACAAATTTCAAACACACTGAATGCAAGTCCCTAACTCAAATCAACAGTCACTGTCGGTGTCATGAAGTTGTCGTGACATCTCAATGCCATCATCAATGCCATCATCAACGCCATCATCAATGCCATCATGAACGCCATCATCAACGCCATCATCAATGCAATCATGATCTCAAAGTCAACTCACTGCCTGTGCGCCATGAAGTTGTCGTGCCATCGCATGAGCGTTGTGGCATAGTGTGGCCCGATGTTCTCCAGCTCCTCCACACTGTATATGACAAGGGAGGGCACGTGGGGAGTGGAGAAGGGGGAAGGCAAGGGAGTGGGCAGGTGTTCAACACAAATTCGCATGAGCGTCGTGGCATAGTGAGGTAAGAGGGGCGACCAATGCTCTCCAGCTCCTCCACACTGTATATGACAAGAGGGGCGACCAATGCTCTCCAGCTCCTCCACACTGTATATGACAAGAGGGGCGACCAATGCTCTCCAGCTCCTCCACACTGTATATGACAAGAGGGGCGACCAATGCTCTCCAGCTCCTCCACACTGTATATGACAAGAGGGGCGACCAATGCTCTCCAGCTCCTCCACACTGTAAATGACAAGAGGGGCGACCAATGCTCTCCAGCTCCTCCACACTGTAAATGACAAGAGGGGCGACCAATGCTCTCCAGCTCCTCCACACTGTATATGACAAGAGGGGCGACCAATGCTCTCCAGCTCCTCCACACTGTAAATGACAAGAGGGGCGACCAATGCTCTCCAGCTCCTCCACACTGTATATGACAAGAGGGGCGACCAATGCTCTCCAGCTCCTCCACACTGTATATGACAAGAGGGGCGACCAATGCTCTCCAGCTCCTCCACACTGTAAATGACAAGAGGGGCGATCAATGCTCTCCAGATCCTCCACACTGTATATGACAAGAGGGGCGACCAATGCTCTCCAGCTCCTCCACACTGTATATGACAAGAGGGGCGACCAATGCTCTCCAGCTCCTCCACACTGTATATGACAAGAGGGGCGAAAAATGCTCTCCAGCTCCTCCACACTGTATATGACAAGAGGGGCGACCAATGCTCTCCAGCTCCTCCACACTGTATATGACAAGAGGGGCGACCAATGCTCTCCAGCTCCTCCACACTGTATATGACAAGAGGGGCGACCAATGCTCTCCAGCTCCTCCACACTGTATATGACAAGAGGGGCGACCAATGCTCTCCAGCTCCTCCACACTGTAAATGACAAGAGGGGCGACCAATGCTCTCCAGCTCCTCCACACTGTAAATGACAAGAGGGGCGACCAATGCTCTCCAGCTCCTCCACACTGTAAATGACAAGAGGGGCGATCAATGCTCTCCAGCTCCTCCACACTGTATATGACAAGAGGGGCGACCAATGCTCTCCAGCTCCTCCACACTGTATATGACAAGAGGGGCGACCAATGCTCTCCAGCTCCTCCACACTGTAAATGACAAGAGGGGCGACCAATGCTCTCCAGCTCCTCCACACTGTAAATGACAAGAGGGGCGACCAATGCTCTCCAGCTCCTCCACACTGTAAATGACAAGAGGGGCGACCAATGCTCTCCAGCTCCTCCACACTGTAAATGACAAGAGGGGCGACCAATGCTCTCCAGCTCCTCCACACTGTATATGACAAGAGGGGCGACCAATGCTCTCCAGCTCCTCCACACTGTAAATGACAAGAGGGGCGACCAATGCTCTCCAGCTCCTCCACACTGTATATGACAAGAGGGGCGACCAATGCTCTCCAGCTCCTCCACACTGTATATGACAAGAGGGGCGACCAATGCTCTCCAGCTCCTCCACACTGTAAATGACAAGAGGGGCGACCAATGCTCTCCAGCTCCTCCACACTGTATATGACAAGAGGGGCGTCCAATGCTCTCCAGCTCCTCCACACTGTATATGACAAGAGGGGCGACCAATGCTCTCCAGCTCCTCCACACCGTAAATGACAAGAGGGGCGACCAATGCTCTCCAGCTCCTCCATACTGTATATGACAAGAGGGGCGACCAATGCTCTCCAGCTCCTCCACACTGTAAATGACAAGAGGGGCGACCAATGCTCTCCAGCTCCTCCACACTGTATATGACAAGAGGGGCGGTGGCAAGGAGGGGCTGAAGTTGAAGGCCTTTGAGACGTCTCAAACGTGTTCCCCAGATCTTCCACACTGGGGAGGGAGAAGGGAAGAGGAAACATGGGAGAGGGTGGGCGTTCAAGATCAAGTGGACAAGTGTGGTGGCATAATGCGGCCTCATGTTCTCCAGCTCCTCCACACGGTTCTTAGGCAGAGGCGAGGTGGAGACAAGGGGATGAAAAGAAAGGGGGTTGGATACTGGGGTGATCGAGTGCATGCATGGCGCAGTGGTGAAGTACGCAGCTCCCCTGCTCTATCGTCGGCGGAAAGGTGACTTCTGATTCGGCTCCCACGACATGGAGTGCAGCTCCCACGACATGGAGTGCAGCTCCCACGACATGGAGTGCAGCTCCCACGACATGGAGTGCAGCTCCCACGACATGGAGTGCAGCTCCCACGACATGGAGTGCAGCTCCCACGACATGGAGTGCAGCTCCCACGACATGGAGTGCAGCTCCCACGACATGGAGTGCAGCTCCCACGACATGGAGTGCAGCTCCCACGACATGGAGTGCAGCTCCCACGACATGGAGTGCAGCTCCCACGACATGGAGTGCAGCTCCCACGACATGGAGTGCAGCTCCCACGACATGGAGTGCAGCTCCCACGACATGGAGTGCAGCTCCCACGACATGGAGTGCAGCTCCCACGACATGGAGTGCAGCTCCCACGACATGGAGTGCAGCTCCCACGACATGGAGTGCAGCTCCCACGACATGGAGTGCAGCTCCCACGACAAGGAGTGCAGCTCCCACGACATGGAGTGCAGCTCCCACGACATGGAGTGCAGCTCCCACGACATGGAGTGCAGCTCCCACGACATGGAGTGCAGCTCCCACGACATGGAGTGCAGCTCCCACGACATGGAGTGCAGCTCCCACGACATGGAGTGCAGCTCCCACGACATGGAGTGCAGCTCCCACGACATGGAGTGTAGCTCCCACGACATGGAGTGCAGCTCCCACGACATGGAGTGCAGCTCCCACGACATGGAGTGCAGCTCCCACGACATGGAGTGCAGCTCCCACGACATGGAGTGCAGCTCCCACGACATGGAGTGCAGCTCCCACGACATGGAGTGCAGCTCCCACGACATGGAGTGCAGCTCCCACGACATGGAGTGCAGCTCCCACGACATGGAGTGCAGCTCCCACGACATGGAGTGCAGCTCCCACGACATGGAGTGCAGCTCCCACGACATGGAGTGCAGCTCCCACGACATGGAGTGCAGCTCCCACGACATGGAGTGCAGCTCCCACGACATGGAGTGCAGCTCCCACGACATGGAGTGCAGCTCCCACGACATGGAGTGCAGCTCCCACGACATGGAGTGCAGCTCCCACGACATGGAGTGCAGCTCCCACGACATGGAGTGCAGCTCCCACGACATGGAGTGCAGCTCCCACGACATGGAGTGCAGCTCCCACGACATGGAGTGCAGCTCCCACGACATGGCGCAGTGGCGAAGTACGCAGCTCCCACTACCTTGGCAACGAGTGAAGTGGGCAGCTCGGCAGTGGCAGAGAGAAGGTAGACAAGTAAGATTCTGGCCGGGTCGTTTTAATTTGAAAGTGAAGTTCTTGGCCAGGCTGCTTTCACTTGAAACCTGAGTTCTTGACTCAGTTGTTCTCAACTGAAGGCGGAGTCCTCTGTCCCGTTTTTCCAGCTGAGGGCGGAGTTCCTGCCTCTGCTGTTTTCACCTGAAGGCGGAGCTGCTGGCTCTGTTGTTTTCACCTGAAGGCGCAGTTCGTGGCTCTGCTGTTTTCACCTGAAGGCGGAGTTCTTGGCCATGGCGTCGGTGAGAGCAGAGAGGGAGGGCACGCAGCAGCCGGGGAAGATGTACTCCTTGATGAAATCAGAGGATAGGCGGTACTCCTCGTAGCGGCTCTCTGGTGTGGTGATCACCTGATGGCGGATGGGATGGGATGACGGAAGAAATGGGTTACATTCGGATGGGTGCCGGGGGGCGGAACGAGAAAGAAGAACAAAGGACCGGCAAGTCATACAAATTAAAAAAATGGATGCAATTGAACAACCACCTCGGTTCGAAAGACATCTGAACAACCACCTGAGCTGTGAAGGCACCCGTACAACCACCTGAGGCTGAAGCGCATCTGAGCAACCACCTGAGACTGAAACGTATCTGAACAACCACCTGAGTCTGAAACGCACCCGAACAACTACCTGAGACTGAAACGCACCTGAACAACCACCTGAGACCGAAACGCACCCGAACAACCACCTGAGACTGAAACGCACCCGAACAACCACCTGAGACTGAAACGCACCCGAACAACCACCTGAGACTGAAACGCACCCGAACAACCACCTGAGAGTGAAACGCACCTGAACAACCACCTAAGACTGAAATGCACCTGAACAACAAGCTGCCCGTTCATTGTGAGCAGCCGGTCGCAGTGGTGGAAGAGACTTTTGAGACGACTCACAAGGCAGCTTGTTACAATGGCACATGAAACACACCTGAACAACGAGCAGCCCGTCCATTGCGAGCAAGCGGTCGCAGTGATGGAAGAAGTCTCCCAGGTACTCGTGGCCCACCGCCTCTAGCATCTCACTGATGGTGGGGAATGGGGAAGTCAAGCAGTTCAGATGGGGATCGCTTATGGGGGATCGCTTATGGGGGATCGCTTATGGGGGATCGCTTAAGGGGGATCGCTTATGGGAGTCGCAGTGATGGAAGAAGTCTCCCAGGTACTCGTGGCCCACCGCCTCTGGCATCTCACTGTGGCGGTGTGGCGGGGGAGGATGGGGGAGAATTTTCCAAGAAGTTGCGAAGGCACTGCAGAAAGAGGAAGTCTGGAAGAAACCGCCCAGGTACTCGTGACCCATCGCCTCTAGCATCTCACTGGCAGGGGGGAGAGAATGGGGGGAAGTTTGACAAGTTTAAAGATCTAGAAGTTCGGAAGGCATTGCAGACACGGGAAGCTTGAAGAAATGACCAGGGTTCTCCGTGGCCCACTGTTGAGGCGCCTCAAGAAAAGCTTTGAAGAAATGACCGAGGTACTCTGTAGCCCACTGCCTGGAGCATCTCACTGCGGTTCTCTTAGGGGAGTGGGGGGAGCAGAACGCATGAGAAAGGGGAAGCTTGGAGGAGACAGGAGTCAGGATGCGGTCGAACTTGCCGGGTTTTCAGACGTCTCAAGAACACTGGTTGAACGTGGTTCGGAGAGGGAAGGTGAATTAGTTGCACTACTGACCGCGGCATGGTGTCTTTGAGATTTTGTAGGAACCACCCTTTGGCTTGGAAAGGGAAGGGTACTAGGTTGCTTGCACTGACGCTGACACTGACACTGACCATGAGAGGATGCGATCAAATTTGCCGGTGCCTGGCAGGTTGCGGTAGTCACAGAGCATGAAGTTGATTCGATCCTGGTGGGGATGGGTAGTGCGGACGGGAGAGGTGGGGTGGGGATGAGTTGGTTAGCGATGCGGGGAGAAGGAAGGAAGGCAAACGATAAGATAACTTCAAGACGTTATAAACTGGCAGGTTGCTTGCGATAGTGACAGAGCATGCAGTTGATTCGATCCTGGTGGTGTGGGTGGATGTTGCGGAAGGGAGGGGAAAGAAGGGGATGGGTATGTGACGTGGGGAGAAGGGGAGGTGAGCAAGTTTTGGAACGACTCAAACTGGCAGACTGCTTGCAGTAATCACAGACCATGGAGTTGGTTTTCTCCTAGTGGTGGGGATGGGTGGGTGATGTGGAGAGGAGGGGAGTGTGGGCGCAAGCTTCTTTATGCATTGAAATGGCAGGTTGCGGTACCGCAACCAGCCAGGCATGCCCCACCACCGAGCCCCACACACTGAGAATGAGAGAAAGATTTCTACAACAAACGGCTAGGTTGCACGTGAGGTGAGGGTGTTTTTGAGACGTCTCAAAAACACCCTCACCCCACCACCGAGCCCCACCACCGAGCCCCACACACCGAGCCCCACACACCGAGCCCCACCACTGAGCCCCACACACTGCGAATGAGAGAAAGATTCTACAACAAACGGCTAGGTTGCAGACACACGCACAGTCCTGACCTGACTCCTGCCTGTGTGCATAGCTGCAGACCTGCCGCCTTGACTCGCTCAGTGGCGAGCTGCAGCAGCTGAGAGGAGAGTGTGATGCCCGTGTAGCGACACCCCGTGAGACTGAAAGAGATCCACATACTGAGACAGCCTACAATGACCCATGATCCTGCGCGCGTGCCTGCAGCCCTGCCCATGCACATACCTGCAGTCCTGCTGCTTTCACTCGCTCTGTGGCGAGCTGCAGCTGCTGCGAGGAGAGTGTGATGCCCGTGTAGCGACACCCCGTGAGGCTGACACTCAGACACTGAGCCTACACCACATGAGTAGCCTATGAGCATACCTGCAGCCCGGCAGCCTTGACTCTCTCAGTGGCGAGCTGCAGCTGCTGCGAGGAGAGTGTGATGCCCGTGTAGCGACACCCCGTGAGGCTGACCGTCTCCAGAGCCAGGCTGCCCCACCCGAACCCAATCTCCAGCACGTGGTGCGACGAGTCTATGCGCGCCTGGGGGTAAAGGAGAGGGGACGGGGATAGAGAAAGGGACTGTTAAGCCAAGCTGCCCCACCCGAACCCAATCTCCAGCACGTGGTGGGAGGAGTCTATGCGCGCCTGGAGGGATCATGTGTGGCACAATGCAAGGGAGAAGTGAAGATTTGTAAACACGCGAGACAATACACACAGCACAGCCCAGATGCCCCGCCCGAACCCAATCTCCAGCACGTGGTGGGTTGAGTCTATGCGTGCCTGGGGTAATGTGATGGAGATGGTACAGTAAGGTTAAGCACAGGGCAGCAGAGGCAAGTACTTTAGCCACAATGAGGCACGTCAGCTTGCGCGGCTGTGCGCCCACAAGAGACTGGCGGGTGTTTTTGAGAATTCTCAAAAACACCCTGCAGCACAATGACGTACCTCAGCTTGCGCGGCTGTGCGCCCACAAGAGCTGGCTCCTCGAGGATGGATGCGCGGTGAAGAAGAGCATGAATGAATGTACTATGATTCACTCACACCACACCATGAGACAATGTTTGAGGCTCCTCAAAAACCGCGAGCCATGAGACGATTTTTGAGGCGCCTCGAAAATCGACTCAACGACGGATGCGCGGTGGAGAAGAGCATGAATGTACTATGAATCACCCACACCATCTCAACAGGCTGCAGGTGCAAGACATCACCCTCCTTGGCAATGAGACGCAAAAGTCAACTCCCTAAGCATCCACTAGAGGCTCCTCTGGGATTCATTCTTTTGAGTCGACTTAAAAGTCAACTCCCTAAGCATCCACTAGAGGCTCCTCTGGGATTCTTTCAGTTTGCTATTTTTAAGGCGCCTAAAACAAAGATGGATTCACTCTAGTACCCAGCATGCGACGTTTGAGTCGACTCAAAAGTCACCTCATTTTAGTACCCAGCATGCGCCACAACACACACACACCACCACCACACCATCACTGCGGTGGCATCATGGTATGCTCCCAGTGAGCCTCTAACCCCACCCACCTTGGCAATGAGGCGCCTCAGCTTGCGCAGCTGTGCATCCACCAGAGGCTCCTCCGGTCGCTGAGCCATGCAGAGGGCGGGAGAGGAAAGAGGGCGGGTTAGAAATAGGGCAGGAGAGTGAGAAGAGAGCGTGGGAGACAAAAGAGGGAGGGTGGAAAAGAAAGAGTTTCTGGGAAGGCAGTTAAGAAGGATGGATACTAGTGGAGCTGGAACGTGAGCAAGGTATGGAACGAAGACAGACCTGGAAGATGGCGCATGAGTAGGTCATGGTTTCGTCTAGGAAGGTTTGGAAGAAGGAGGTTTGGGCGTGCTGCAAATGAGAGCACTGATTCACTGACATCCCCACTGCTCACCTCGAAGATGGCGCATGAGTAGGTCATGGTTTCGTCAAGGAAGGTTTGGAAGAAGGAGGTTTGGGCGTGCTGCAAATGAGAGCACACGGATTCACTGACATCCCCACTGCTCAACTCGAAGATGGCGCATGAGTAGGTCATGGTTTCGTCAAGGAAGGTTTGGAAGAAGGAGGTTTGGGCGTGCTGCAAATGAGAGCACACGGATTCACTGACATCCCCACTGCTCACCTCGAAAATGGCGCATGAGTAGGTCATGGTCTCGTCTAGGAAGGTCTGGAACATGCCGTTGCTCTGGAGGGGATTGGAGGGGGGTGTTGAGAGGAGGTGAGGGAGGGCGAGAATGAGTATGAGGAGGGTCACAGTGGTTACTGGGTCATGGTGGTTACCATGTCAAAGTGGGTTCCATGTCACAGTGGTTACTTGGTCATAGTGGTTACCAGGTCATGGCTGTTACCAGGTCATGGTGGTTAGCAGGCGATGGCAGAATACCAGGTTGCAGTAGTTACCATGTCGTAGTGGTTACCAGGTCGTCGTGGTTACCAGGTCGTAGTGGTTACCAGGTCGTCGTGGTTACCAGGTCGTACTGGTTACCAGGTCGTAATGGTTACCAGGTCGTAGTGGTTACCAGGTCGTAGTGGTTACCAGGTCGTGGTGGTTACCAGGTCGTAGTGGTTACCAGGTCGTAGTGGTTACCAGGTCATAGTGGTTACCAGGTCGTCGTGGTTACCAGGTCGCCGTGGTTACCAGGTCGTAGTGGTTACCAGGTTGTCGTGGTTACCAGGTCGTACTGGTTACCAGGTCGTAGTGGTTACCAGGTCGTAGTGGTTACCAGGTCGTGGTGGTTACCAGGTCGTGGTGGTTACCAGGTCGTGGTGGTTACCAGGTCGTAGTGGTTACCAGGTCGTGGTGGTTACCAGGTCGTAGTGGTTACCAGGTCGTCGTGGTTACCAGGCCGTAATGGTTACCAGGTCGTGGTGGTTACCAGGTCGTGGTGGTTACCAGGTCGTAGTGGTTACCAGGTCGTAGTGGTTACCAGGTCGTGGTGGTTACCAGGTCGTAGTGGTTACCAGGTCGTAGTGGTTACCAGGTCGTAATGGTTACCAGGTCGTAATGGTTGGAGATGTTGCGGCGTGCGTTGGTGAGGTTGTTGAATCGCAGCAGGTGTCTCGCGTACAGAGCTGCCGATCCCACCACTGCTGTCAGCAGGGCAGGTCGCCACCAGCCCCTGACAGTTTGGGGAGGAGGAAGGAGTGGAAGTGAGTTTGTGAGATAGGGAGTACGAACAGAGCCAGACCAGCCGCTGCTGCCGGTAGTGCCAGCATCCCCTGGTGGTGCTAGAGGGGGAGGAGGAGGAAGAAATGGAAAACAGCATGTGTGTGATTGTGAAGCCAAACCCGCCAGTGCTGTCAGCAATGCAACAGTACATACACGATAGTGAGTTATCAAGCCCTGGTGTTTGGGGCAGAAAAGGCTGGGGATAGTGCTTCGATCTGGATAGAAACATCAGACAATAACGGAAAGGAAAGAGGGCGAGTACGAAAACCACGGGGATACACTACTCATCCATGTGTACTGTGCCATCCCATTCATTTTGACTCACTTCTTTCTTTGCGACGTCTCAAAATTTTACCTTTATCCCACTACTCATCCATCTGTCCGCACTACCCCATTCATTCGGTTTGACTCACTTCTTCTTTGAGGGTCGCTGGCCGGGTTGGTTGTTGCGATCCCTGTTGGCAATCACGATCTGCGATTGGGCAAGGGGGGAGGGAAGAAACAATGCTGATTTTTTAGGCGCCTTTTGAGACGCCTTAAGAAGGGTCGCTGGCCGGGTTGGTTGTTGCGATCCCGATTGTTAATCACGATCTGCAATTGGATAAGGAGGGAGAGAGGAGCAATGGGGTCGGGGAAACACAGGTGGCAGAACGTCCGGCGATCGTAAGGGAGACAAACACAGACGAATTCTATTGGTGATTATCAGCAAATTCTACAGTGTTCTATAACTGTAGTTCTGGTAGTGCAAAGACGTCTCGAAACTCAACTCGTGTGCTTGTGATGAGCTTGATGGTGACTAATAGCTGTGAGGAGAAGGGATCCGTCACTTCGGCTGCAAGCCATTGCTTTGCATTGCAGTCCGTTATTCAGTCAGCCAGCTAGCAGTCAGTCAGTCAGTCAGCCAGCAGCCAGCCAGACGGTCAGCTGGCCACCTCGATTCAACCTCACTCACCTCGAGGAACTTGAGGAGCCCTCTGAAGCCCTGAGGGAAAGAAGTGCCATGTCACCGTTCTCAAAGGTGGCTCAAGCCAGTCACTCAGTGAGACAGGAGGGGCTCACCTCGAGGAACTTGAGCAGCCCTCTGGAGCCCTGAGGGAAAGAAGTGCCATGTCACCGTCCACAAAGGCATCACTTTGAGACTTGTTGACTGCAGATGTTGCAATCATTCAGTGAGACAGGAGGGGCTCACCTCGAGAAACTTGAACAGCCCCCTGGAGCCCTGAGGGAAGGGAAAGAGATGCCTCCATCCACAGAGGCATCATTCTTGAGAGTTCTCAAAGGTGGCTCAAGCCAGTCACTCAGTGAGGCAGACTCACCTCGAGGAACTTGAGGAGCCCCCTGGAGCCCTGAGGGAAGGAGATGTCTCCATCCACAAAGGCATCAGCCAATCCCAGGTCTGCACGTGTCGCCACCTGCAGTTACCAGGGTGAGGGAACGGGTTGCAGGTAAACATGCCGGTACAGTACAGGTGAGAAGGCTGTGACTTGAGACGTCTCAAAAACACCCTAATTTCACGTTACAGTACAGGTGAGAAGGCTGTGACTTGAGACGTCTCAAAAACACCCTAATTTCACGTTACAGTACAGGTGAGAAGGCTGTGACTTGAGACGTCTCAAAAACACCCTAATTTCACGTTACAGTACAGGTGAGAAGGCTGTGACTTTTGAGCCAGCTCAAAAAGGGAGGGAGGGTGCAAGGGGACAGTCGTTGAACAAAGACTCGCTAGAATCACGCACCTTCCAATAGAAGGCGGGCGAGTGCACGGTCATCTGACAGTCCAGCTTGGGTCCTTGTCTCCCAAACCGGTACACCGTGCCTCCTCGCTCCAACAGCCTGGGAAGACAGAGAGGGTGAAGAGGGGTGAATTGGGGTGAAGGAGGTTGAAGGAAGGTGAAAAAGGGGATTTGAAGAAAGCAACTGGATTGTTGCCCTACATGTATAGTCTGGATGGGCAATATGGTGGTTGAAGGGGAACAGGACCGGGAGAACTGTCACCTTGGGCATGTGGACATGGATGCATACATGTAGGCACAAGGACATGGATGCACACATGTAGGCACAAGGACATGGATGCACACATGTAGGCACAAGGACATGGATGCATACATGTAGGCACAAGGACATGGATGCATACATGTAGGCACAAGGACATGGATGCATACATGTAGGCACAAGGACATGGATGCATACATGTAGGCACAAGGACATGGATGCATACATGTAGGCACAAGGACATGGATGCATACATGTAGGCACAAGGACATGGATGCATACATGTAGGCACAAGGACATGGATGCATACATGTAGGCACAAGGACATGGATGCATACATGTAGGCACAAGGACATGGATGCATACATGTAGGCACAAGGACATGGATGCATACATGTAGGCACAAGGACATGGATGCATACATGTAGGCACAAGGACATGGATGCATACATGTAGGCACAAGGACATGGATGCATACATGTCCACATGCCCAAGGTGACAGCGCTCCCGTATGTACTCGACATGTATGCTATGCCTCCATGAGGAACACAACAAGGTGTTCAACACCTCCAGTGAACACCTCCAGTGAACGCCTCCAGTGAACTCCTCCAGTGAACACAACAAGGATATAGTTTGAAACGACGACCTCCAAGGCTGAAGAACTCACTGCACGGATCCGAGATGAATGAAGGGGCGCAGGAAGGAGAGCACTGCAGCCTTGGCGGCCTGAAAGTGCAGCGGGAGGAGCATCTGAGGCGTGTTGCGCTGCAGCTGCAGAGCTGGGCTGCTGCTGGCGCCCAGGAGAGCGTTGGCTGCAGTCAGACCAGCCTGGGATTGACGGGTGAGGGGCAAAGAGGATGAGGGGTAAATGCATGGAAGGCTGATAGTGCAGTGGGTGTGGGAGGAGCATCTTGGGTGTGTTGCGCTGCAGCTGCAGGGCTGGGCTGCTGCTGACGCCGAGAAGAGCGTTGGCTGCAGTTAAGCCAGCCTGGTAAGGAGAAAAAAGGGAGGGTGGGACAGGTGTGCAGGGGAAGATGAAGGGAAAAAAGGTTGCACATGCGAGCTGTTGTGGTGCATGTTCAAGGTGTTCTGGTGCATGTTCAAGGTGTTCTGGTGCATGTTCAAGGTGTTCTGGTGTAAGTTCAAGGTGTTCTGGTGTATGTTCAAGGTGTTCTGGTGTATGTTCAAGGTGTTGCAATGTACGTGCAGGATTATATGCTGTATGTGCAATATGGTATGGTATGGTATGGTATGGTATGGTATGGTAAGGTATGGTATGGTGCATCTTCAAGATGCGATGGTGTACATGTGCTGCATGCTTCTGGCACTGTGCTCCATGATGCATGATACATGATGGATGATGCATGATACATGATGCATGATACATGATGCATGAAACATGATGCATGATACATGATGCATGATACATGATGCATGAAACATGATGCATGATACATGATGCTTGAAACATGATGCATGATGCATGATACATGATGCATGATGCATGAAACATGATGCATAATGCACGAACATACCTTGAACCCATCTTCATGGAAGCCATAGCCTGCACGATGAAACGAGGTAAAGAGGAAGGGAGGGGAGGAGAGAAGAGAATGGGACAGTGAGTCGGGGGCTGAGTGGCAGGAGTCCTATGTTGAAGGGTCGCATTCTTTGTGTGACTCTTTGTGGGACCAAGATTCAGATTGCTCTATGGGCCAAAATACGCTGATGAATTAAGGCATATGAATCTATGGGCATATGATGGGCCAAGATACGCTGATGAATTAAGGCATATGAATCTATGGGCATATGATGGGCCAAGATACGCTGATGAATTAAGGCATATGAATCTATGGGCATATGATGGGCCAAGATACGCTACACAGAGATCAATTCTCCTCTCCCTTGAACCAAACAAGTCCGGCAGTAGCCATGGCGGCCATGGTGGGAAGCGGGTGGGAGGGTTGGTATGGGCTTTGACCAGGTCAATCCACGTACCAAGATATGCCCCACAAAAGTAAATTCCTCTCCTCCCTTGCACAGTGGGAAGCAGTCTGGCCGCAGCCGTGGCGGGGAGGGAGTGAGCAGTGGTATGAGATATGCCCCACAGAAATATATCCCGCTCCTTCCTTGCTCAGTGGGAAGCAGTCTGGCCGCAGCCGTGGCAGGGAGTGAGTGAGCAGTGGTATGAGATTCTGTCAGATCGGATCACTTGACGTACCGAGATATGCCCCACAGAAATATATCCCCCTCCTTCCTTGCACAGAGGGGAGCAGTCTGGCAGCAGCCGAGGCTGCCGTGGTGGGAGCTGTGGTGGTATGGTAATGAGATTGTGTCAAATCATATCACTTCACGTACCAAGATATGCCCCGCAGAAATAGATTCCTCTCCTCCCTTGCACTGTGGGGAGCAGCCTGGCAGCAGCCGTGGCAGCCGTGGTGGGGAGCGGATGGGAGGTGACCCACTGGTGATGGATTGTGCCTTTGATTCCAGACGGTGGGTTGAGGGTCACCAGGATGGGTTCTCCTGTGTCACCTAGATTCTGCAGAGGGGTGCGGTGTAAGGAATTAGAGGAAGGGACGAATAAGGTGAGGAGTGGGCTGTTGATGGGAGGTAACCCACTGGTGGTGCACCACGCCTTTGATTCCAGACGGTGGGTTGCGGGTCACCAGGATGGGTTCTCCTGTGTCACCAAGATTCTGCTCAGAGCGAGATGGGGGTGCAGGGGACAAGGTAAGGAATAGAGGATGGTCCAGGGAGGGAAGGAAGGTATCCCAGACGGTGGGTGAGATTCACAAAGATGGGTTCTCCCGTGTCCCCTAGATTCTGCACAGAGGGGTGTGTGTAAGGGATGGGATGAAGGCATTGAGTCGGGGAATAAGGCATTGGCGAGGTGCTGCTGCTCGCTGAGATGCCAGAAGATCTCAAACCACATCTGCACAGTGCCTCGTATGTGCTAGCATACATACACTACACACCCACCTGCAGCGTATTGAGCCCGTGCGTGACACACCCCCGTCTGTTCCCTCGCATCCACTCCTCTGAAGCTCCGCTTGGAGAGTGAGTGTGTATGTTTGTGTTATAGCAGCTCAAAACCTTCAAACCACACCCACCTGCAGCGTGTTGAGCCAGTGCGTGACACACACCCCTTGCTTTGCATCCACTCCGCTGAAGTGTTACCTGCAGCCCCCATTTGTGTTACCATGAGCCACCCACCTAGGCTAGAGCGTGTGTGTCCGTGTGTCTGCACTGTCAACCGCACACCCACCTGCAACATGTTGAGCCAGTATGTGACACACACCCCTCCCTTTGCATCCATGCCTCTGATGTTCCATCTGAATTGTGTGTATGCAATTGTGGCTTGTGCCACTGCAGCTAAAACTTCCAAACCAAACCACCCACCTGCAGCGTGTTGAGCCAGTATGTGACGCACACCCCTCCCTTTGCGTCCACTCCTCTGAAGTTCCACGCGCTCCAAGCGGCCCTTCGAGTGGGCATGAGGGACTTGTCTCGATGCAGGAAGATGGTGCTGGGGGGAATCGAATGGGACGGGAGAAGGTGGGAGGAGAAGAGTAAATCTCAGTTCCTCTGAAGTTTTATGTGCTCCAGGAAGCCCTTTGAGTGGGCATGAGGGACTTGTCTCGATGCAGGAAGATGGTGCTGGGGGGAAACGAATGGGAGGAAAGCGTGGGTCGGATCGAGGGAAAAGGTGGGAGGAGAAGAAAGGAGAAAAGCTCAACTTCTCTGAAGTTTCACACGCTCCAGACGGCCCTTTTAACGGGCATGAGGGATTTGTCTCGATGCAGGAAGATGGTGCTTTGGGGAAACGAAACGAATGGAAGGAGAGCGTGGGGAGAAGAGTGGGAGCGGATGGAGGGGAAGGGTGGGCCATAATTCAATCCATATAGAGGCATGGTCACTCCATGCTGGTATCCCTGAAGGAATGCGGGGATTGTCACAATGCAGAAAGGTGGTGCTGGTTGAAAAGAACAGGGGGGAGCGAGGGGAGGTCGAGTAGGGAGCAAAGGAAGACAGACTGGGCAGTGAGGCACAGTCGCTCCTGGCGGTTCTTCTAGCAGGCATTAGGGAGGAAGGGGTGGAGGAGGAGGTGGTGCGCAGGAGTGGGAAAGGGTTAGGCATGAAGCGTTCATAGTGCAGTGCCACAGGAGTGACGTCGCAAGTGACGTCGCAAGTGACGTCGCAAGTGACGTCGCGAGTGACGTCCCAAGTGACGTCGCGAGTGACGTCGCAAGTGACGTCGCAAGTGACGTCGCGAGTGACGTCGCAAGTGACGTCGCAAGTGACGTCGCGAGTGACGTCGCAAGTGACGTCGCGAGTGACGTCGCAAGTGACGTCGCAAGTGTAGTGTACCTGGTGGCGTATTTGAAGGCAGAGAATACCCTCCGCTCCTCATGCGTGGCTCCTTCCCCCAGCAGAGTGCTTTTGAGGTGCCTCAAGAAACATGCTGCAGGAGTGATTTTAAATTGCCTGGAAAGGCGTCAATGTGTACCTGGTGGCGTATTTGAAGGCAGAGAATACCCTCCGCTCCTCATGCGTGGCTCCTTCCCCCAGCAGCGGCAGCACTGTATCGCCATGCACTGCCAGTACCACCCGGTCATAGCGCTCCGATGTTCCGTCCCCTAGACGCACTTCCACACCTGCGGACAGAGACAGACGAGGAGGGAAGGAAGGGAAGAAGAGATGAGGCTTCACCCAGCATCACCCAGCATCACCCGGTCGTAGCGCTGTGCTCTGCTCTGTGCTGTCCCCTAGTCGCCCGTCCACACCTGCGGACAGAGACAGACGAGGAGGGAAGGAAGGGAAGAAGAGATGAGGCTTCACCCAGCATCACCCAGCATCACCCGGTCGTAGCGCTCTGCTCTGCTCTGTGCTGTCCCCTAGTCGCCCGTCCACGCCTGCGGACAGAGACAGACGAGGAGGGAAGGGAAGGGAGGAGAGGGCTTAAAAAAAGAGCATCCCGATGCATTGCCAACACCCTTGGGTCATACCACTCTGCTGTGTTAACCACTAATCATACGTGACACGGACACGTCTACCACAGGGAACCACAGACATGAGATCCAGGAGTAGAACGATGGTGTTTATAGCCTACAATGTGCAACCGATTGTTACAAGTTCTCAAATGACTTCTTTAAAGAATTGCCTTGCCACGTTGCATTCATCGCCTCTCCACATCACAATGTAACGGTTACATGGAGCATTACATCTTGCAACTCCCAGCATCACACCGTTCACCTCCCGGATACACAAACCTCCCTCCCAGCGTTACATCTCATACCTTCCTCGCCCAAGCTCTGCACCCCAGTCACTTCCGTGTTGGTGCGGAATGCACCCCCTCTGGCTTCCACAGCGGCCATCACCTGTGGGAAACAGCAGGAGACGAACATTCTTGGACCGGACACTCAAACACCCCATAAGGTGGTCGACAACAAGTGTTTAACTGGAACATGTTCGCGTTTGGGTTCTGGTCATGGCTAGTTCTGGTGTATGTGTGTGTGCTGTGCGGTGCATAACCTTCTTCATGTGCATCTGGGATCTGCTGTTGTGGTCCGCCAAGCAGATGGGAGGATGACTTTGGAGTCTACTCAAAAGTCACATTGAGCCGACTCAAAAGCCATCTAAGCTCAGGCTGGTGTGTGTGTGTGTGTGTGTGTGTGTGTGTGTGTGTGTGTGTGTGTGTGTGTGTGTGTGTGTGTGTGTGTGTGTGTGTGTGCTTACCTTCTTCACGTAGGTTTGGGATCTGCCTGAGACTGTCAGCCATTGTGGTCTCCCGAGCAGCTGCGATGGGGAGAGAGCAGAAAACGAGGTTAGAGATAAGGGTAGGGCGAGCATGGAGCACAGGACAGGCAGTAAGCATGGGTTGAAAAACGGATCCCTGGAATGTGGGAAAGAGTGAGTTTAGTTTAGGGGAGAGATGGAAAGGTAAGTGCAAGAAGCGTTCAAATGAGGAAAGACTCGGCAACGGAAGTAGCAACGAACCTGCAGGACGTGGATGTATTATAACCAGCATGAATGCAGCACCTGCAACAAGTAGTGCTGCTTATACAAACCTGCAGCCTTTGGTAGTGCTTAGAACGAACAGCATGTGGTTAACGAACCTTGTAGCGTGTGGTGCTTATAACGAACCTGCAGCATGTGGTTGTTCTCATGATGAACCTGCAGCATGTGGCGGTTCTTATAACGAACCTGCAGCATGTGGCGGTGCTTATAACGAACCTGCAGCATGTGGTGGTGGTGCTTATAACGAACCTGCAGCATGTGGCTGTTCTTATGCCGAACATGCAGCATGTGGTGGTGCTTATAACGAACCTGCAGCATGTGGTGGTGCTTATAACGAACCTGCAGCATGTGGTGGTTCTTGAGGAAGGAGAGCACGGAAAAGGCGTTGAAGCTCCGGGCGCCATCTATCCCGGTTGACCATATAGAGGCGCACACTGGGAGCTGAGACACAAGAAAAGGGAAGAAAAGGTGGGAGAGAGAAGCAGCATGAGGTGTGCCACCTGTGAACAGAACTGGGCGCTGAAGCTCCTGGCTCCAACCAACCCGCTTGACCATATAGAGGCGCACATTGGGAGCTGAGGGGTTAGAAATCAACAGGGGAAGAGTGGAGGGACGCGAGTTTGTGGACAGAGAGAAGAACGCAATGCCCATCGGAAAAAGTCAGTACACAGACCTCGTATTGTTCACTGAAAAGTCAAACTGACCAGGTAGCAGTCACAGAACGTGGAGTGGAGGAGTAGCCATGGGCTGGGCCTGCAGAAAACGCCCCAATGTCGAAGTGAGTAGGACGCTGCTGCCTACTGGTGCTGGTAAGGTGCCCGATTTACTCTCTCACCTAACATTCATTCACTAGGGAGACCGCTTGGTAACTGTCAGACTGACCAGGAAGCAGTCGCAGAACATGGACGAGTATCACCGAGCCTGCAGGAACTGCCCCAATGTCTCCTTGAGTTGGGCGGCGCTGCTGCCTGCTGATGCTGCTGGACCGGCTGAATGCACTCACTTAAACCTTCACTCAAAAGAAAGACAAGTGTTGGACTGACCAGGTAGCAATCGCAGAACATGGAGTACCCGCGCTCCTTCAGGAACTGCCCCAACGTCTCCGTGAGCAGGGCGCTGCTGCCAGCTGGTTCTCCTGAGCCGGCTGATTCACTCACTTAAACCTTAATTTAAGAAAGAAAGAAAGAAAGACAGCTGTCCAGACTGACCAGGTAGCAGTCGCAGAACATGGAGGAGTACCCGCGTTCCTTCAGGAACTGCCCCAGCGTCTCTGTGAGTAGAGAGCTGCTGCCTGCTGGTGTTGCAGGTGATGGTATGGCCCCGTTGCTGCTACTGCTGCCGCTGAGCGCAACTGACTGCCTCTGCAGCACGCCAGAGGCTTCGACTTTGGCGAGATAGCTGTGGGAAGGAGGACAGAAAGGAATGGAATGAAAAACGGGAGCGGCAATTCAGGATCATAAGAATCTTCTAGGCACTGTGAATGCGTCTCCTCATGTGTCGTTGAGAGCAGCTGATTGCGTGTAACAACCCGGAGGCTTCGACCTTGGCGGGTTTGCTGTGGAAAGGAAGAAAGGCGCAAGGTGTTCAGTTCAGGATCAAAGGAAAAGTGGAAACGCATTGAGATCATGAACTGACCGCCTCTGCAGCGCTCCAGAGGCTTGCACCTTGGGGAGCCTACTAACACCGTGAAGCCTGAGCACGGTGTGCTACAGACCCGTGTAGCATGTATGCACTATCAGGAGCAAAAGGGTCTTACTTGAGCACGTCTGGTGGAAAATCGTCATCACGCATTGTTACGTGTTGTGCATGCAAGGCAGATGTGGATGGATAATGGAAACTACGCAATGTGCCGCTTACTTGAGCACGTCCTGGTGGAAGAGCGTCGTCACTCAAAGCATGAGCCAGAAGGAGGGCCGAAAGGCATTTTCTTGCAACAAAACTGCGAGCAGTGGGGCATTGGTGTAGCCTGCACTGAATCCAGTCTGCACTAACAACAGCGGCAAGCAACACTCACTTGAGAACGTCTTGGTGGAAAACCGTCATCTCGCGCAGCATGAGCCAGAAGGAGGGCCGGAAGGCGTTGCGGCGCGAAGCAAAGAGGCCAGAGAGGCCGTTGCTGCCCCACTCGCAACGCGGCACGGACACTGAAAAGGACATGTCAGAGGGCTCGATTGCCACCTCTAGTTCCTCGAAGAAGGAGAGCATGTTGGGGTAGGTCACCTGGTAGAACGAGTGGGGGAGGGGGAGGGAAGGACACCGAGAAGGACATGTGGAAGGGCTCTATTGCGCTCTCCAGCTCCTCAAAGGAGAGCATGTTGGGGTAGGTCACCTGATAGAGTGGGAGGAGGAGAGAAAAGGGGAAAAGGGGGGTTGGAATGGACACAGACACCGAAATGGACATGAAGGAGAGTATGTTGAGGTAGGTCACCTGGAGTTGGGGTGTGGGGGAAGGGAGGAAGCATGGGAGGAGAGGGGGGATGGAGAGGACTCGTGAGAGGATGCTATCGCCACCTAGCTCCTCTAAGAAGGTGACACGTGTGGGGAACGATAGTCACAGGTGACTCAACTTCTCATGGGTGACTCGAATTTCCATGGCAAATGGATGTAGTCGGTATAGTCCAGAGTAGAAAGCGAGAAACCGAGTCCCAATGTGCAACCACCAACGGCTTGGCAGAGCGACATATACAAAAGCAATGCCGTCTCGACATGCATCATCCGGCTGCTTTCAGACGATCGGGCGGGTTCAGTCAAAATGAGCGCCGTCTCAGCAATGAGAATGTGGCTAAGGGAGGCTATTCGTATGATATGAACAAGGCCAATCACTTTGACGAGGCCACTCGTATCTGTTGAGATCCCTAAGTTTCTGACCACGCCACTGCTATCCGATGACGCTATTCCGCTCTGAACCGGCGCATTTCAGCGCGTCGATCGATGCACGGCATGTGACTGCGAAGAGCCACATTGGTTTCAGGGGCTGGCATTCCACCATGGTTGTATCCAAGTTCATCAGGCAACTTCCGAAGGATCAGATCATTCCTCTCACAGAATGGCGTTTCTTCATAAGATCACATCACGTCACTAGGGCATCCCACTTCTCAAGATCACGCCATGTCATGCGATCACGCCTCGTCACAAGATCACGCCACGTCACGCCGGACGCACCGAGTTGAAGACCATGAATCCGAGGTCCACGTCGACGCCATCGTCCGTGCGATACGTGAACGCGTGGCCGCCAATGTGCGAGTCTTTCTCCAATACCGTCACCTGTACCCCCTGTTTGCTCAGACGCCATGCCGCTGCGAGCCCGGCGACGCCTGACCCAACCACAGCCACTTTCATCGTCTACAGCCGCTTCTACTCCCGGGGATCAGAATGTTGCGTGCTTTTATTTGAGAAAGAGTCTCGTTTTCATGGAATGGCGACGGAACCACCACTGCTCGAAGTGCCAAGAAGAAGAGCTCCTGGGGCTTCTCGAAAATGGCTGTGGGAGCCTGAAAGTGCAATCTCGAAAATAGCCATTGTGATGAGCTCAAGGGGTGCGGGCGACTTTGCATGCGAAACTATGGCTGGTAACGAGCAAGTTCGAGAAGTGGCCTGAGGCCAAAATGGGATTTCGCGACTAGCGACGCTGGAAACCGTTGTCGCGAATCAATCATGGTGGAGGCGGATCCACGTGGAGAAGCACCACTGGACTGTATGACGTCAGGAGCATGTTGACAACATCGATGACCAAAAAAGCCGTTGGGCTTGTACCGCGTTCTTCCACATTTACGACCGTCAATGTACTGAGCGCATATATGCAACAATCCAATAACGTTGTTGACAAAACCTGCCAAAACCTCTGAAACAATATTGCTAATTACCACAGCAATCCATTCTGTCAAGGATCCACGATTTAAAGCCCGAGTCTAGAATGGTAAGGCTTCAAGAATACTGAACTTGAAAGGTGTTGGGAAAGCGATGGTCATGTGAAGGCCAGAGACATGATGGGAGAGCGTGGGAGACACTCAGAGTATGCGTGGGCGACGGACGCGGGAAGGGAGAGCCACCTAAAAGGCGACGGGAGGGGAGGCGAATTCAAGTTCAAGAATCTTGAACTCGAAAAGTTGCCATTCTAGACTCGGGCTTTAAATGCCTAGTCTAAACAACACGTTAGCATAGAGCAAGTGCACAAGTGACTGGTTTACATTCCAGTTGCAGATCCAAAAAGAGTCATACCATAAATCAAGCCCATCCTAACCAACTGACAAGAATAAGCGACTATGAATAGACAGAACCACAACACCTAGAAACCGAACAGGCCAAGCTCGGAGGCCCTCTCCTTGTCAAACATCTCGAAGTACTGATAGATGATGGTCACAGCAAGGAGAATTCCCGTGCCAGAGCCAATGGCACCCATGAAGTCCGCAACAACAGTCAGTGCACCGATGCACATCCCACCAAAAGCAGCGGCTGTGGGGATGTAACGGTTGAGCTCCTTCTGCAGGTTGGATTCACGATGACCAGGCATCACCATTTGTTGCTCCTGCATACAAAAGGAACCAGTGGAGGAGGGATCAAGAGAACAGCAGAACCATATGACATGAAGGACAGAGGGAACCAGCATGTTGATAAGGAGGAAGAACAGGGGGTGGGCAAGGGAGCAGAGAAGCAGGAAAAGTTGGCAGAGGTGGGTGGGGGTGTGGGGGGCATGGATAAGGTTGTGAGCTGGTTATGCCGTCAAGGACGGGGATGTGAAGGTGAGAGTCTCAAAACAAGTGAAAAAATGTGACTGCGTGTCAGACAACCAGACAGCATGATCAATGAAAACCTTTCCTTGAGTTATGCTCAATGCCCAAACTTCGTGAGCTAAGCTGGACAACCAGGATAATCTTGATGCCTCCATGGAGCGAAGACCTGTCAGCTCATTCTTGTTAGCAAGAGTGTTCCTTTCAGCCAACGTCCACAATTCCGCTTACGGAACTCTGTGTAAAAACTATGGATTCCTAGCTCGTCCCAGATTCACCCCCTGCGGCCAATCCTGTAGAGCTTCGGATAGTAGGTAGTCCCTTAATTTTGGACCTCAGGGTGTCCAGCCCACTCTCCCAAATTAATCTCGTCAAACAGAAAACATTTCTCACCTTGAGTTGCTTCGCCACGTCGCGCGCAGACGACCCTGAGACCTCGATCCACGTCTTGGAGAAGAGCGCACAGGCGGAGAGCATGAAGGTAATGTAGAAGAGCGCGTGGAAGGGATGCACTGCAATGTCCGCCAAGCTGCTCGGAACGGAGGTGATTAAGACACTGGTTAGATCGTGTAACGTCAAATTGAATTTTCCGCACGCATTATATGCAAAAAACACAAATTGAAGGAATGCAATGTGAAATTTTGTCTAGTGGAGAAAGTAGCGAAAAATGATATCAACAACACTGGAAAGAGACACTAACCTCGCTGGAGGGGTCATGTAATAGACAAGTCCGCCGACAGGAATGAGCTGGCCCGAACTTGAATATTCCGATTCAGCCCACACACCAAGAAGGCGCACCAGGATGAAACCGCCATACCTCCGATAAAGCAGCTGTGTATAGGCACAGACATCAACAACACAATCACGCATCTAGATAAGACTACGGAAACAACCACCGAAGCCAAACCCTGCGACCAGAAAGAAACGTAAAAAACGATATCTAGCAGGATAGCAATTCAATTTTCCCCTGCCGAACCCTAAACGTACCTGCGAGATAAAATACAGGTTGGAGACGAGAGCCGACTGCAGAATAATGGGCATGTTCGAGGTGTAAAAGAGCTTGATGGGGTACGAGCCCTGCTGTCCCCTAGCGCTCTTAGAACGAACAGGGAGCACAACACGGAAGCCCTGGAAGTAGATCACGATGAGGAACACGAGTACGGTGGCTAGGAGGTTGGTGACGTTTGGCAGGTTCTGCCGGTAAAAGGCCTCCTTGAGCGCGCGGACTTTGTCGGTCCGGGTGATGAGCAGGTGGAAGAGAGCGATCACGGCTCCCTCGAACTCGGCGCCACGGCCAGCGTTGATGGTCGTCGGGCTGAATGCCTTCCAGATGATGCTTTCACTGCGGTAATAAGAAGTAAAAACAAATATAAAACCAAACAAAATATAAATCTTTAGGTTTAATTATAGTATGGAACACTGGGGAATTAGGCGAGGCAAATTTGGATGTATGGACAGACAATGTTTTCATCAGAAGTCGACAATGTGAAGAACGTAACCGTCAGCTGAGCAAAAACAAGCGTCTACGTACCAGATGTTCGTAGCGATGAAGAGAGAAATTCCAGATCCAAGGCCGTATCCCTTCTGCAGGAGCTCGTCGAGGCAGATGATGATGATGCCGGCGAAGAAAAGCTGCACGATGATCAGAATCGCATTCGTCGCACCCAGATCGCGCACATCGCCGTACATTCCCGAAACGACGTATGCGACAGCTTCTCCGACAGTGATGAGCACTCCCAGGAGCTTCTGAGCTCCATTGCTGGAAAAGAACCAGCAATAAAACAACTTCAGGTTTTTATGTTACAGCAGATCCGGATACACGCAGCGAAAAGATCCGCGATGGAAGATCATATTCGATGTATGACGCCAAGAGACGTCAAGCCGACCCTAACAGTTTCGCAGTAATTTTTGTTCCAATGTCAAGAAACCATTCCGCGACTTACATCAATTCTCTATCTTCCTTGATGCTGTTATCCACCTCGATCAGCTTCGACCCTACAAGAAGCTGAATCACCATGCTGGATGTGACAATGGGAGTAATTCCCAGCTCCATGACAGTACCCCGGTTGGACGCCATAATAACACGCATCCAGTAGAACGGATCTGATCCTGTGGCTGCGTGGATGCCATAGAGGGGAAGCTGACTGCAGACCAGAAAGATAAAGAGCGACACGGCGGTGTAAAGAAACTTCTCTCTAAACGGCACTTTCCGATCTGCCGTCTGCACCTCCGGCAGAAGGTTCAGAAACGGCCGGACGAGATGCAGAACTCTAAAGCCACCACCCATGGTTCCTAGTCACAAGTACCTAGCACCTAAGATTTCAAATCCCGCAATGGAGACCTTCGAATGAGATAAGAATGAGCGGAAAACTGACCAACTAATTCAAGAGCCGACGGGATCCAGATTTGAGAAACGCGTTCAGATGGGATGAGGAGAAATCTTGGCCTGGGTGGAGGGAAGAAAACGACCGACCCGATTCATTTGCTGGTGGTTGGGTTGGAACAGTGGGCGTGGCAGGCACTGGAAGTGGGAGTCTGGTTGGAGGGAACTGGGTTGCTGCTGGAAGTTGGGAAGCGCAAACGACAGCTGCGAAGCATTTGTTACTGTTACGATGAATGCAAAAAAAAATCCAATGTGAGTAAACTAATGTGCAAGAATATCATACAAATGGCTAAAACGGTAACTCTCGAAATATTAAAAAATATAGGAACTGGTAAAATACATCATTATAGTCCGTTCTGACTGTCTGCAGTATAGCTATGATGTGGAATTATAAATGCACTTATCAGTCGACCAATCAGTGTACCTTGCTTGTTCTTGCAATACATATTTTCTCAGTTGTTGGATCCCCTCTTCCCTCTCGATCGTTTTTATCGTCACCATTTCCTAATCCGTTCCCTAAACCTAAGGGTACATTCCGGACTCTGGTCAAACCTCTGGTTAACCGTGTTTGTGGCCTAGATTCATACAAATTTCTAAGCCAATTGTGCAAGCTGACGGGTTGGCGAATGTTGTTGACCTCAGGCCTAACCGGAGCCTGGAATGTACCATAAGCTCTTATTTCCCGATATGGTATCAGATCCACTCGTTCCATGGTCTAAGCCTTCAAATTTCTCTTATTCAAAGGCACCCATGCGGACGTGCACGCTGATGCTGGTGCGTGAGTACCGCAGCTGTTGCGCGATCGCTGTTGTTGGCGCATGAGCCTGCAGCGCCTGCGTTCGTCATGCTGGCCCGTTGCCTGCTATGTTGTACCGCCCTGATCGCCCTCTCCGTCATGCTGCCCGATCATGTGGCCCATAACGACCCCACTGCAGCCGCAACTCTAGCCGCCGCGATTAAAACTACTGCATGTGCTGCTGCCATGACTCCATATACCGTGCCTTCTGCTACGGCAATGGCAGTTGCCGCACTGGCTGCTGCCGTGTTTGCTATTGCCACGCCTGCAGCGGCTGCGCGTGCGTCAGCTGCCGCCGTCGTGGAGGAGATGTCGGGGGTAGCAGGGATGGTTGACGCCATTGCTGACGCCCCGCCACTGCACCGCTGCTCGCTCACTCCTCCCTCTCCCTACCACGCTTGCCGCTGTGGGCGGGTGGGGGGGAGAGAAGGAGGAGGGTGAGGGGGTGGCGGAAACGACCATGTAGCATCAGCCGCTGCCCACCTCCTTCTCTCTCTCTCTCTCTCTCTCTCTCTCTCTCTCTCTCTCTCTCTCTCTCTCTCTCTCTCTCTCTCTCTCTCTCTCTCTCCATACCGCGTTTGCCGCTGTAGGGGGGAGGGTGGGAGAGTGGCGGGAATGTCCAGAAATTCGCGCACACCGGCCCTTCAATCTCTCCTCTCTTTCTCCTCCTCCTCCTCCTCTCAGTCTCCTTTCCTCCTCCTCTCACTTCCGCTACCCCTGCCCTTCCTGCGCCGCGTGCCGTGCTTGCCGAGCCTGCTGTGCATCTGTAGTGGCTGCATGGTGCCACCGTGGAGCTTGCTATTGCCCCATCTGGCCCCATCGTTGAGTACCGACTACTACTTCCTGCTGAACGCATCCGCTTATGTTGTCGTTTAGCCCTACTGCGCTCCTGCCTGTTGCAGCCACAGCACCCACTCCCGCAGCATATGCCGCTGCTGAATCTATCGTGGCTGTGCATATGACGCAGCTGCATCTACAACTACTCTGCTTACTGCCACTGCATCTTCCTGCTCTACTTCTTCCATTGCGCTTGCCTCTGCCCTCTTCTTTCCTCTCTTTCTCTCACACATACACACATACACACACATAGACACACATACACACACACACATACACACACACACACGCACACGTACACACACACACAGACACACACAGACACACACACACAGATACACACGCACACACACGCACGCACACACACACGCACACGCACGCACACGCACACGCACACACACACACACACACACACATACACACACACACGCGCACACACATACGCACATACATGCACGCACGCACGCACACACGCACATACATACACACTCACAGACACACATACATACATACATACATACATACACACACACATATACAAATACAAACATAGAGACAGACATAAATACACACATACACACACACACATACACACACATATACACACACATATATACACGCACGTACATACACACACACGTACACACACAGATACACACACACACAAACACACACAGAGAGACACATACATATATAGACACACATATACACGCACACATACATACACACGTACACACATGCGCACATATACACTTGCACACACACACGCACACACATGCACCCGCATATATGCACACAACAATAGCAACAGCAGTAGTAGCAGCAAAATCAACAGCAACGGTGACAATAAAAGCAACAACTGTCAAAGATGTGCTCAATGGAATGAGAATGACTTGCAGCAATGAGATTCAAGTAGTAAACCCTAACTGAGCTGTACCCTATAGCGAGTTCCTCACTGTAGCCTATAACCTAACAAAAATATTGTTTGACACACCCCCATGAGCGAAGTGGGGGACAACAAGAGGTAACAAAGCAAAGCGAAGGGTGGATCACAAAGTCACCACATAGTCTGAGCACAAGCAAGTGGCCACAAGGCCAGTTCACATGCAGAGATGTGAAATGCACATGCTGTACAATGATCAAAACCTAGCAAGGGTAATCATGCAAGTATTTGTAAAGAACACAATACAAGGGAAAGTCAAGCAGTAAGCACGTGAGGCGGGGTAGGCACAAGGCCTAGAGAAGTGCAGAAACGTTGATGATTACCAGACCCAAGGGCCTTGGTGAAGATATCAGCAGTGTTGGCCCGAGAGGCCACGTTAACAAGGGGAAGTTGACAACGCTGCAGCTCTCGCGCAAGAATGTAACGAAGAGCGATGTGCTTCGTTCTGTGCTCTAGTCTCTGCTCTCGACACAAAGCAATCATGGCCTTTTTGTCAACGTACAGAACCGGGGGAGAACGAGGCCGCTCACCCAAGTCGGTCAGCAAGTAGGTCAGCGAGCATAACTCTTGTGCACCCATAGCCCCAGCGTAGATCTTGGCCTCAGTGCTGGAACCAAGCACAGAAGACGAACGAGTGGACCTCCACGAGTCAGAACCAGAGCCGAACCTAAAAGTGTAACTCTGCAACGACCATTGAGTCGCCTGGTCGTTAGCCCAAGAAGCGTCTAGGTGCCCTGTGGTCGCCATCTCTGTGCCATGGCTAACTGCCCTTGAGAGGAGTACTGACCCATGATTGCCTCTGCATACGAGCGTGGGGTCGGAATGTCTGGTGCATCCGGGTCAACCTCAAGGGCAAGCAGCATGGCAGCGAGACGAGGCACAGCAGCCGCAAGACACTCGAGCTCAAACTGCCTGTCCTTAATGATATCACAGCCAGGAGCAAGCTCACCCCCAACGGATGGAGGACAGGGAGAGTCAAGAGTCAGAAACGAGACTCGCGGTGTAGTGAAGGCGACACACAGCAGGAAATTCAACGAGCTCAGTGACCAAGGCAGGTGCAGCAAGCAGACTCAAACATAAGGTCTGTGAAAACCGCGGCTGGTAGATGAGCGACAGTCCAACTAGTAGCATGAGCAAGGTCAGACTCAGGGTCAGGAACGTGCGGGAGAGAGGAAAAAGGAGGAGACTGCAGAACAGGACGCTGTGCAATAGTGGAAGGTCGAGCTGCCATAGTGTGCTCACTGGGAACAGGAGGAGGGCGAAAACGACGAACACGAGAAGCACGAGCACGGACAGGCGAGGTAGCAGGAGAGAAAGCACAAGACTTAGGCTCCCAACACTTGGTCAGGGACTCGGGCAACGGGGAGTAGCGCAAAGGAGCAGGTAGAGGGGAGTCAGCAGGCAATAGCGCCTGAGACGAGTCAAGCGGTTGAAACAGCTAAGGAGGAGTAGTGCCTGCGACAGGGAACCTTGTTGCAGTAGGTGGGAGACTGAGAAGGTGGCGAAGCGCGGACAACTGCTGCAAATCAGAACCTCCACTACCGCTAGCTCTAGTACCTCCAGCTTCAGTACCTTCAGCACCTCCAACGGCAGCACCTCCACTACCAAAACCTCCAGCACCACCAGCTCCAGCACCTCCAGTGCCAGTGCCTCCAGCTCTAGAAACTCCAGCGGCAGTCCCTCCAGCACCGCCAGCCCTAGCACCTCTAGCGCCAGCAGCGACAGTACCTCCAGCACCAGAACCTCCAGCACCACCAACTCTAGCACCCCCAAAACTAGCACCCCCAGAAGTAGCACCCCCAGTACCAGCACCCGAGTCAACCATGGCAGTCTGTAGAGGCAGCGAGGACGGCCGAGGCGGAAAACCAAGAGGAGCCTCCAAGCACGGGGAACGGCGAGAGGCCGCCGTGTTGTTAGCAACAGGATCACCCCCCTCAGCGGGGCCAGAAGGGCCCGAAGAGACCTCCAATGACTCAACCAAGGGGGATGGTGCGACCTAAGACACACCTGAGGGAGGAAGACGCGAAGGGGGGGAAGGGTCTACCGGAGGGTAACCTAGGACCAGGAAGAGAGGTGGGGGGAGCACCGGGGAACTGCGGTGGTGGAAGAGCCACTAGAAGCAAACAGACTCATAAAAAGTGACGCCGACAAGACCTGGCGCATGGCCGGGTGGTAAAACTGCCAAGGCGGGGCGTCAGTGGGCAGCAAAGAGTGCGAGGAGAGAGCTTTCCCGCAGGAGGATGGCGGACAAGGGCAAGAGAACCCCAGACCTGAAACGCCGACGCATCACCAACCTCCCCCATCCAGAGTAGGTAGGCGAGATCTCCGGCTGGGAGACATGGGGCCAGAGGTTAAGGCAATGCGCAAACGGCCACAGAAAATGGGGAGCAGCAGCACGGATCATGGAGGTGCGCGCAACCTCCATGATCAAGCAAATGAATCGCTTAGCAATCCCATTCTATTGTGGAAAGGCTGGAAGCATGAGCGACTGAGTGATGCCCTCCTCGCAAAAAAAGTCTTCAAGAAGACGAGAGGAAAACTCACCGCCACGGTCAGAGTGCAGACGGGGCACAGGGAGGTCCCGTCGGAACCGTGCGCTCAGCCGGCGAAGAACATCGCAGATCCAAGGGATCAAAATAGTATGGACATCGCCCTTACGCTGTAAGGGAAACTCCGTGATGTAGCACTTGAAGTCGTTAACGACCAGCAAAAAGTAGCACTCTCGGACCGGCCCAAAGACGGGGGCAGGGCCCCACACATCCATGTGCAGCATCTGCAGAGGAGCAATGGTCGGAGGAAACGAGGAGTGAGGAGCAGCGCGCTGCCGCCCCTCGACGCAAGGCAAGCACGGCTGCGCAAGCGACTTGGGCCCACCGTTAGCCTTTCTCCTATTTTGACATGGTTTCAGAGCACTTAAGCTCCTAAGACCTCATGGGCCCACCGTTAGCTTCCGCTACGGCGCACCCTGTCGCACCGCCCATCGCGATGTCCGCCTCTGCCCGGCGCCTCGTACGCCTCTGCCCTGCGCTTCGTGCGCCTCTACCTGGCGCCTCGTGCGCCTCTGCCCCGCGCCTACTGCTACCTCGTCTCCCGCGGCCACGTCGCCCCGTCGCTGGCCGCGAACGCGAGCACCGACGCCAGCGCCGACGCCAGTGCCGAACGCGGCCGCCAGCGCCCACGCCAGCGCCGAACGCGCTCGCCAGCGTCGACGCCAGCGCCGAACGCGGCCGCCAGCACCGACGCCAGCGCCGAACGCCGACGCCAACGCCGAATGCGGCCGCCGGCGCCGACGCCAGCGCCGAACGCGGCCGCCGGCGCCGACGCCAGCGCCGAACGCGGCCGCCGGCGCCGACGCCAGCGCCGAACGCGGCCGCCAGCACCGATGCCAGCGCCGAACGCGGCCGCCACCGCCCAATGCCGACGCGTACGCCAGCGCCAGGCACCAGCGATGTGCGCCAGCGCGACCTGCTGCCCCCCCGTCGCCCCTGCTCCCCGTCGCCCCTCCCCGTTTCGTCGCCCTCCCGTGGCATCCCTCGCGTGGTCTCTGCCGTGCGTGGGGTGGTGGGGTGGTGCCCGAGAGTGGGGGAGGCGGGGGTGGGTGACTCGGCCTCCCCGCTCTCCTCTCTGTCCCTGCAGCGGCTGGTGCTGAAGGGGAGGGGGGGGGAGGGGGTGGTTGACGCCACTCTGCTGCTACGCCACGCTGCCGCCCGACTTCTCCCTCTCCCTGCTACTCGTGCAGCCGAGGAAGGGGTGGAGGGAGGGTGTTGGGGTGGCGGGTGTGACAAACCAGCAGCAGTCCCTCCTCCTCTCTCTCTTCCTGCCACCCCTCCTGGGGTGGGGGGCAAGGGGGGGTGGAGGGTGAGGGGGTGGCGGGGGTGACCAGCATGCAGCCCACCTCCTCTCTCTTCCTGCCGCCCCTCCTGGGGTGGGGGGGAGGGGGGGGGGGGGGGGTGAGGGGGTGGCGTTGGAGGACGGATGGAGGGGAAGGTGTGAGGTTCCAGGGGGCGGTTGATAAGGGGGGTGAGGTTGAGGGGGGGTTGGCTGAAAGGGGGCGTGGAATTCAAGGGTTAGTAAGAGGGGCTCGCCGCGCTAGGCTCCCCCCACCTCCTCTCCTCCCTCTCTCACCCCCCCCCCCTTTGTAAAAAGGGGGTTCGTAAGTGGGGCTCGCCGCGTGGCTCCCCCACCTCCTCTCCTCATCCCTCTCTCACCCCCCCCCCCCTTTGTAAAACGGGGGTTCGTAAGAGGGGCTCGCCGCGCTAGGCTCCCCCCACCTCCTCTCCTCATTCCTCTCCTCTCCCCTCTCTCTCTCTCTCGTCTCCTCCTCCTTGCGTTCCTCTCTGTTGTCTTCCATTGCGCATGGTGTACCCCGTCAGGGGGTGTTGACTGCACTGGTTATTGCGGCGAACAGTTTAGGGGGTGTGTTGAAAACATATTTTATATAAACTGTCCTTGCATTAACTGTAGTGTAGGTTCATACTTTATTGGTGTTGCAACCTTAGCTCTTGCCTATATGTACTGCTGTTTCTATAGTGCAACCAACCTTTCTCCTTTGTCAATCTCGCTTGCTACTCTCAACACCCCAAACCCTAGCCATGGCTTCTTAGCCTTTCTCCTATTTCGACATCCTCTCCATCCTACAAATCACTCCCTTCTTCGTCCTCCTGTTCACTCCCTTCTTCCCCTTCACTCTCCTCCCCTTTGCTCCACTCCTCCTCCTCTTCCTCATCTTCGTCCGAGTCATCTTCCTCCGAGCCACCCACTGCACGCTCTCCCTCGTCCAGGTTCGATGTACCATAGATCACCACCCTTCGTCTTGTAGACAGCAGCGGGCATCTACTGACAACACGTGTCTGCAGCTTCCCCATCTGTTGCAGGCCCGCGGGTAACTGAGCCAGCCGCTCGCACCCGAGCAGGGACAAATCCTCCAGTGCGGGCAGCTGCAAAAAACATCGGGGCAGGCTGCAAAGCTCGGGCAGTGACACGAGAGAGAGGCTTTTTAGGGCAGAGAGCTTCCAGAAGTCATCTAGAAGGCACAAAATCCCGACATCGATCAAAGATCACGACTCCAGCTTGCAGAGATCAGGGAAAGACTCGTGAAGTCTGGTTAGGCCCGGGCTGTTGTAAATTTCAAAAGTCTGAAGCTCCTTCAGTTGCCCAAATGACTCGGGCAGAGCAGCCAAGCTCACGAGTTCGGTAAGTTGGATAGATTTGAGACCTGAGAGCTGCCTTATTGTCTCTGGCAGAGCCACCAGGCTTTCGGCATGGATGATCGTGAGCGACTGCAAGCGAGAGAGGCGAGAGATGGAGTCTGGGAGCAAGCGGAGCCGATCCATATCAGAAATTTCCAGCCTGTTTAGCGATGAAAAGGAGCCTAGCGATGGACCGAGCTGCTGCAGGGGAAGCTCCTCGATTCTCAGGACCTCGAGGGATGGAAGCATCACACCCGTACCACTCTCCTCGGATCCCCCACAGCTGCCAGCGCCATTGCTGCTACCGGTGTGACCAGCTACCTCGAGGCGGGTGATTCTCCCCCCAAGCTCTTGCCCGGCAGCTTCTGTGTGTGCATCCCCCGTGTGTGCATCCCTCGTGTGTGCATCCCCCGTGTGTGCATCCCCCGTGTGTTCACCCCCCGTGTGTGCACCCCCGGTGTAAGCATCCCCCGTGTGTTCATCCCCAAACAGCGACTCCAACGCCAAGCAGGAACTCACTTCCAGAGAATTCAACCATGGCAGCTGATACAGCGAGCGAGGGAGCGACTTCAGGTCCCGCAATTGTGAGAGCTTGAGTTTCAAGCGCTCCCAGCCGTCCGATCTCCTCTGGCAGCGCCTTGATGTGCATGCAGCTGACCACGAGGCTGGTGAGAGAACGGCCGATGGCAGGGAGGGAGGCGGGCAGGGCGGGCAGGTGCGGCAGGGAGGAGAGAGAGAGAGGTCCTTGAGGCTTGTCATGTGGGAGAACCTGACAGGTACCGTGCCTTGTAGGCTGGGTACTACAGAGATTTCTAGGGATTCGAGGGAGGAGAGGTTGGAAAAGGATGGAGGGAGGTGAGAGAGAGCCGTGCATTTGAACAGAACAAGTCTGCGCAACTTGCGCAGACCATCCCCCATGCCCTGTGGTAGCGCCGTCAGCTTGGAGCAGTGACTGATTTCCAGCAACTCAAGGGCCGATAGTATAGTCAGGGAGTCTAGAAGCTGTGTCAGCAGACTGCATTTGGCGATTTTAAGCTCCTTGAGGCTCGTCAGGTTGCCAAGCGATGCCGGCAGGCTGCTGAGCTGCGGAAGCCCAACCAGGCGCAGTATTTCCAAAGCAGTCAGCAACCCGAATTCCTCGGGCATAGATGTCAAACATTGTATGTTTACATTGTGTAGGCTATAGTGGGTTTAGCCTCAGGGGGTACACAAACTTAGGGTTTCCTACTTGTACCCAACTTTGTGCTAGTTCAATCATTCCTGTTTCGTTCTTTCTGACATGGTTTCAGAGCAGGTCCTCCGCTAGGACCGATTTTTTTAAGGGCCCACCACACTGACTGCCTACTAGCGCCCTCGTGCGCCCTACTGTCGGAGCGCCCTCGAGCGCCTCCCCCCAACGCCCTCGTGCGCCCCTCCTTAGCGGCCCCTTACGGCCCCGTCGACCCCTGAGCGGCCCCTCACGGCCCCGTCGACCCCGCGCGCCGCCCCTTAACGGCCCCTTACGGCCCCGTCGACCCCGCGCCCCGCCCCTTAGCGGCCCCTTACGGCCCCGTCGACCCCGCGCGCCGCCCCTTAGCGGCCCCCTACGGCCCCGTCGACCCCGCGCGCCGCCCCTTAGCGGCCCCTTACGGCCCCGTCGACCCCGCGCGCCGCCCCTTAGCGGCCCCTTACGGCCCCGTCGACCCCGCGCGCCGCCCCTTAGTGGCCCCTTACGGCCCCGTCGACCCCGCGCATCGGCTGCCTTTTGTTGTGCAGTGTAAGTGATTTCATGCTTGAAGAAACAGTGTGCTTGCTTCTCCGTGCTCTATGGTACTCGCCTGTGGAATTCGAATACCAGCATGAGATAGAGCACCCACCAGAACTGGAGGACTACGAAGAAGACGAGGAGGACTATTACCAAAACACGTTGCGCATTGGCAACAGGCGATGGGGTGAGAATGGCTATGTCCGCCGGGGTCGCATAGAGGCGCGCCCTGCCCCTGCTCGCACGTCTGGTGCAGCTCAGAAGGGTCACAACGACTTCAAGGAGGGGGGTTTGGGCCGAAGGGCAAGAAGAGCTCAGAAGAGGTCCATGACTGATGCAGGAGCTTCCGGCTCAGGCAGCCGCTAAAGGCCATGGGCAGGAGGACAGTGGTTTTTGGCAGTGCCCTTACCAACTCCTGATGTGTGTAAACTTGTAGGGATTGTACAGTTCGTGCTTCTCTAGCTTCGCAGCTATTACCGTTAGCTGATGGTACAAATGGCATTGCATGCTTATACATGAGGGGATCCAAGTCCATAGCTCTTGATGAATATCCAGGTTCTAAGCACCTACTCTTTGTATTTATGTATCTTATACCCTTGATTTCTGTATGCGGTATAGTTTGGTGCTTATTTTCACTCATAGTCAGCTTCCGCTTGCCAGGCACGTGGAGCGGGATCTGTTGAGCTGGATATTCTCCGCCACGCCTTCAACTTCTCCTTGTGACCAATAGCCACGTGGCGAGAATCATAAGGCTATCCTTCCCCCACTGTTGTGTTGCTGGTGACACGCGCTGGTGACCACCCACCTTCATCCTCGCAGGTGTTGGTTTTGACCCTCGATACTGGTTACCCGGAAAACCTAGTCTTCGCCGGTAGCGAATCTTTCGCTTGTGTTGTGAGGAACGTTAGCAGAATTCGAGGATCCCGAGAAAGCAAATGTGGCTGGAAAGATTCGTCAATGTGACCATTCCAAACGTCTTCACCATCTCCAGTCATGAAAACAGCTTGCTCTGTCACCTAGCACCTCCATTACATTCTAGGCTGAGCTCTAGCTTTGCTGTCCGGGCACAATTCGTCCTGGAGAAAGCGTGACCGAGTAACGGGAACCTAGCACTGGCGAGCATGGCGGCCATGGCAGTGACATCCGCCTCTGCAGGCGCGTTGCCAGCTGTCTCCGCCGTTAGCTTCAAGGAGGAAAAGCTCTCTGTTGCCTCCTCTTGCACGCCGCTGAGTTCGGCTCAGGTACAATGCTTTTGTTAGGGATACATCAGACCTGCGTTTATTCTCCTTATTATTGATTCCGTATGCCATGCTGGTAAGGTACATGCTATGCCAGCTAACCTGTTGAGTATAATGTCGCATATGAAGTTACAAATCTATCGTGATAATGTGAATGCAGGCAGGATTTTTTGGGAATTCGCTTCGCCAGCAGTCGCGAAGAGCCTCGCGCAAAGCCGCTTCCCAAGAACATGGAGCCCTTCAGGCATGTACATCGTAATCAGTTCCCTTGTTCCTGAATACCAACCAAGCTGGTTTGTTACAACTATTCTCTTCTCACATGAGTTTACTTATTCCGTGGAGCCGCAGAATCGTTTATTCTGTACGAAGCTGAGGGGTGTCGTTTATTTTACCGCCTCATTTCTGTTTATTTTCTACGAACCTGACGGATGTCGTCATGTTCTCGAAATAAAGCGAAGCTTTCGTTGCCTTTGTGCAGGTTGCTGCGACCGCAAACGCTTCAAGCGACGCTGAGAAGGTACGGCGTCAATATGAGTACCAACGGTCTTGCCATTTTGGATAGGACTTCGTTGTTCTTGCAACTCGATGGGAATCAGGGAATGACTACGTCAGGTGGTGGAAGGGATCAATGATGGCTGGCTTGGCGTTTTGCTTTATCAAGAATTACAAAACTGCCTTGGTTTTGGGTATATTTCACTTCAGGCAATTATGTCATTCTTGTAAGCGTTTCATACTCTTATGCCTTCTCATAGTTCTCAAGGTCAACCTTGCAAGCCTTGCCCTCCTTTTACTCGCGAGAAGAGAGAGGAGGAAGAATTGAATCCTCAGCCTTACCATACTCGTATTCTCCGTCCCTTATTCTTCCCACTGTCGCCCCTCTTCACTCAAAATCTTGCTCCCGATCACAGGAGCGGCTGCAGGCGATGGTGGCGGAGAACGCGCGGCTGAAAGCCCGCTTGGCGGAGCTGGAGGGGGCGCTCTCGCTGGCCATGCAGGGAGGCGGCGCGCCTGGCTCTCCTGCTGTTGCTTCTGATGTGGTGAGTGGGTAACGCTGGAGGTGACAACCTGAGATTGAGAAGACTCAGGAGCTGGCGGGGGCGCTCTCCCACGCCATGCACAGGGGCGGCGTCCCTGGCTCGCCTGCTATTGCCGCTGATGTGGTGAGTAATTTTGGAGGTTCCAATGGTTGAACCATACCATGGTGGTGTGGTGTGTATTTTGATGTATGTCCGTGCTACAACAATTTCCATGGTGAGATCAGATTGTGTTTTCAGGAGTTCTCTCTTTAAGGAGCTTATCCAGTGACAACCAGACACATCTCGTGGAAACACATTATCAGAGACAACCAGACACATCTCGTCTTGATTTTTGAACTGCGTCGAAAGCGCCCCCCACCCCCAAACCCCTGCCCCTCCCCTTGCCTGTTTATCCCATACTCGGTTTCCTATGTGTCAGGCAACAGCAGCAACACCAGCCTCAGCATCCGTCGAAGTTATAGAAGAGGCAGTCGGGTCGGCTCAGAAAAGACAAGCTGTGCCGGCCACTGCTGCCCAGCAGATCATCTGGCCGTCTCCCCAGGAGGAGCCGCCGTTCTGGATGCGCTGGCCAACCAGTGAAGGATACGTGGCAGCATCAGGGGTGGCGAGCAGCGGATCAACAGGGGACGGAGTGGTGGGAGAGAGGGACTCGGAGCGCCTACACATTGTGCACGTGACTGCTGAAATGGCTCCCCTGGCGAAAGTCGGAGGCCTGGGCGATGTGGTAACAGGTCAGTTGTTGCACGTTACGTTACGGCTACAGGATGTAGAAGCCATGGTGGCAGGTCAGTAGTGCGCTACCGGAGAGAAAAGTGTGGTAGCAGGTGAGTGAGCAACAGCGGACAGAGTTGTGGGAGTGAGGGCTAGAAGCGCCCTCACATTGTGCATATGACTGCTGAAATGGCTCCGCTGCAAGCTGGAGCCTTAAGGGATGTTGTAACAGGAGAGTTTCTAGATGCAGAAGTCATTGCAATAAGTCAGTTGTTTGCCTGCAGGTTTGAGCCAAACGTATGTATCTTGCTCTGCCCATTCTGTGGAGGAAATATTGCCATTGCAATTCTTCATTGCCCCGTCCATTTAAACTTCTTTGCAGGTTTGGGCCGAGCCTGTCTGGCGCGGGGCCACACGGTGGAGGTTATGCTGCCATTCTACGAGTGTCTGGACACCAAGCAGATCGCCAACCTGCAGCTCAAGCGCTCCTTTGGCTCCTACTTCAAGGGTGACTGGGTTGGCGTGGAGGTGCGTTGGTGTGAGCATGAGCTGGGGAGGAGATGTAGGTTGCAGTGTTTGAGTGCTTGTGAGGCAGAGAGGTGGTAGCTCAGGGTGGAGGTGAGAAGCAGATTGCCAACCTGCAGCTCAAGCGCTCCTTTGGCTCCTACTTCAAGGGCGACTGGGTCGGCGTGGAGGTGGGTTGGTGGACCAGGAATGTAGCGGGTTGGAGCAGAGATGAGACGGATGTATGCCAAAATAGCCACGCAGCTGCCAGCCGTGAAAATAGAATGCATTTGTCAGAAAAACACCATTCTCTATCCCACATTGCTCCCTCCCTCCCACTCAGGGCCATGCATGCAGTGGGGGGGAATCTGTTAGTTGCTGCCAGTAGTGTTGCTGGGGCCATGCCACATGACCAGATCCAGTACAACAAGGACTTAACAAGCCCAAGTGGCTGCACTCACCGCATCCCATTCAGTAGAGTGCCCCTTTCCTTCCCTTCAAATCCATCCAAGCAGGCGTTCAGTGGGGAGATCTCAGGCGTGCCAGTGGTGCTGCTGAAGCCCGAGAACCATTTCTTCAGGGGAGGGCGCATCTACGGCGGCTCCTACAACGAGCTCGAGGCCTACCTCTTCTTCAGCCGCGCCAGCCTCGAGTTCCTGCAGGTGAGGTGGCCGTGTGGCCACTGTGTGACACGTGGGGTTTCGGTCTCGTCCTGCAGGTTATGGGAAGTATGCCTCTCCTGGTGAAGGTAGGCCGTGAGGCTCCTACAACGAGCTCGAGGCGTACCTCTTCTTCAGCCGCGCCAGCCTCGAGTTCCTGCAGGTGAGGATGGATGGGGTTGCAGCACGGGCCATGTGTGCCTAGTCTGCCCTCCCTTTCTCACCCTGGGACATGGTACCCTCAGCCGCACCTGTGTGCGCACATGTGTAGCTCATCAGGTGACAGGGGTGCAGCCGCCTTTATCCATGGCCATGAGTGGAACACAACAGCACTATTTCCCCTTCCTTGTCTGCCTGCCTGCCCTCGCTCTCACTCTCCCTGTACTGTAACATGGTATTCTGTGTTGTTGTACCTACGTGTGTCCATGTGTATACCATCTTCAGGTGACAGGAGCACAGCCAGACATTCTGCACATCCACGAATGGCATACAGCAGCTGTTGCTGATTCTTCTCTGCCTCCCCTCTCAGACTCGCCCTCTCAGACTCGCCCTTTAAATTGTAGCATGTGTACCTATGTGTGCCTGTGCATGGCTGTGTGTATTCCGTCAGGTGACGGGAGCGCAGCCGGACATTCTGCACATTCACGAGTGGCACACAGCAGCGGTGGCGCTGCTCTACTGGGACATCTACCACCAGCTCAACCTGCAGGTGCGTCTTTTGATGAGGCGCCTCAGAACGTGCAGCAGTGAGTCCAATGTGTGCAGACTTGACACCAGTGGCGCTGCTCTACTGGAACATCTACCACCAGCTCAACCTGCAGGTGCGCTGCAGTAGCAGTCTGTTAGTCATGGCTCTGAACCGCTGAGGCAATTTGAGGCTTTTGAATGAGTTCATGCCTGGGTATGAACCCGGGTTGACCCCAAACGATACCTGGTCAAACAAAAATTTATCCATTCTATTCCTATACTCTTCCCTTCTCCCCCCCATTCACTCTCCATCCCTATTGCAGAAGCCACGTTTGATTCTCACTATCCACAACATGGAGCACCACGGGGAGTGCAGGTGAGGTGCATGTATATGTGGACGGGGCAGCGTCCGAAGATAGGTAGAGTAGAGGCAGTGTCGAACGTCAAGCGTCGAAACGCTGCGTTTTTGTGTCTGATGCTCCCCTGTCTGAGCGTCAAATCTATCATAGCTGTGCTGCTGCCATGCCATGTGTTGCTTGCCAGATCCTCTGTACATTGCTCGTTTCCGTGCGTTGCCTGGCCGTGTCTCAGATGGGAGCAGCTGGACATGTGTGGGCTGGACGGGCAGTCGTATCTCGACTCTGAGAAGGTACGGAGTGTTGGAACTTGGAGCAAGTAAGCAAGAGTTGATTTCTGAGGCACCTGAAGAATCTCCTAGGTTTGAGACGCCTCAAGACGCTGGAAGCATGTGGCCTGGAGGAGCAGTCCTACCTGGATAGCAAGCATGGAATGTTGGAATAGGCTAGATTGAGTTTGCTCTGAAAGGGTCGTCTTAACTCAATGAAGAAGAAATGAAAAATTCCAAAGAGGAAACCATGAAGAAACCTTCTGGTCCCCAACCCCAACCACGAGCCAGTCTATGCACGACCATACATTGGAGCTCGGCACAGCCTTGTCGTGTCCTCCTCTCCTCTCATATCGTCCGCCCCTCCTCCCCCCACCTATCAGGCCATGGACGACCGCACAGTGGGACACAACCCTGAGAGGCTGTCCATGCTGAAGGGAGGGATTGTGTACTCCAACATTGTCACGTGAGTGATTCTCGACTTGACTCAAAATGTCTATGCTGAGGGGAGGTTTTTGTGTACTCTCCAACATGGTAACGTGAGTCGACACTGTCACATGATCTGTTCTTGAGGCGCCTAACAAAAAGTGGGCCACAACCCCGTGAGACTGTCCATGCTGAAGGAAGGATTGTGCATTCCAACATTGTAACGTGAGTGATTCGTGGGTCGATGCAAGAACTGCTTCTAATCTGACTTGAAATGTTCATGCTGAAGGGAGAGATTGTGTACCTTCACATCGTGATGTGAGTTGATGATGCCAACTCTGTGAGTTCTTTGTTGGCTCTGATGCTTGGGTACGCCCAGTGCACTATCCCAGTGAGTTGACACCATCTTTGTTAGTTGGCACTCTTGCATGACCATGCATGTTTGTATATTCTTTATCACAGAAAATAATTTTGTTTTCTGAGTAGAATCAAACGTGTGTACCCCTAAGCATATGCGCATGCATGCCTGCAATGATGCCTCCCATCCTAATCCGCGCCCATGCCACCATATTCACCACCACACACATGTGTGCACCCTAGAACCCATGCCATGCATGATGCATACATCATGCATGCATGCAGTACTATGAGCCCCACATATGCCAGCGAGACTCAGGGTGGTCCTGAGAATTTCAAAAAACGTATGGATGCTCTCCGTGTTCCATTACATGCATACATGCAGTACTGTGAGCCCCACATATGCCAGCGAGACTTTCTGCAACGGTTGGCTCGCCAACACGCTCCTCAAATACCGCACCAAGTAAGTTTTTAATTACTAGCTTTCAATGTCAGTTTAATTACTGGCTGGTAAAAAAGAAAAATCTGCACTTGCGTTTACGTGCATATAAGCGTGTATAAATGAATTTTCATGTACGTTCACACATATGAAACAAAACTAATTTCCACTTTATGGTGGATGACTTTACCCTGCCTGGCAGGTACTTTGGTGTGCTGAACGGTATCGACACGGAAATGTGGGACCCGCAAACCGACCCCCATCTGCCCGCTCATTTCTCACGTACGCCTCTTGACTTTTTTGCACCCTGAATGTCAAACCAGACCAACTGTCAGCCCGTTAATTTCTCACGCACTCCTCTTCCATGCCCTAATCTTAAGACTTAAACCAGGCCAATCATTTGTGTGCCCCTCATGTATGCCTCGTGCCTTGCCATTGCTCAGAAGCTGATCCATGCCATTGCTCCTACCTATCACATATTCTGCCCTTCTTTTTTCTCATTCCCCTTCTAGCCACCAGCCTGGCAGGCAAGATGCTGTGCCGTACCAGCTTTACGTGCAGTGGGGCCTTGGCCACTTAGCTCAATCTACCCCCCCTCTTCCCCTCTCCTCACCCTCACCCTGCCCTCCATCCTTCTCTCCCCCATTCCCTCCCGAAAAAAATATTCTTCCCCTCTCCACCTTCCCCCTTCCCCCACTCTTTCCTTTGTCTCCTTTCCTCCAGCCACCAGCCTGGCAGGCAAGATGCTGTGCCGTACCAGCTTTACGTGCAGTGGGGCCTTGGCCACTTAGCTCAATCTACCCCCCCTCTTCCCCTCTCCTCACCCTCACCCTGCCCTCCATCCTTCTCTCCCCCATTCCCTCCCGAAAAAAATATTCTTCCCCTCTCCACCTTCCCCCTTCCCCCACTCTTTCCTTTGTCTCCTTTCCTCCAGCCACCAGCCTGGCAGGCAAGATGCTGTGCAAGCACTACGTGCAGCGGGGCCTGGGCCTCACACCTGAAATAACACCTGAGGCAGCAGAGAAACTTGCAGCTGATGCGTCAGCAGGGCCCGTGGCTGACTCAGCGCTGACTCAGCTGGTCACGGGGGAGCGGTCCCCATTGGTAGTGTGCGTGACCCGTCTGGTGGCCCAGAAAGGCATTCACCTGATTCGCCACGCCATTTACCAGACACACAAATATGTGAGCCGTTATTTTGTAGTTTCTGTTAATGCTGACAAGACCACGAATATCCGAGTCTCTTTACTATTCGTATTACTCTAATAGCACTGCAACATCTGCTGGACATATGCACATGTGAATCTCGGATCCTTTTTGCCAGCATGTAGTCAGTTTTTCGTCAATGGAGGAGAGCCTTCATTCTCCTCCGCGATCCATCCTTTCATTGTTCCATCTGTCTCGCACACACTTCCCTCTATCTCGCAGACACCACTCACTATCTCGCACACCTTCCTATGAACTTGCTCTGCACCCCCTCACTTTTGTCAATCTATGTGTCCAACCACTCCATGGGGCGGGCAGCTCATTCTGTTTTTGAAAATTGTCGGATTTTTTTTTTTCTACCCCCTCCCCTCCCCCCTCAAAAAAAAAAAAAAAAAAAAACAACAACAACAACAATCATCTCGGTGTGTGTACCCACTCCACAGGGTGGACAGTTCATTCTGCTAGGCTCGTCGCCTGATGGCCGGGTACAGGGAGACTTCGTGAAGATTGCAGAGGAGGTGAGTGAGTGGGTGGCCTTCTTAGATTACTAAAGCTTCTGGGCTGTGGGCTGGGTTTTGTTTTGCAAGATGTCAATCCAGAGGAGGTGAGCAGTGGCCTGCCTTTTGAGTCGACTCAAAAGTCACTGGGCTGTGGGTTAGGTTCTGTTGTGCAAGGTATCAGTACCCAGAGGAGGTGAGCAGTGGCCTGCCACTTGGGACTATATTTAATTTAGTGGGATTCAGGTTTCAAGATCCTTTGTTAGGATTGCAGAGGAGGTGAGCGGCGTGGCCTGCTGAGAGTAATGAGATGAGGCACCTTGGCTGTGCGCGTCAGGTTGTGTTGTGAAGAGGCCGACTGCAGGGATAGTGTGTTGTGGCTGCTGATGAGTTGAGAGAGGGGTGAGGGATGTGGCTCCTGTTGTGTTGCATGCACCGTTACCATCTGATCTGGGTTCCATTGTCGTTTTTATTTTTGTCTTTTTACAGTTCCAAGATGGCGGCAGTGTTCGTCTCGTTCTCACATACAGGTAACTTGCCACATCGCCACCATATGCCACGTCATATTGCTCATGTGCCACCACCGTTGCCTGCTCATGTACCCAACTGTTTGCTCTTTTTTTTCCAGCAAATTTCCATGTCATGTAGTGCCAGGATTTCACACCCAGGAGTACATCCTCGTTATAAGCAGCTAACCTTGTGCGTTTAGTGTGGTTGACAGTGAGAGCCTGGCTCACCAACTGTTTGCGGCGGCGGATATGGTCCTCGTGCCCTCCATGTTCGAACCGTGCGGACTCACCCAGATGATTGGCATGCGCTATGGCACAGTGAGTTTTTTTGGGGGGGGGAAAGGGAGCGGAGGGGAAGGGGGCGATGGTTGAGGGAATATTTGCTGTGTGAGACTAAGGAAGTGGCCCTCCTGCCCTCCATGTTTAGAGCTGTGCAGTCACACGTAGATGATCGGCATGCGCTATGGCATGGTGAGTGGGGGGTGGGGACGAGGAGGGAGGCAAAGCATGGTGGTTTTTGGCATTAGTGAGTGATTGGTCTTTGTGTCCGCCATGTTAGAGCTGTGTGGAATCACTCAGATAATGCGCTACAGTACTGTGACTGGGGAATGGGTGGGGGGGGGGAGGGAGAGGGTGGATAGGGGATTTCTGAGGACTTTTCATGAGGCATGTGAAAATGTTTTCTCATCCGTTCCCTACTCTCGTGTGTCTCTTGTTGCTTCATGTCATCAGGTGCCGGTGGTGAGGCGGACAGGGGGACTAGCTGACACAGTCTTTGATGTGGACGATGGGGGAAACAAAGAGAAAGCGAATGGGTGAGTGGCATCAGTACTCATATATTTACGCAATGGGCAGCGTGCTTTGTATAGGTTCCCTTAGAAAGGGGGCACAGCTCATGCAGTCACTGATAGGATAATGTGTGGCATGCTCTTTTTCCGGCAGGGAGGCAGTCAGGCCTTCTCGTCACTTTCTCTGTTGGTCACTCTTTTCTATGCCTTGCTTGCAGGTTTGTGTTTGATGGAATTGGCGAGGACACACTTGATTCAGCCCTCTCTTGCCTCTTCCTTTGTTCCTTCGCCCCTCACTCCTCTCTCTCCTCCTCCCCCTTTGCTGCAGGTTTGTGTTTGATGGAATCGGTGAGGACGCACTTGATTCAGCCCTCTCTCGCGCTGTCAAGTATTACAAGGACCGTAAGTCACTTCTGAAATTGCTCAGTAGTCACTTTTAAGAGAGTTCTGAGTCACTTTTGAGAATTCTCAAAAGCTATTCAGCCCTCTCTCGCTCTGTCCAGTACTACAAGGACTGTAAGTTTCTTCCCCCCTCTCCCTAAAAGCACTGTAGGTTTCTTTAGGTGCCTCAACAAATGTCTTAATTCTCTCCTCTCTCTCTCTCTCACTCTTGTGCTATCAAGTATTTCAAAGACGTAAGTTGCTCCCCACTTTCATCAAAATGCCCTTCTCCTTCCCCCACCCAATAGCAAGCACAGGTGAACACTGAAACGTGTGTCTCATTGTCCTGCAACCTTTCTGTTATTGAGCTTATGCCCCTTGTGTTTCATTCACCCCTTGCCACCTGTTCTATTGCCCTAAACCATTCTCCCACTAATGTTCTGCCATATGTCAGGCCCTGAGTGGTGGCAGCAGCTGACGTCTACAGTGATGAGCATCGACAACAGCTGGAACAAGGCTGCTAAGGAGTATATATCTCTCTACGACAGCATCAGAGTGCGATGGCCTTAGACATACCTCTTGCACAATTACCCACTGAAAAATTGTAAGTTTAACTTGGGATGACGCATCAGAATGAGTAAACTGGTACCATATTTCCTGGCTAATGTACCCCCCAGATTTATAGCCCTCTGGGTCGTTAAATAGGGGTGTATAGAATGCTAACTACACCAGATTTTTGGGGACGAATAAGGATTTATGGATGTAAATCGCAAAATGGCTGACACGTTTTTTAGATGTACTGTAGCATCTCTTGGAAGGGCAGCACGCGTGGCAGGGTGGCAGCGGGTAGAAGCTGCACGGATTTCACCATGGTTGTGCGAGCGCCCACCACCGCCATGCCGCCACGTCTTTTGGGTCCGCCATACATGCAGTCGTAGTTACGGTATAACTTTGTGTGACCATACGAGCGCGCCTGCTGCCCACGAGTGAGGGTGGGGAAGGTGACGTGGAACGGAGTCACAGGCAGCACGTCGCCCTCCCACCCTCCCTCGTGCCCGCGCCTGCAACCACCCCCGCCACCTCCCCCTATACTGACGCGCCATCCGCTAACGCTGCCCCACTCTCCCCTCCCCTATACCTGGTGGGCTGGCATATACTTATGAAGAGAGCACGACACGGAGTTCCAGGCCCCACGAGCCGGTGGCGGGGAACAGTGAGGGCGCGCCTAGATGCCATGCCACTCCAGGTGACTCCGAAGCGACTTTTGAGACGCCTCAAAAGGTGTTTCAGGCCCCACGAGCCAGTGGCGGGCAGCAGTGAGGGCTCGCGGGCAGCAGTGAGGGCTCGCGGGCAGCAGTGAGGGCTCGTGGGCAGCAGTGAGGGCTCGTGGGCAGCAGTGAGGGCGCGCCTAGATGCCACTCCAGGTGACTCCGAAGCGATCGATGGCTGCGGGCTTCTCGGGGTCGCAGGCGCTAGGAAGAGGAGGAGGCTTTTGAGCATTCTCAACAGCTTTGGGAGGGTTTAGAGGAGGAGGCACGTAGATGTCGAGTGGGCGCAGGGCGTAGAGCGCGGCAGTGCGAGAGAATCCCGAGGCCGGGATGATGAAGGAGTGGGACGATGCTATGAGCGCCCACTCCGCCACCGTCTCGCGAAAGTGCTGCAGGCCTTGCTGCGCCGCGTCACGCTCGTCCGAGGAGGATGATGATTCGAGGTCTGTGTGCTGCTCGTGCTGCGTGGCTTGGGCGGAGTGCCAGGGGATGAAGTCCGTGGCCACCACCTGGCAAGGCGGGGAATGAACGAGGGGGACAGGAGGGGAACAGGAATGAACGACGCAGCGCCGCGTCACGCTCATATTACGATGCGATGCTATGAGCGGCTTGAAGGAGTGGGATGATGCTATGAGCGGCCACTCCGCCACCGTCTCGCGAAAGTGCTGCAGGCCTTGCTGCGCCGCGTCACGCTCGTCCGGCGATGCGACGTCTGTGTGCTGCTTGTGCTCCGTGGCTTGGGCGGAGTGCCATGGAATGAAGTCCGTGGTTACCACCTGGCAAGGAATGAATGAGGGAAACAGGAGGGGAACGACGCAGCGCCGCGTCACGCTCATATTACGATGCTATGCTATGAGCGGCCACTCCGCCACTGACTCGCGAAAGTGCTGCAGGCCTCGCTGAGCTGCTTCATGCTCAGAGGTGACTTTTGAGTCGACTCAAAAGTGCTGCAGGCCTCGCTGAGCTGCTTCATGCTCAGAGGTGACTTTTGAGTCGACTCAAAGTGCTGCAGGCCTCGCTGAGCTGCTTCATGCTCAGCCGAGAAGGATGATTCAAGGTATGTGTGCTCGTGCTCCGTGGCTTGGGCGGAGTGCCATGGAATGAAGTCTGTGGTTACCACCTGGCAAGGCCCAAGGGCCCAAGTCCCAGCGCCGCACATGTGCCCAGGGGCAGTGCACGTGGTGAGGCGTGGACCAGGGACAGTGCACGCAGCACACGCACAGGGGGGAGGTGCAGTGCAGTGCATGAGGGGAACAGGAGGTGTGAGGCAGGACAAGAGCGAATGAGGAATGGAAAGAAATGCGTGGCGAGGGAGAGGTGGATTGACCGAAGAAGAAAAGGTGGGGCAGATGGCAGGAGTGGTTGGGGACGGACGGGTGGAGCATGAGTGTAGGCGGGTCGGTGCACACCTTGTGTGGGTCCGTACACACCTTGTGTGGGTACTTGGATTTGAGCGCTTGCTTCTTGAGTCGATTCAAAATGACTTTTAAGATGACTTTTGAGTCGAATCAAAGTCAGCTACGTGGGTCAGTGCACACCTTGTGTGGGTACTTGGCTTTGAGTGCTTGCTTGAGCAGGTGTGAGTTGGTGATGAGAACCCACTTCACCTTGAGGGGAGGCGGGTACCAGAACTCCTCCACCGCCTGCCATGCCATGGGGACAGGGAGATGGGGAGGTCAGTTTTGAGAATTCTCACAAGTGATGAGAACCCACTTCACATAAGGGAGGCGGGTACCAGAAAGAACTCCTCCACCGCTGGTCATGCCAACAGTGAGAGGCAGGGGAGGCAGGACCCCATGGGGACGGGGAGATCACATTTGAGAATTCTCACAAGTGACTTTTGAGGCGGGTACCAGAACTCCTCCACCGCCTGCCATGCCATGGGAACGGGGCCACAGGGAAATCACTTTTGAAAATTCTCACAGGTGATGAGAACCCACTTCACGTTCAGAGGAGGTGGGTACCAGTTCTCGTCCACCGCATGCCATGCCATGAGGTGACTTTTGAGTCGACTCAAGAGAACCCACCGGAGGCGGGTACTAGTTCTCCGCCACCACCACCGCCTGCCATGGGGAAGGGGAGAGAGAAAGTTGGGAAGGGGAAGGGGGGGCGAGAGGAACGGGGAGGAGGTGATGGTGAGTGAAGCACGTGCATGAAGGGACAGTTAGTGCCAAGGCACATGCAAGCCGCACGCACATACTTTTGAGAATTACCCACATAGCGTGCCAAGGCACATGCACGCTGCACGCACATACTCACTGCGTACTCCCTCGTCAGTCGTCACTGGTTCTGAGGAGAGGTTGTACATAACCCAATTATGCTAACCTGTGCGCACTGCAGTGTGCTGTTGGCCTTGGCGACCAGGTCCCCCAGCTGCTGCTGCGTCATGTTCTGGGGCGTCATGCCATCATTCTGCCACACCTCGCGGTCGTAACTGGTTCTGAGGAGAGGTCGTAACCTAAAATAACCCAATTATGCTAACCTGAGCGCACTGCAGTGTGCTGTTGGCCTTGGCAACCAGGCCCTCAAGCTGCTGAGCCGTCATGTTCTGGGCCGTCATGCCATCATTCTGCCACACCTCCCGGTCCGGCACGCGCACGTGCACGGCCATGCGCACCACACCCTCTCCCCACACCTGCTCCTCCATCCCCACCAGTAGATCCCATACCTCTGGCCGCGGGCTGAGCCACGGGGAGGAGGAAACAGGGGGAGGAGGGAACAGGGGGAGGAGGAAACAGTGAGAGGAGGGAACAGGGGGAGGAGCAGTTTGGGGGGTTGGGAAGGAGGGGAAGAAAAGCGACGAGCAGAAGTGGATACAAGTGGGTGGACGGTGGCGGACAGTACCTCGCAACGTTACTGCGGAATAAAAGTGTCCTCACTAGATTTTGAATTTTCGCCAACCAGCACTTTTGCGCTGGCAGGCAAGCCTCGTGAAGTATTATTTTCTGACCCTCGAAGGGCAAATGTGGGCTGCCGTTTCAAGAATCCCTCGCATTCTCAAACGAGACTTCAGCGCAGGGCACGCGAGGCGGACCTGAAGAGGAACCGGAGGATGCACCCGAAGCCGTACGCGACCTTAAAGCCCAGCTGCCTCAGCGCGTTAGCCCACGGGCCCTGGTCGCGCAGGAGCGTGGTGATCAACATGCCCTTGTTGTACCGCACGCGGTAGTTGCTCAGCGCGCTCAGCTGCTGCAGCGCCTCCATCTCAAACGTGTGCCGCAGCAGGTCCAAGCACGGCACCGCACTGCTGTTGTTGTCACCGCTGCTGCTGCTGTTGTTGCTGTCTCGCCCCGCGGCGGCGCCCAGGTTGCCCTCCAGCCGCTCGCACGGGGGAGCGAGCCACTCCACGCGCGGCTGCTCATCGCCAGGGTCGTCGCCGGGGCCGTCGCGCGCGGGGGCGGCGGCGGCGTCCAGGGGCGGCGGCGGAGTGGGCGTGGCCGCGCGCAGCAGCGGGCGCCCGCCCATGGGCACGTCGGGGGAGAGCGCGGTGTCGATGTGCGGCGAGCGGAACGCGGCGTGCATGCAGGGCTGCGCGACCACCAGCGCGCGGCGGTCCAGCAGCGCGGCGGGGAAGAGCGACACGAGCCCGATCAGATAGTCCCCCAGCCCGCCGCACGACCCGTACCAGTCGTACGTCAGGAACCGTACCGCGGCGCCGCCCGCTGTATCCGCGCCCGCTGTATCCGCGCCTGCCGGCTCCGCGCCGGGGGGAGAGTCGTCCGCCAGGCGCCTGCGCGGGGCAGCTGGCTGTGGCGGCGGCGCGGATGGCGGAGGCGCCGGCGGCGCGGCGGGCGGAGGCGGCGGGGTGGCTGCAGAGGAGGAACGGGGAGCAGAGGGCGGAGCGGTGCGTTTGTAAACTCGCACCCTTACGCGCTTGCATCCTGCCTCTCCCCGTCCGTGCAACCATGAGTGTGCCTCCGGAACGGTCATTTCTCGCGCAACTAACACTCACTCAATTAAAACCGCATCATCGGCGCGCTCCGCCCTGCCGTCGGAGTCCGACGCTAGTACTAGTAGTGTACCTGGCGGCTGTCGCGCCCGCCACGCGTCTCGGCTGGCGGCTCTGATGCGCGCGTGCAGCTGCGCGTACTCGTCGCGCCATGCCGCCCCGCACACATGCTCCGGGTACTCGAATCCCGCCAGCATCGACCCCGGCTGCGCCGCTCCGCCCTGCTGCTGCACCGCTCCGCTCTGCTGCTGCTGCGCGCTGCACGCCTGCGCGCGGAAACAGGCAGGGGATTGAAGGGGATTGTGGCGGGGGGTGGTGAGTGAGAGAGGGGGGCCATGGGACGAGCGTGGCGCTGCGGCGCTTTAGAAGCGGGAAGGCGCGGGACCAGGGCAATGGGTACTACTACTACTAGTGGGCGCAGGCGGTGCGGGGGGGTTAGGGAGGGGGTAGGGGAGGCGGAGGGTGGCGGAGGGATTGCGAGGACGGCGTATGCTTACAGCGAGGCATGCTGCGACGAGGACGAGACCGAAGCGACGAGTTACGCGAGCAGACGGAGAGCAGCGGGTGAGGCAGCGGCGGCGAGTCTGGTGTGGGCGGCGCATGGGAATCATGGCAATGATTGGTAGAGGGACGGGTTTACCTGGAGCAAACGTGCAGGGCGGGCATTGCTTGTGGTACATTGTTCCAGTGCTAAGAGACTTCTGAAGCAGCGCTTCAGCTTCACGCTGCCGTCCGCGAGCACTTCATGGTTGTGTAGTGCAGCCACTAGTAGCTTGTGTTAGACAGGCTGCCGTCCGCGAGCTTAATGCACGATGTTTGATACGGTTTAATACGGTTAATTGAGTTGGGGCGCCACTTTCAGGTTTCCAATGCTTTAGACCATTCTGCACCGGTACTAAGAACTTTTCAATACAAGCACAGAAGAAAAATGTCCAGTGCCGTAGTTGCTTTAACCTAATCTCAACACTATTCAACATATACAGCATGATGAGCAAAGCATTGTGACACAATTATACGATACCGCAATTGAAAGCGACACTACTCATTCTTATGAAACACTAGTTGTTTCAGCTTCATCATCCCAACACTGGTACGTGCAGCAGTAGCGAAGGCACTAATTTCAGAAATACTCATCCTTGCGGTAGCTTCGATCTGCTTCTGCTTGCCAACCTGTTGGCGGGCAGGCAGCAAGGAGCAGGGAGCAGGCAACAGAGAGGGAGCGGAGAGGACAAAAGGTGTTTTGAGCTAAATTTAGAAGTACTCATCCTTGCGGTAGCTTCGCTCTGCTTCTGCTTGAAAACCTATCCGTGGGCAGGCAGCTTGCATGCTTTCATGAAGCAGACATGCTGTTTGAGAACCCAGATCCATAGTTATTTGCTCGTGCTCGTATGATGTCATGTTTGAGCTGAGCATTGCTGTTCTCATATGACTGGTTGCTGACTTGTACCAATGTATGTTGACTTCTGTTAACCACTTGTGTTGACATGTGCGTACCTTGGTTGACCAGCTCCCTGCTCTGGCTGGTGTGGCGCCATCGCCAGCAGAGGAAGATGAGAGTGAAGCAGCAGACAAGCACAGCGAAGGATGCGACTGCGATGCCGATGATGGCTCCTGTCGGCATGGCTGGCGGAGGGAATGATCATGCAAGGGAAATGTACGAATAAGCTTTTAGGAAGCGAAAGATAGAGGGATGACGGAAGAGCGTGCAGCAGCACACAAGAACAGCAAAGGATGTGATGTGACTGCAGTGCCGATGATGGCTCATGTCGGCATGATTGTGCAAGGGAGATGTACACATGACATGAGGTTTTAGGAAGTCAAAGTGAAGGGATGACTGAAGAGAGTCAAAAGCTTTCTAGGAAGCTTCCTTGCTCCTGTCGACATGGCTGGAGGAGGGAGGGAATGATTGTGCAAGGGAGATGTACACATGAGCCTTTAGGAAGAGAACGGTAAAGGGATGATGACTGATGAACGTGCAGCAGCAGACAAGCACAGCGAAGGAAGCGACTGCGATGCCCATGATGGCTCCTGTCGACATCTTTTGAGACGACTTTTGAGACGACTTTTGAGACGACTCAAAAGATGCAATGCCGATGATGGCTCCTGTGGGCATGGCTGGAGGCGGGACGGGCAAGGAATGGTTGTGACATGTCCCAAGACATGATGGCTCTAATTGATGTGGCTAGATGAGGGAACAGGAGAGGGGTGTCCGCATGAGCTGTAGGAAGTGAGGGATAAGGGATAGTGACAGTGCACCAACCCTTACAAAACCTTACACGGCAAGGAACTCAAAGCCAGCATCCCACAGCACTTGAAGATCCTCCAAACTCATGGCCACTCGCTCGCTCACTCACTCACTCACTCACTCACTCACTCACTCACTCACTCAACAGCACACACAGACTCACCAACTGCACTGGATGACTCCTGAGGCGGTGGTGGGGGGGAAGTCACACATGTCGGCAGCCCATTGGCTCCCACTGCAGCAGCAGCACCCGCAGAGCAGCGGCAGGTGTAGGAGCTGTTAGGCGCTGTGGTGGCGGCTGGTCGAGGGGCCTTGTTGGTGGAAGCAGAAGCGGGAGTGGGAGGAGAGGAGGAGGGGATGCAGTCTCCGGGACCGCATGGATTGGACGGGTAGCTGGTGCAGGGGTCGGCTGGGAGAGGGGAGGGATAAAAGGAAGCACAGATGTTGCAGGGGTGAGTGGAGAGGAGGGGATGCAGTCGCCTGGGCCGCATGGGTTGGACGGGTAGCTGGTGCAGGGGTCGGCTGGGAGAGCAGAGGGAGGGAGAAACGGGAGAATTGTGGTGGAAGGAAATGTTTAGACTGCCTGTGAAAATAAGGGGTTGGAGGGAAGCCTAACTGGTGCAGGGGTTGACTGGGAGAGTGTCGAGAGAGGAAAGGAAGTAAACAGAGGAGAGGGAAGAAAGAAAGGAGAGTAAGGGAAGAGAGCATCGCAAAACACACTTGCACAACGCACATAGACATGTATCCACTCGCAAAAGGCCGACGTTGGTGAATGGGCCAATTCGCGCCTATGCACACGCACACACACACCCCCACTCACCCATGCACGTACACACACGCACAGAGATTGCGAGCCCACATACTTACGCACATACAGCAGGAGGAGCAACAGGAGAATTCTGAGCAGGCATGCTGGAAGGCAGAAGTGGGTGACTGGGGCACCTCGCACTCATGCACACGTGCACACTTACACCCACACACACCCACACACACCCGCACACACCCACACACACCCACACACACCCGCACACACCCACACACACCCGCACACACACACACGCAGACACACATGGTCTTGCGCCCACATCCACAACCTTACAAACTTACTGCAGGAGGAGCAGAAGTCGGGGCAGGCCAGGCAGAAGGCCGAGGTGGGTGACTGGGGCACCTCGCATGGTGTTGACGGGAGGGGACAGGTGGTGCTGGTGGCGTTGGTTGCACTGAGGTGGAGGGGAGGGAGAGAAAAAGGGCAGGTAGAGGCCAGAGGTTTCACTCACAGCACGGTGAAGTTAAACTCACAGCACAGTGATGTTTCACTCACAGCACGGACTCACTCACAGCGTGGAGAAGTTTCACTCACAGCACGGTGAAGTTTCAGGCACAGCACAGAGATGTTCCACTCACAGCACGGTGAAGTTTCACTTACAGCAAAGTGAGGTTGCTGAGCTGTCCCAGGGAAGCGGGAATGAATCCACTAAGCTGAGGATTGTAGCTCAAATCCCTGCAAAGAAGGGAGAAGGGAGAAGGGGAAGGAGAGGTCATGGGAGGTGAGAGGAGAGGTTAGGAAGGTTGGGTTGAAGATTCTGTCTGTCAGGTGCAAATGGAGAGTGAGCAGGCACCATGCGTGATAGGGGTGATGCTGATGCACTGTGAAAACATAACGCATCCATGCATCGCTTTTGCCAAATCTTGCTGTTGGTTTTCAAAACAGCAGTGCCAATCATGTGTCATGTATTGAGCAGCTTCAGGTGGAAACCCAAAGGGCATGCAAACTGGTGAGGGTGGCAACTCACAGCGCCTGCAGACCGGTGAGGGTGGAGAAGGAAGGCGGTATCGTCCCTGAGAGGTTGTTGTGTGATAGATGACTGCCGCAGCAGCAGGAGAAGGACGGGGAAGGGGGAGAAAGAGCAATCGTTTTCAGGGACGCTTAAGTTGTTGCGTGACAGGTCACTGCCACTGCAGAAGCAAAAGTAGGGGGGAGGACAGGGAAGTGCAGACGGGAGACATGAGAGAGAGAGGGCGAGGGGATAAGAAACGGGGAGGCATGCAATGTTAGGTAGACTTGGTGGCACAGGAGGAGGCAGAACGGCCGTGCAAGCGCATGGAATAGGAGGAGGAGGAGGCAGAGAAACCGACAGCGAGGTGAGGTTGGTGAGCAAGGTAGTGGTGGAAGGGACAGAGCCTGTGAGGCTGTTGAAGGAGAGATCACTGTTATTTGGTGGGGGGGGTTGGGAGAGAGAAGGAAAGAATTGGGAAGACAGGGTGAAGGTAAGAGGTGGGACAGTAGACCGGAGGGCAGGTATATTAAGAAGTTCTTTTGAGTCGACTCAAAAGGTGACATTTTGACTGTTGAGTCGACTCAAAAGTCACCTTGTGGGGCAGTAGACCGGAGGGCAGGCATATTAAGAAGTTCATGAGGCTTGACGACGTGTGAGGAGGTGCTTTGGGAATGGTGTGTGACGACTTTGGGACACCATGCACGCATGACGACGTGGACGCAGGAGTGATTCACATCACACCTGCATTACAACTGCCGAAGTCGCAATCGCTCCAACTGCCTCTGGGATCGACCGACCCAAAGGCTTTGATTGACCGACTGCCGAAGTCGCAATCGCAATCCCAGAGGCATAGCATTACGCCAGTAGCGCCCCTGATTTCGTCACTCCAGCGCGCTGACGTCACAGCAGAGTGGTGACGTTGCGTAAGTGTGCCGACTCTGACGCCACAGCAGAGTGGTGACGTTGCGTAAGTGTGCCGACTCTGACGCCACAGCAGAGTGGTGACGTTGCGTAAGTGTGCTGACTCTGGCGTCACAGGCGGCATGGCACTCACAGCTGTTGCAGTCGCTGCATGCTGCTGACAGTATCCGGGATCACTCCTGTGAGCTGATTGGCGGAGAGGTCCCTGATGAGATTGAACGGTGTGCATACGGGGAGGTATAGATGGGTGTGGATAGGTATGGACAGGTATGGATGGGTGGGATGGGCAGGATGGGTGGGTGCAATGTCCAGGATGGGTAGATTGGCAGGATGGGATTGTGATAAACTCATTGAATCAGACTGTATGAGAGTGGATGCAGAAGGAAGGGGTTGTTGTTGTTGGTGCCTTTGCCTGTTCCTTTAGTTGTGCCATACGCATCAATCTGTTTCCCTCAATATTCCCTCTCTTCTCCTCCACGTCTCTGCGTTCTACTTAATGCGCCCCTTTGGACTTTCTCCACACTCAGCTGAGATATTCCCCCCTGCCCGCATTCCCCCCCCTCCCAACTTCCTTTGCCCCCATAGCTTACAGAGTCTCTATGCGTGTGAGGCTGCTGATAAATAGGGGAATTTCCCCTGAGAAATGATTGCTCCCTAGATCGCTGGTGGGGGATGGGTGGGATGGGGAGGAGGAGGGGGGAAGGGGGAACCAGAGTGGGTGGGCGAGCATGACACACCGCATGTGCAGTATTGCATGCGAGGAGAGAAGAAGCTGGCGGGAGCTGCAAACTTGCTGACTTTTGAGTCGACTCAAAAGTCACCTCAGTATTGCATGTGAGGAGAGAAGAAGCGAGCGGGAGCTGCAAACTTCCTAACTTGCAGCTTCGTGAAGTTGTGAAGTCGAATGTCGTTGAGGTGAGAGGGTGACACTGCGTGCGTGATGTGTTGCATGTCTAGTGCATGCAACAACATGGCATGGTGTCAACATTAGAGGCGCCTCAAAAGAGGGTGACACTGCGTGCGTGATGTGTTGCGTGTCTAGTGCATGCAACAACATGGCATGGTGTCAACATTAGATTGTCTGCATCCACAGCTGCACGGCTGAGTCGAGAGAGTTGATTCCAAAAGGCCATCCACAGCAGCACCAGTGAACCACGAAAACTGTCCCCCTTCTCACCCAGACAGCTCACAGCGTTCAAGGTACCGTGAGGTTGGGTCGACTCACACGTGCACATACAGATACAGCACAAATAACTCAACCCAACCTTGCTGCTACATGGAGCATTCTCCGTGAGGTTGGGTCGAATCATACCTCGCTACAATATGGGGCGTTCTCCGCCCACCCCACCCACCCCCCATCCCCTCCCCTGCCCTCCCCAACCCCCGTCCCGCCTCCCTCCCTCTATGCCCCCAAGCGAGCTCACAGTGTTTGCAGAGCTGTAAGGTTCCCTAGAAGCATGGGCAGAGATCCATTGAGCTGACACCCGTGCATGTAGCTGGTGGGAGGGAGGCGGAGAGAAAGGATAAGTAAGGAGGAACAAGGAATTCAAGATAGGCAGGTCTAGGAGATAAGGAGGTGCCTTCTGTGTGGAATCACTTACGATAATTTCAAAAAGTCACCTTGTTACAGTGTAGTGACGCGGTCACATCCCAGAGAAAAGAGTCCCGGGACTAAGAGGCGCCTTCTGAATGGATTTAACATTAATATCGCTACGAGAGTGTCACATGATGGCAAAAGGAAGTTCTGTGAGACGAGAAGAAAGGGCTAACGAACCTGAACATGAAGGACAGTTGCAGCAGGGTGTTTAGGACAGCCATATCGAATGGATACAGTACGGTGTGGAATGGTAAGGTATGGCTTGCAGGAGCGAGACATGGTATGTAATGTTTGAGAAACTGACATGTGGCAAGTGTGAAAAATGACACGAGGCATGTGTGAGAAAGTGACACGTGGCACTCACAGCTCTGTGAGCTTGTCCAGGTGGCCCATGGATTCAGGAAGAACACCGCTGATGCCCGTGTTGCTCAGGTCCCTGCATGAAGGTAGGCAGCAGAGGAGAAGAATGAGGAGAAAAATCTTGAAGAACGACACCCTCTCTCACCTTGCTGCGGTTCCAATCCATGCCAGCCACCCATGCTACAACCTTGAACCCATGTAATGCCACCCATGCCACCCATGCCACCCATGCCACCCATGCCACCCATGCCACCCATCCCACCCATCCCACCCATCCCACCCATCCCACCCATCCCACCCATCCCACCCATCCCACCCATCCCATCCACACACAGCCACGTTCACCCTACTTGTCCGGTGCCCATCATCAAAGCACATGCCATGCTGGTACCCTCACGTTCACTCGGTCTCTCTGTCAGCATCTAGACTCTTTGCCCATTGCCACTCGTGTGTGGTCATGTGCAAAACTTAAGCGATTCTTGAGAACTCTCAAAACCTACCTCAATGTAAAAAACTTAAGAGCCTCTTCATCAGCCTACAGTCGTAAGGATATACTGTTTCCCAAACCATGCATGGTCGTCTCGTCACGCATGAGGGGACGTCACTCCTACGTGGTCATGTGTCAAAGCTCCCAACCACACTCATCCTCACCCACACTCTTACTCACACCCTCACTCACACTTGTTTGAGTCTCCTGAGCTCCCCTATGCGCGGTGGGAGGGGGCCAGAGAGAGATGTGTTGTGCAGGCGGCTGTGGGGAGAAGGCACGGAGCGAAGGAGGGAGAGCAGCAGAGCAAAAAGATGCGCAAGGCGATTTAAAAGCTCCCCTATGCGCGGTGGGAGGGGGCCAGAGAGGGATGTGTTGTGCAGATGACTAGGGGCGAGTCCCGTCTACAGGCCTAAGCCCCCAGTTTCCCCCCTTGCATGCCCCTCTGCTTCTCCCCCCAACGCATTCTAGAGTTTGCGCAGTCATGCGGTAAGTTTCACTGAAGTTTTGTTTTTATAAGTTATGTCGAACGGGGGAAAGTGGGTGAGAGAGTGGGATGAATCGCATCCAAAGCACTCACATTCTGGTTAGCGCAGTCATGCGCCTGATGCTAATGGGTAGGGCGCCTGTGAAGAGATTAAAGCCCAAATTGCTGCGGGAGGGGAGATGGTGGACAGGAAGATGTGAGGATAGTGGTGAGGACGGGTGCAGAAGGGTGCATGCATGGTGGCACATCGAGGGTGCGACATATACACCCCACCCCATTCACTCCATATGCTCCCAAGTGCATGAGGGGGCATACAGACCAGAGTGCATGTGATGAATGGGTGGCATGTGAGTGCATTGGGGGCATGAGGGGGGCATGGGTGCACGCCGCGCCACTCACAGCTTTTCAAGCTTCCCAAGGGACGATATGGAGGAGGGAAGGGGACCAGAGAAGCTGTTGTTCGTCAAACCCCTGGGTTGGTGGGAGGACCGTCAAGTGGACAAACATCAAATCTGGACAGTCAAAACTCAGAGATTTTACCACCAGGGGCGCTGTTTCTGACCAGAGACTGCTGGTGATGGAAGGGAGGACGGTGAGGCAGGGAAAGAAGGAGGAGGGGGCGATTAGGGCGGCATGGGAAATCGAAGCATGGATAGAATGACTGCCCTGTGGTCGATGGAAGGCACATGACACATGGTAGAACCTGGATGGCTGTCAGCACATCACATGTGGTAACCAGACAAACACCTTGTCTTTACAGGTGTTTTTTTGAGAGTGCTGGAATTCTCTCACCAATGGCCACACACAGCTCGCTCAACAACCAGGGCGCTGGCAAGGTTTGAGAGGGGTTGCTGGTGCGAGGCAGAAAGCAACAGCAGCCACCGATAAAAATCACACAGCGACTCTCATTGTGAATGTTGGCGTGGCTGTGGGTGTGTGGCTGTGGGTGTGTGGCTGTGGGTGTGACACTCTTGGTGTGACTCACAAGGTGACGAGGTTGGTGAGGTTGCTGAGCGACACAGGGAGCGACCCAGAGAGAGAGTTGTTGGCCAAACCGCTGGAAAGGAGCGGGAGAAGGGATTGAGAGGGATTGGGAGGGATTGAGACGCCTCAAAGCGATCCAGAGAGAGTGCAGTTGAGCAGACCGCAGGGAAGTAGGGAGTATGGAGAGGAAGAGCGATTGAGAGGGAGAGCATGGAGCGAGTAGGTGCAGTGCAGACAGACAAAGAAATGAAGGGGATGAATGTTTGCAACGAAAGGATGGTGGAATACAATGAAAATGGGAGTAAAGAGTATGCTTTGAAGGATGAGCGTGAGAAGAAGGAAGGGTTGGTGAGTAGTACAGGCTTTGGAGAGCAGAGAGGGCGCCTATGCCATCAGGGAGAGTGCCGTTGATGAGGTTGTCAGAGATGCTCCTGAAGTTAGGGATAAAAAGCGGTGGAAAGGAGTGTAGAGTGATGAAGTGCTGTGAATGACGGTGGGATCAAGTGGTGCTTGCCCGTGCCATGTGGTAGAGGGTGCATTGGGGTTGAGTCGAGTAGATGGTTCAATAAGTGCAACGAGAGGGTTCTGATATGGGCTGCTGCTGCTGCCAAACCATGGCTATTCAAGAAAGAGATGGATGGTCTGAACACATATGGACTGGAGGTAGTAGGTACGGTGCAGTGCAGGGGTGCATGAAAATGGACGGATGAGGGTTGAAGAGTGGTGAAGAGGGGTGGTTATGTTGGAGTAGGAGAAGTGTAAATGATGATGCATGCAAAGAGGGAAAAAATAGGCATAGAAATGGGTATACAAGGGACAATTCATGTATGGGACGTCTCACACCTAGTATACAGAAAACTGGGTGAGAGGAGGGGGTACAGGAACAAGAATATGAGTAAGGGGTGGAAGGAAGGAGGGAGGGGAGTACAGGTAAGTGGCGGAGGAGAGGGCAGAGAGTGTTGACGGGAGGGAGCCTGCCAGCAAGTTGTTGTCCAGATTGCTGATGGTGCGTGGGAAGGAAGGAGAACAGAGAAGGTGGAGAGTTGAAGAGAAGAGGTTAAAGAGGAGGATATGGTAGAGAAGAGAGGGGAGAGCAGAGAGTGTTGAAGGGAGGGAGCCTGCCAGCAAGTTGTTGTCCAGATTGCTGATGGTGCGATGGGAGGAGGAAGAGAGGGTGGAGAGATGGAGAGCGTAGAGAGGCGGACATTGAGATGAAAGGGGCACTGGAACGAGACACACGAGAGAAGCACAGAGAATGACGTGCGTGCCTTGGTGGGTGGGTGAATGATAACATACTTCTAAGTTCTATCCGTCTTGAAAGATTGCTTCGTAAAAATTAAGTTGAGCTAATTCGAGTGAAGGGAGAAGGGAGGAGGGACGGCATCAATGGCAAAAAGCATGTGGCAGAAGGGAGGGGGAAGAAGGGCGGGGGGAGTAGGATGCGAGAAGGGATGTGGGAGCAGGGATGGGAGAGCAGGGATGGGAGAGCAGGGATAAAAGAGAATCATGGGAAAGACGGGATGGGGACACACAGTCTGAGGAGTGCAGTGAGCTTGCCGAGGGCATTAGGAAGGGTGCCGTTGAGACGGTTGTCAGAAAGTGTTCTGTGGCAGGGGGGAAGGCAGGAAGGGGTTGGGAGAGAGGGGCGCAAAGTAAGAGAACGTTTGCCAGTGAGACGAGTTTTGAGGCGTCTCTAAGCTTGGAAGGGTGCCGTTGAGACGGTTGTCGGAGAGAGTTCTGTGGCAGGAGGGAGAGCGGAGGAGGTGAGATGACAGCTGGAAAAAAGTGGTTGTAACTTGTGAAGCATAGAGCGAAGCATAGAGAATGCCCAGTTCTATGGCAAGGGGGTGAGCAGAGACGGGGTCAAGAGAAGGAGGGAGAGTTGATAAGGTGAGTAAGGTTGGTTGAGAAAATCAAGCGCAAGAGGAGAGAATCAGCTCAAAAGTGCTTACAAGTTCTGCAGCTTGGCGAGGGTTGCAAGGGATTGCGTAACAGGGCGAATTGGAGTTTAAAAATGCTTTTGAAGAAATTCCAGACCAGATCGACCAGATCGAGGAGACTGGACGGATGGGCGCTGGTCTTTCTTACAGCGTTTGCAGCTTGGCGAGAGCCGCAAGGGATCGCGGAATCGAACCGGTTAGCTGGTTGTTATAGAGCCCTCTGTAAGTGAAAGGGAAGATTATGGGGGGAGAAAAAGGGGAAGTGTTATTAAAAATGCGGAAAAGAATGATGAGGAACAGGACGGGGAAGAGGAGGGGAAGAGAGAGGGGGAGAGAAGGGAAAAGAGGGGGAAGAGAAGGGGGGAGCGAAGGCGGAAGTGTTGGGTGAGGAGGAGGGGAAGCGGACAGCAACGACACAAGGGAAACAAGTGGGGAGAAACAGGGAAAGGGCTAGGAGCAGAAACAAGTGGGGAGAAACCGGGAAAGGGCTAGGAGCAGAAACAAGTGGGGAGAAACCGGGAAAGGGCTAGGAGCAGAAACAAGTGGGGAGAAACCGGGAAAGGGCTAGGAGCAGAAACAAGTGGGGAGAAACAGGGAAAGGGCTAGGAGCAGAAACAAGTGGGGAGAAACAGGGAAAGGGCTAGGAGCAGAAACAAGTGGGGAGAAACCGGGAAAGGGCTAGGAGCAGAAACAAGTGGGGAGAAACAGGGAAAGGGCTAGGAGCAGAAACAAGTGGGGAGAAACAGGGAAAGGGCTAGGAGCAGAAACAAGTGGGGAGAAACCGGGAAAGGGCTAGGAGCAGAAACAAGTGGGGAGAAACAGGGAAAGGGCTAGGAGCAGAAACAAGTGGGGAGAAACAGGGAAAGGGCTAGGAGCAGAAACAAGTGGGGAGAAACCGGGAAAGGGCTAGGAGCAGAAACAAGTGGGGAGAAACCGGGAAAGGGCTAGGAGCAGAAACAAGTGGGGAGAAACAGGGAAAGGGCTAGGAGCAGAAACAAGTGGGGAGAAACCGGGAAAGGGCTAGGAGCAGAAACAAGTGGGGAGAAACCGGGAAAGGGCTAGGAGCAGAAACAAGTGGGGAGAAACCGGGAAAGGGCTAGGAGCAGAAACAAGTGGGGAGAAACAGGAAATAGGGTACAGAAGGAAGCAATAGAAAGGAGGAGGATAATAGAGGGGGTTGAAATCCACACTGTGGGATGAGAGAGAGAGGAGACGGCAGCAGCACTGACAGGTAGGAGAGGTTGGTGAGATTTCCGATAGACTCTGGAATGACTCCTGTTAGCTGATTGGCTCCTAGGTTGCTGGAGCGAGGGAGGGGAGAGTGCAGGAAGGGAAAGAAGTGGATAAGATAAGAGATAAGGCAGCACTGACAGGTAGGAGAGGTTGGTGAGACTCCCTATGGACTCTGGAATGAGTTGGAGCGTGTGTTGCAACTTACAGGTGAGCCAGGAGTGAGAGATTGCCGATTACAGATGGAATGGACCCCGCTAGCTGAGTGTTGTTGAGCGACCTGCTCTTGCGCACGCATGTGTGTGCGTATGTGTGTGGGCAAAAGGAGGAAAGGGCGACAACATGAGAATAGGATTGTAAAGAACGACTTTGATGGAGTGTGCTGCTCTGCAAACTGCGTGTGCAGGCACGTGCGGGCATGTGCAGGCATGTGCGGGCATGTGCGGGCATGTGCGGGCATGTGCGGGCATGTGCGGGCATGTGCGGGCATGTGCAGGCACGTGCGGGCATGTACGATTACGGGCAACAGGAGGAGATGGCTTAGGAGAAGTCTTGGGACAAGCCTTGATGAAGCACTCTTCTTGCTGCTTGCTTCCCGACACGGGCTAGAAGAACGGCCATGCCATGACATGCCATGCCTCGACGACCATCCCAGGCAGCAGCATCTGAATGACTAGGAGAAAAATAGCTACTAGGTAGACGATGAGCCGATTAACGACTGGTAGGTAGTTTAGCGAAGAATCTGATTTTGAACACTTACATCTGAATAACCATGCCCTTGCCATCACACGTCAATCCGGTGCCTGGCGAGCAGTTGGGGAAAGTGCGACCCCACGCCTTGCCCAGAACAGCTAGCACTGGGACTGGTGGTGGTGAGGGAGAAGGGTGTGAGATGTGGAGTGGATGTGGCTTTAACCAGTGTAACTGCGTGTGAGAGTGCGACGCCACGCCTTGCCCGGAGCAACTAGCACTGGGTCTGATGAGGGAGATGGGTATGAGATGTTGAATGAATGTGGTTTCAAACGAGCGTAACGGTGTGTGTGACTATCATGAGAGTCATACCCGACAGCCTCGGCCAGTGCAGCTAGTACTGGGACTGAGGAGGGAGAAGGGTGTGAGATGTGGAGTGAATTCCGGTTCTTCGACAGTAACCATGTGTGTGATTATATTGAGAGTGCGACCCCATGGCTTCGGCCAGTACAGCTAGCACTGGGACTGATGAGGAAGAAGGGTGTGAGATGTAGAGTAAATGTGGCTTCAACGAGTGGGTGTGCGATTATGATGAGAGTGACACCCCATGCCCTTGGCCAGAACAGCTAGCACAGCGATTGATGAGTAGTTTCAATCTGTTCGCACGATACCAGTTCCAATACCCCAGGAACAAAGCGCTACACTGCCTGACCATCATTCTTATGTAAAATCTGCTCCAAGGGCAAGTTGTAGATATCCAGGAATGAAGCTACTTTCCGTAGCACGGAATCTGCTCCAGAAACTGATTCATACACCTAATGAACAAACTACACTACCTTGCGATGGATGTAGCTTGGATGTCGCTCCATATACCAACGCCGGAGCCGACTCGAAGGCCACAGCCACAAGCAGCAGCCCAGTAACCACTCCAAGGACCGAAATTCGCCGCATTTCTTCGATACGCGTATTGAAGGATAAGAGATGCCTTGCGAAGATACCACTAGAAGATAGCTAAGCCTAAACAACTTGTATATAGAGATGATCGCGAAAGGCTGGTGATGAAGCTGTGTTGAGCTGGGAACTATTTAGGTTATCTAAAAGAAAGCTCTTCGGACCGATTAAGAATTAATGAATAGACATTCGCGCTCTAGTTCTGCATATCAAATGAAAATGCAGCCTCTTGTCAATATAGGCTTACTTTTGTCGGAAAAGAAATCCTCTAAACGCACGAAAGAGTTGGTAGAGCAAGAAATCCTCTAAACGCAAATCCGACTTCAGAGTTTCAAAAGGTACGATACTACTTTGTCACCTGGTATCGATGGTCGAGAGAAAGTGTGCAGCAAGATCAGGCTAAGCGTACGCATCACGTCACCATTATTGCCAGCAGTCCAAGAAACTGAAGGGACGAGCGACAGCGGGACCCACGCATCCGTGTGAGTACTGCCTAGTGCCACACGAGTGAAACAAATCGTCCATGCTTCGATGACTCAGGTCAGGACGGTTCCACACGGTTGAAAACGGTTGTCAAGTTTCACCGTTTCGCACCGCGACGAAACAAATTAGACCGCATGCATAGTCCAATAATTGTAGCTCAAGGTCTAAAGGGTGGGTTGCCTGTGGTGGTGGTGCATTGGTCGCTCGGGTCTTTACCTCGTGCTCGTGGCCTTTATGCCCAGTTCAGCGAAGTGGTAGGTTCAAGGGAATTCCGGCCAGGAAGGTCAGAGTAGTTTTCGCACACGCTGGGATTCCGTGGCATGTTGGAGGATGCGCGAAACCCTAGGACGCGGGCGACGATGAATGCGCATTCTAGTCGCTATCCAAGGGATTGACGATAAACAAGCGATGCGATGCGACGCAAGCAAAAGATGCTTGCGACAACCGACAGGATGGACCTGCCGGGGCTGGTCGGAGATGATTCCGTTCGGCTTGCGACTTCGTTGACTGACATTCTCATGAATTCGCCGCCGCCATTTGGGGTTTCGACTTCGCACCGTCGCACACCACATCACACACGACGATTCGCCACCGCCCTTGGGGACTGACAGGAATGGCCAGAAGTCATCCGTTGATTGCCCAGCAAGCTAGGAAAATCGGAATGCACAATAGCACTCTGATCTAGACTACTATCATACTACACAGTGTAAGAGCTCCAACACCCAATGTGACCACATGCCAGTGTGGAATGTATTAGCACTCTTAATTGGGACACAGAACGTTAATCCATACAATACCTTCACAACTGCCTCCTAAGCATCAACCAGCTCCTATCAGCTCAGACGAATCACTACATGGGAGCATGTCTCATCTCCACATCATCCGCATATTCTCCGGCGTGTAGCTTAACAACTCCCCAGATTTCAATTACTACTAGTTCTGCTCATCACACGTCGCCTCATACACGGCTGCTCCGCATCTTCCAGCACTCCCGCCACCAGCCCGCGGCCTGAGCCCTCAACTTCGCCCCCCCCCAGCGCCTCAAACTCGGGCAGCCCTAAACACACACCCCCGAGCCCAACACGCCTTGATCAACACCTAGCAAACGCGCCTCAAATGCCCAGAATCGTGCGCATGTGCTCGGGCGTGTGCCGCAACAACCCCCCAGCATCAGGATACTGGTTCCTTCCATCACACACCGCTTCATACACCGCTGCATACGCGTCTGCCAGCGCCCCCGCCACCAGCCCTGCAGCCTGCGCCCTCAGCTTCGCCACTCCCAGCGCCTCAAACTCCGGCAGCCGCCCCTCCGCCCCTGCCAGCAGCGCAAAGAGCCGCTGCAGTGACTCCGCCACAGCAGAGGGAGACGCCTCTGGGAACTGGGCCAGGGGCGGGTACTGTTGCTGCTGCGATGCTGCCGCTGCTGATACCCCTGCGTTTTCCTCTGTCCCCTCCTGCTGCTGCTGCTGCTGCTGCTGTTGTTGCTGGGAGGCCTGGTTGATCTGAGCGATGAGGCGGAGGATGGGGGAGAGCATGCAGTGGTCGAGAATGGCCGCCACTTCGAGCTGCACCATGGCTGTGACGTGCTCTGAGAGCGCCCCTGCCAGCCCCTGGGAGTAGGGTGTGAGTACTGGGAAGGAGGCGAGGGGTGCGTGTAGGGCTGCCAGGCAGTTGGCGAGGAAAATGTGCCTCGCGACGGCCACCGCCTGATGAAAGTGGGGGTGGAGAGTGGGGGAGTGGGGGGGGGGATACAGGTGATTAGAGGAGGTGAGAATGGGGGAGAGCATGCAGTGGTCGAGGATAGCCGCCAGCTCAAGATGCACCATGGCTGTGACGTGCCTGCCTGCCAGTCTCTGGGAGTAGGGCTCAAGCCACCCACCGTGTTCTTTTTACTTTTGAGAATTCTCAAAAGTAAAATTCACATAGAGGGCTCAAGCCACCCACCGTGTTCTCAACCCCGTCAATGTCCCCCCCAGTGGCCTGCCTGCTTAGCGGCAATGACCCCCTTCCCCCCAGCAGCCGGCTCTTCCCTCCAGCTGCTACCGATACCATTTATAAGTCACCTCAGAAACACTCACCAGCTCAAAAACACTCACCAGCTCAGAAACACTCACCAGCTCAGAAACACTCACCAGCTCAGAAACACTCACCAGCTCAGAAACACTCACCAGCTCAGAGACACTCACCAGCTCAGAGACACTCACCAGCTCAGAAACACTCACCAGCTCAGAAACACTCACCAGCTCAGAAACACTCACCAGCTCAGAAACACTCACCAGCTCAGAAACACTCACCAGCTCAGAAACACTCACCAGCTCAAAAACACTCACCAGCTCAGAAACACTCACCAGCTCAGAAACACTCACCAGCTCAGAAACACTCACCAGCTCAGAAACACTCACCAGCTCAGAAACACTCACCAGCTCAGAAACACTCACCAGCTCAGAAACACTCACCAGCTCAGAAACACTCACCAGCTCAGAAACACTCACCAGCTCAGAAACACTCACCAGCTCAGAAACACTCACCAGCTCAGAAACACTCACCAGCTCAGAAAACACTCACCAGCTCAGAAACACTCACCAGCTCAGAAACACTCACCAGCTCAGAAACACTCACCAGCTCAGAAACACTCACCAGCTCAGAAACACTCACCAGCTCAGAAACACTCACCAGCTCAGAAACACTCACCAGCTCAGAAACACTCACCAGCTCAGAAACACTCACCAGCTCAGAAACACTCACCAGCTCAGAAACACTCACCAGCTCAGAAACACTCACCAGCTCAGAAACACTCACCAGCTCAGAAACACTCACCGTGTTCTCAGCCCCATCGTCCTGCCCTTCAGTAGATCTCCTGCCCACAGGCACAGACCCCCTTCTCCCCAGCGGTCCACTCTCCCCTCCTGCTGCTGCGGACATGGATGCGGAAGCAGAGGCGCGGCGAGGGAGAGAGGAGGAGCCCGAGGAGAGAGCAGTCACGGCCTTTGCTGTGAGCGCCTGTGCTGCCCGCGTGCACACCTGCAGGTGAGGAAGAAATGGGGTGGGTGGGAAGGGAATAATACTTTTGAGTCGTCCTGACAGCATTCAAAGGGGCTACGAGGGAGAGAGGAGGATCTGGAGGAGAGAGCAGTGTACACCTGCAGGTGCCTGTGCTGTGAGCGCCTGTGCTGCCCGCGTGCACTCCTGCAGGTGGTGGGGGAGAGGAGGAAGGGGAGAGTGGGGCGAAAAAAAGAGAGGAAGGCGCGAGTGGGGAAGGTGGGGGGAGATTATCTTGCTGCCGGGGCCTGTGCTGCCCGCGTGCACACCTGCAGGTGGTGGGGAGGTGGCGTGGGCAAGAGAGAGGCGGGCAGCACATATGAGCCGTTACAGAGACTATAGACATGAGGTGGGTAGGAGCTGGAGAAACGGGCCGTGACGGCCTTGGGTGTGAGTGAGGGCCTGTGCCGCCCGCGTGCACACCTGCAGGTGGGGGAAACAGGAGAGGGAGGGGGAGAGGGGGAGGGGTGGTGGAAGCAAATACGAAATGTAGTGGAAAAGGGAGGAGGAGCCTGCAGAGAGAGCAGTCAGAGACTTTGCTATTAGGGCCTGTGTCAGCGCTGAGCAGAGGAAGAGAGAGATTGGGAGGAACTCACCTCCACGAGTGGGTCTAGGAGAGCTGCAGCGACGGGAAGGAAGTCGGGTTTGGCAGCCCCAGCAGGGACCATCATGCTCGATTGCGCCTGCAGCAGCTCCAGCACCACCGCCACGCCCTTGCCCACCAGAGGTGGAGGGGAGAGGAGAGGAGGGCACTCCTTCCTTTACTGCCAGGAAAACAGACTCGTACCTCGACAAGAGGGCCGAGAAGCGCAGCAGCGACGGGTAAGAAATCCGGTTTGGCAGCCCCAGCCGGGACCATCACTCTGGCATGCGCCTGCAGTAGCTCCAGCACCACCTCCACTCCCTCTCCCACGAGAGGTGGAAGAGGGAAGGGGAAGTGATGGGAACGGAACAGGAAAGACTGGCAGGAACTCACCTCCACAAGGGGGTCTAGCAGAGCAGCAGCAACGGGTAGAAAATCCGGTTTGCCTGCACCGGCAGGCACCATCATGCTGGCATGCGCCTGCAGTAGCTCCAACACCACCGCCACTCCCTCGCCCACCAGAGGCGGGGGGGAGAGGTCGGAGGGCACTGCCGGAGGGAAGCGCAGCACTCGATCGCCCCTGAGCTTGACTGCATCGAGAAACGCCCTCCCTGCTGCCTCGCTGAGGTCCCTCAGAACAACGCAAAGGGCTGCTTGCTCTCCCAGCAGTTCAGCAACCTGCAAGGAAGGAAGGTGGGGGGAGGAGGGGAGGAAGGGGGAAGGAAGGAGGATTGGGGGGCATGAGAGGGATTTACACCTACATCCTCCCCCTGCTGCCTCGCTCAGGTCCCTCAGAACCACACACAGCGCTGCTTGCTCGCCCAGCAGCTCGGCTACCTGAGAGGAGGTAAAGGGGATATTGAGGGAAGGAAGGGGGATTGGGGGGCATGTAAGTGTACACCCCGCAGGGGGAAGGGGGAGGGGGGAAGAAGAGGGGGAAGAGGAGGGAGAAGCGCAGCATGAGGTCTCCCCTGAGCTTGACTGCGTCCAGGAACGCCCTCCCTGCTGCCTCGCTCAGGTCGCTCAGAACCACACACAGCGCTGCTTGCTCTCCCAGCAGATCTGCCACCTGAGGAGAGGTTAGGGAGGCACGAGAGAGAGGGGTCAATACTATCTGCAGGGGGCAGGAATGGGGATTGGGGGCGTGAGAGGGCGTTACAACCTGTGAAAACCATGTGGCAATAATAGGAGGGCCACTCACAGTGTGGCAGTAGAAGGAGAGCAGGCTGGAGAGCTTGTAGCACAGCACAAGCCCCGGCTGCCCCGTCAGCACCTGCTCCACACGCACTTTGAACGGCCGGCACACGCCCTCAAACACGCGGTCCAGCACCGCTGCCACGTCAGCATCCACCCCCCCTGCCCTTGCCCCCCCTTCTCCTGAGTCTGCTGACGTGGATGGGGGTTTATCTGTGCTGGCGAATAAAGCTGCGGCCAACTCTTTCTCTGAGGCTAGGGCCTGGGAGAGGGGGATTGCAGGGGAGGAAAGAGGAGAGGGGGATTGCAGGGGAGGAAAGAGGAGAGGGGGATTGCAGGGGAGGAAAGAGGAGAGGGGGATTGCAGGGGAGGAAAGAGGAGAGGGGGATTGCAGGGGAGGAAAGAGGAGAGGGGGATTGCAGGGGAGGAAAGAGGAGAGGGGGATTGCAGGGGAGGAAAGAGGAGAGGGGGATTGCAGGGGAGGAAAGAGGAGAGGGGGATTGCAGGGGAGGAAAGAGGAGAGGGGGATTGCAGGGGAGGAAAGAGGAGAGGGGAGGAGAGGGAGGGAGCCACGTCGGCATGCCTCACCTGGTGCAACCAGCCATTTCAACATACCTCACTTACCTGGCTCACTTCGTGCAGCCACATAAGCAAATCTGACTCACTTGGTGCAGCCACGTCAGCATGTCAGACTCATCTGGTGCAGCCATCTCAGCATGTCTGACTCACCTGGTGCAGCCACATCAGCACTTCTGACTCACCTGGTGCACCGACGTCAGCACGTCTGACTCACCTGGTGCAGCCACATCAGCACTTCTGACTCACCTGGTGCAGCCACATCAGCACTTCTGACTCACCTGGTGCAGCCACATCAGCACTTCTGACTCACCTGGTGCAGCCACATCAGCACTTCTGACGCACCTGGTGCAGCCACATCAGCACGTCTGACTCACCTGGTGCAGCCATGCCAGCATGTCGCCGACGTATCGCAGCGGGTCGTGCGCATGCACCTCAATGGGACGAGGCATGCCGCCCGGCCCACCACGTGTAAGAGCAGCGATGAAGCGGCGAAATAGTGCATTGTGCCGCGTGTTGGCCACCTGATAGTGATGTAGAGAGAACGAGGGGAGCGGGAGAGTAGGGGCATATGCGAGCGAGTGATGTGAACAAGTGTGAGTGGATGGCACAGAGGTGGAGGGGGTTGAGGGTGGAATTGCGGTGGTGGTGCGTGCAGTAGAGGGGAATAAGAGGCAAGGAGTGAGAGTGGCGTTGGGGAGGAAGCAGGCTTTCAACTGCTTGCTGCATGCAGCATGTGTCAAACTGCATAGACTACCTTAGGTTCCGTACTGCAGCATGTGCTTCTCGCATTCCATGTACACACTACCACAGCACCTCACCTCCTCAGTGCAATAGCGGAAGAGCACGGGTCGGTCCTTAAGGCAATGCGCTGCAGTGCGCAGCAGAGGGCCCACTTCAGGTGTGTCCCCGTCGCTGTCCCCCAGGCTGCGACACTCCGCCTGCACCCACCTGGAGAGGGATGGGGGAGGGAGGGAGAGCGATGCAGGCATGTGAGTGAGGTGCATGTGCTGTGCTGTGAGTGAGAAAGGATCCCACTTCTGGTGTGTCCTCATTGCTGCCTCTCAGGCTGCGACACTCCGCTTGCACCCACCTGGGCAGGGATGAATGATGAAGGTTGTGGTGGAGTGAAGCGGGGTGGGAGAGTGAGGGCGGGAAGAAACGGGAGGAAGGAGGGCGTGCCCATGCTTTCTGCGCTCCAAATGTTGTCCTCTCCCCTTCACCTTACCTCACAGCCTCTCATACACCCCCAGCCCTCCAGCCTCTTCTGCGTGGTCACTCATACGCCCCCTCCTGGTACACCACCATGAGATCTATCATCTCTTTCTCTTAGCGCTCCTCATCACCTTTTAACCCTTTCCCAGGTCTAGCCTTCCCCCAATCCACCCTTCCCCACGGCCACCCTCACCTGCAGAGTCGCTCATACGCCCCCTCCTGGTACACTGCCATCAGATCCATCAGCTCTAGTCCCGCCCTCTGGGGGAAGGAGTGGAGGGGGGAGGAGGGGGGAGAGAGAGTGTGGAGGGGAAGAGGAAAAAGGGCAAATGCTAGCACGCATAAGGGAGGAAGCTTCATCAATGTTTGAAGAGAGCAATGAAATATAGAGGAGGGTGGGGCGTTCGAGGTTAAGCATAGGGTAGTGAGCGCACACAGCATGCAGAAGCAGGGTTACCCAGTGGTGAGTGCACAGAAGCAGGGTTACCTGGTGGTGAGTGCGCAGCAGCAGTTTGCAATTGGCATGGATCTCATGCACTCGGTTGAGCGCCTCAAAGAACTTCTCACTGATCTCATCCTCCCGCAGTGCTTGCACCTGACAGGACGAGGGGCAAGGGTGGGAGCAAGGGCGAGAGCAAGAGAGGCAGAAAACAAGACAGCCATACATCTCATGCACTCGGTTGAGCGCCTCAAAGAACTTCTCACTGATCTCGTCCTCTCGCAGTGCTTGCACCTGAGGAGATGTGGGCCAAGAGTGGGAGCAAAAGAGAAGGAAACTATAGGTTGAATGGCGACCAGCTGCTGGCAACGCACAGTGATAACCAGCTCCAATGGTAACCAGCTCTGATGGTGAACATCTCTGATGGTAACCAGCTCTGGTGGTAACCAGCTCTGATGGTAACCAGCTCTGATGGTAACCAGCTCTGACGGCAGACACAACTCTCACCTCCTGTGGAGACAGCTGGTAGCTTCTGAGAAAGGCTGTGACGAAATGCTGGTGGCACAGGTGGTAACCAGCCAATGGTGGTAACCAGCCAATGGTGGTAACCAGCTCATGATGGTAACCAGCTAATTGTGGTAACCAGCTAATGGTGGTAACCAGCTAATTGTGGTAACCAGTTAATTTTGGAAAACAGCTCATGATGGAAAACAGGTCATGGTGGTAACGAGACTAATTTTTGAAGCTCTCACAGTCTCACCTCCTGTGGCGAGAGCTGGTAGCTTCTAAGGAAGGCGGCGACGAGCTGCTGGCGGCGCACGGTGGTAACCAGCTCCAGCTTGAGCCTCTCTGTTGCCAGCACCATGTCGCCTGTTGTTGACGCACACGTGGTCAGTGCTGCGCCGATTCTGAGTAGCAGGATAGAGGGGAGAACAGAGAGTAGCAGGAGCCAGCTGATAGCAAGTAGTGCAGGGCAGCTTGAGCCTCTCTGTTGCCAGCACCATGTCGCCTGTGGTTGACGCACACGTGGTCAGTGTTGCACCGATCCTGTGTAGGTGGCAAGGGAAAGCAGATAGAAAGCAGAAGAAGAAGAAAACAGGGACAAGCGAAACAGTTTTTGTCAGACTACTCACCTCTATCAAGTTAGCAGCCTCTGCCACTCTCTGTTGGTCTCTGTTAGCCTCTATCAATCTCTGTCAGGCTAGCAGCACTCTATAGTGGTCGGCACACATGTGGTCATGCGGAGTCCATTTCGAGGGTAGAGAGGGACGAAAGAGGGTAGAAGCCGCACTAACGTTCTCTGTCAGATGAGCAGTCTTGGTCAGGTAAGCAGTCTATGTCAGTTTAGCAGCCTTTGTCAGGTAAGCAGTCTCTTTCAGTTTAGCAGCCTCTGTCGGGTAAGCAGTCTCTGTCAGTTCAGCAGCCTCTGTCGGGTAAGCAGTCTCTGTCAGTTCAGCAGCCTCTTTCAGGTAAACAGTCTCTGTCAGTTTAGAAGCCTCCGTCAGGCTAGCAGTCTCGGTCAGTTTAGCAGCCTCTGTCAGGTTAGCAGTTACTGTTGAACAAGTGTGGCTGGACAACAAACCTTACAATGCCACTTGAATGTGACTGTACGAAGCACCTCTCAGAAGCGGAGGACCAGGAACGCTGAACTAACCAACCAACCAAGTCTTGATACTTACTGCCTACCAGGACTGACAATGTGTGCAGTGCAGTGGATGATACCAGGACTACCAGGTGAAAACGAAGCACGACACGCGATACAAGCAGTATTACTTTTTTGGCGCCTCAAAAATCGTCTCAAGGCAAGAGAACCTCCACCTCACACACACGCCTCTTCCCCCACACGCTCACCTGTCGCAGCACTCTGCAAGGCCCCGAACCTCCGCCTCTACCACATCTAGCGCCTGGATTAGGTGGGGTCGGAAGGGGAAAAGTGGTGCGGGGAGTGAGGAGGGGAGACGGAATGAGGGAAATGCATATGCAGATTCAGATTCAAATGCAGATGCAGATTCTCATCCGATGAATCTTGGTGCACTTTCCGCAATCTTTCGTGTCCCAATGAATCAGTACTACTTTCATGACTCGCTACTGTCACGTGACTCGTTACTGGCAACATGATAGCTTGTTGTCCCAAGCAACAGAATCCAGGCCTTCTGAGTTGCATCATAAACACCATCTGGTACCTCTTGAGCAGCTTCCGACGCCTGAAGAAATTCCTCGTTAATAGCCAATCCTCTACGTTCAATCGTGGACTTCAAAGCGCGCCGATTGGCCAACGAGTTTTCGCGGTAGAAGCCCGAAAGTGCGCCCAGTGCTGCCAGCAGCTCGGGGGAGTCCGTGCGCGTGTCGAGGACCTTGCGCAACTTGCGCGCAAGCCCCGCTGCGAGTGAAGAGGAGGCGGAAGTGGAAGTCCCACCGGAAGCGGAGATTCCTGCGGAAGCGGAAATGGCTGTTGATGAGGAGGAAGACGACGAGGAAGCCGATGCGGAAGCCATTTCGCTCGGCGAGAAACGGCAAGGCCGTTTACGATATACCTAAGAGCTCTCGAGAGTCACTAAAAAGTTCCCTACTACTCGACACGTCGCGGCGCGTCGACTTCTAACATCTCTTCCTCGAGCCTTGGGACAATCAGTGCCAACCAGGCAGACAAGCCATAGTTTCACAAGTGTGAGAAGGGGAGATACTTGGTGTGCTTCAATCAGATGTGTTACGCTGCACAACGGTTCGTCTACACAATGCAGTGGTTGGCTAGGGTTTAGAGCTTAAAGTATTTTGACACTTGAGCTGGAAGAGTCGATCAACTTTTGACAACATCTGGGACCTTGGGAACATCTGTTTCCATTTCCAGATTCAACCTCGAAGCTACGAAACCAGGGAGCTCGTGCAGCCACGTTACGACTTCGCAGCCGCTGCGACGGTCGCAAAGTTATGGCAAAGTTACAATGGTAGGTCTCAAAAGGAAAATCATATTACCACTAAAATCAACTTCAGATACGGTATGAGAAAATAGTGATCAAGGTTTAAGGAATTTTATCTGTGGCAACTCTGGTAGTTTGACACCAATAACCAAAGCGTGGTGAAGAACCTCTTTACACACCAGCCTACAAGCACCAACTACTTCACTTAAGCTGAAGCGGACTGGGAGGAACAATGGACTTGAGAGCACTCTTTGCTGAAGGTAAAGTGGCAGGGGGGTCATCCTCCTTTACCCGCGCATACACCTGCCATGGCAAGACAGGGCAAAAAATGAGCATGCATTTTATGGACCGAAGCTCAACATTCCAAGGTGCAATGCCGCTGGAAGAAAATTGCCTGCACGTGTTAGGGAGTACACACAGTAGCTCACCTGGCAGGTTCTAGATGGTGAGAGAACTAGGAGGGAGCAGCAGCGGTTGTTGAAGTTTGTTTCCGGGCGGCCTGGAATGCCTTCGGGTGATGTGAAGTGGTCCACGTCATGGCCTACCTGAACTCGGGCAGAGCAAGAAAAAAAAGAGAGAAAAAGGAAGAAACAGAGCAACACACAGGACAGGTGTGAAAGCCGGAAAGCAAGGGAAGGGAACGGGAAGATGAGATGGCAAAAGGGGGAGCACAAGAAAAGAGTATCCGGTGTGGCATACCTCCCTCTCATAAACTAATCATTGATGAACCCCTTGCCTGTCTTTCCTGCCTCCCCATCCACACTCTCTACAGCACCACACATTGCACCATCACCATTCACAACGGCTATATCAGTGTGACTTTTGAGAATTCTCAAAAGTCACACTAATATGACGGCATCATCCGACCCCTCACCCTCTTCCACTTGTAACTGTGCTGCAGTGGTGCTGCCTTTCCAACTCTTCACCAATCCCTTGCTTTCTCTCCACTTGTACCCCCCTCCCCCCACCGCCCCATCTTAACTGTTTACACAATGTTTGCAAGAAAACCTGCTCAGGAAGAATACATTTCTTTCCCAGTAAAGCCTGGCTGCTCATAACTTCGAATACTGAGAGAGCGCACTTGAAACCTACACCCCTGCTCCGTAATCGTTCTTCTCTGCCTCCAAACTGACTACTCAAACCATGAACTTTCACCCATTCATCCCTTGCTCCAAGATTCGATAGCGTCACTGTCAAGCCCACTCCCCACCCTCTCCCTCCCTCTCCCCCTCCCTCTCCCCCTCCCTCTCCCCCTCCCCCTTCCCCTCCCCCTCCCCCTCCCCCTCCCCATCCCCCTCCCCCTCCCCCTCCCCCTCCCTTCTCTCTGCCCAAAAACCTTACTGTCCAGCACCACTCTCCACCACTTGCCAGGCTCCTTGCATCCCATCTTGCCCCTCCCTCCGCTGCCTCAAACTCACTCCGCCGCTCCTCTACCCACTTTACTCACCCGCCCCTGGCCCCCGAATTCAATGGCGTCACTGTCCAGAACCACTCGCCACTTGCCAGGCTCCTTGCACCCCACCTTGTAGCTGTGGGGGTAGGGGAGCGAGACAAGATTGGGTAGTTTGGGGAACAGGGATTACAGGGGGGGAGGATCGTGAGTGGATGATACTTGCAAGCACCACGCACTCGCCACTTGCCCGGCTCCTTGCACCCCACCTTGTAGCTGTGGGGGTAGGGGAGCGAGACAAGAGTGGGTAGTTTGGGGAACAGGGATTACAGGGGGGGAGGATCGTGAGTGGATGATACTTGCAAGCACCACGCACTCGCCACTTGCCCGGCTCCTTGCACCCCACCTTGTAGCTGTGGGGGCAGGGGATGGGGACAAGAGCAGGGTGAAAGGAGTATGGGAAAGAGTGAGTGAAAGGTAGTCGCACGCGCACCACTCACCACCTGCCAGGCTCTGGGCATCCGACCAACCTTGTACCTGTGAAGACAGGCCGAGGAAACAAGAGGAGACTGCACGAGAGGGGGTGCATGGAGAGCGAGGGACGTACCCATAATAGGTTTTAAGGCGCCTCAAAAGTCGTCCCATAATAGGTTTTAGTGGGATGGAAGTTGAAGACTAAAAGGAGAAGGGGGCGGGGAGAGTGAGGAGGGAGCACAAGCAGCGAGTGACTAATGAGGCGCCTCAAAAGGAGGACGCACTAGCAACGACTGACTTTCGCCTCATAGATCATAGGGGAACAATGTTTTTTGAGAATTCTCAAAAAAGACTTTCGCCTCCTCATAGATAATAGGGGAACGAAGCCTGAAAGAACAGCAGAAGAGGTACCCTCGTGGGTCTTAGTAGGATGGAAGTTGAAGACTAGGAGAGTAAGGACGGGGGAAGAGGTGAAGGAGGAAAGAGAGGGTGCATGAGAGAGCAGCAAGGAACGTACCCCTCGTAGGTTTTGGTGGGATGGAAGTTGAAGACGAATAGGAGATCGCCCCTCTCAAACACAATCACCTGCATGAAATTCAGTGAGGGAGGTTGGACAAAATGAAACAGGATATAAGAAGGTTTCAGCTCATGGGTCGCTTTCGAAATTTCTCAAAGACCAAGACGGCATTGCAGCTCTCAAATACAAAGAAACACTCACTCACTCACTCACTCCCACTCAATCACTCACTCACTCCCACTCAATCACTCACTCACTCCCACTCACTCACTCACTCCCACTCAATCACTCACTCACTCCCACTCACTCACTCACTCCCACTCAATCACTCACTCACTCCCACTCACTCACTCACACGCACTCACTCACTCACACGCACTCACCCGGTCCTTCTCGTCTGCACTGGACACGATCTGATGGTCCGCAGCTAGGAAGTGATACTTCTCATCCAGAGCGTTCATTGCCTGGTCAAACCGATTCATGTGCTGCAGGGAGTGGGGGGGGGGAAATGGAGTGAGAGAAGGGGGGCATGTGTGGTCGTGATACGATCTGATGGTCGGCAGCAAGGAAGTGATACTTCTCATCCAGAGCATTCATCGCCTGGTCAAACCGATTCATGTGCTGCAAGGAGAGCTGGGACGAGGGGGTAACAAAAGAGGGGTGGGGATGGGGAAGGGGGGGGAGCGAAGGGAGGAAGGGCATGTGTGACGATACTAGTTGAAGGGAGACGTGAGAAGGAAAGAGAGACAGGGAGGGTGGGCAGGTAGGGTGCTGCATTGCTCCCACCTGGTACCGCGTTGCTCTCACCTGGAACCGCATTTCTCCCACCTGGTACCGCATTGTTTTCACCTGGTACCGCAGCAGCTTGTCGTCTCTGAGGTGCCACATCCACCGGAAGTGGTGAGAATCCCTAACCTCCAACCACCTGTGCCTGATAGCAACTATTAACTAGTGTGCCACACCACACACGACATACACCGCACCACTCGTATCTCACCTGGCACCGCATTGCACCCACCTGGTAGCGCAGCAGCTTGTCGTCTCGGAGGTGCCACATCCGCCGGCAGCGGTCGTAGCTCCAGTTGTTGCCCTCCCTGGGGAAGTCAAGCCACTCGGGATGCCCAAACTGATGGGGGGGTATGAAGAGTGAGGATGTGAGGATGGGGGCAGAGGAGAGGAGGTGAGGAGTACGAGCAGGTTTTTTTTCTTCTTCTTCTTATACATTCCAGAAAATCAGATCCCCCACATGCAGATCGCAGAGTTATATTGGCCAGTTGCATATATACAGTCACACTCCAATACATACAGTATATAGACATAAAATCTCATCCCATACATTGCTGCTCTCGAAATTAAGGTAGCCATCGCCTGCCAACCACTAATGACACTCATCCCTGTCAAGTGTGCTACAGCAGTGAACAACCACATCTGTTCCAGTCACAGTCACATCCATTCAGTCACATCCATATCAGTCACATCCATTCAGTCACATCCATGTCATATTCCACACCTCATTGCCCATGAAGTTGAGGTACCCATCGCCTCCCAGCGCCATGGTGATGAAATGGATCATCTGGTGGAGGGAGGGGAGGGGAGGCAGGGGAGAGGAGAGGGGAGGAGAGGGGAGGCAGGGGAGAGGAGAGGGGAGGAGGGGCGGGCCGAGAATTGGAAAGTTGGGGAGGGCTGAAGTTGAGGTAGCCATCGCCTCCCAAGCCATGGTGATGAAATGGATCATCTGGGGAACAGGTGGGGCGGGGAGGGAGAGATGGGAGGGGAGGAGAGGGGAGAGTGGGGACGGATGGAGAGGAGAGGCATAAAAAGGTGTGTAGATTCGTAGAACGTTTGAGGAGTTAACCCGCAACGCTCTAGAAATTAGAAAAGACGCAGAGGGTAGAAAATGGCGGCAATAAAAGAAGAACATAGAAGGGATAAGAACGAGTTCGCTCTGCTGGATCTAGGTCGAAACTACTTTCTTATGCTGGAGAAGAACATGGTGGAGGTCGGTCGGAGGAGGTGACTTTTGAGTCGACTCAAAAGTCAAAAGTCACCTTATTTTCTTATGCTAGAAGAACATGCTGGCGGTCGGTCGGAGGCTCGTCAAAACTGTGCTGGCCAAGGCAACGCCCCTCGCCACATCGCGTTATGGCTTCTGAAGCGCAGACATGTGAGATGCACACATGCATGCATGCATACACGCATTCACGCGCACCGTTCTTCTTCCCACAGAAGCTCACCTTGTGCAAAGCAACGCCTCTCTCGACAGCAGGGGTGGGCTTCTCAAGCACGGACATGTGGAAGTACATGTCCGAATCCATGAGCAGGAATGCGAAGGACTTGTCCCCCACCATGGACTGACGGAGGAGAGAAAGGGAGGGGGTTAGAAGGAAGGGGGATAACACAAGGAACAAGGCAGAGGGCGTGAGGGTAAGGACAGCAGGGGTTGGCTTCTCAAGCACAGACATGTGGAAATACATGTCTGAATCCATTAGGAGAAAGGCGAACGACTTGTCTCCTACCATGGACTGGGGGGACCGGGGAGGAGAGGGGGTTTGAAAGGGTGGAAGGACAGAGCACAGGGCACAGGGCTCAAGGTGTGAGGATCAGGACGGCAGGGGTTGGCCTCTCAAGCACGGACATGTGGAGGATCATGTGTGAGTCCATGAGGAGGAAGGCGACGGACTTGTCTCCCGCCATTGACTGGGGGGAGAGTGGCGGGCGAGAGGAGAGGGGGATGGAAAGGGGGAGGGCATAGGGCATAGGGCATAGGGCACAAGGGGTAAGGGTAACGAGAGCACGGGTTGGCCTTCCAAGCACGGACATGTGGAGGATCATGTGTGAGTCCATGAGGAGGAAGGCGACGGACTTGTCTCCCACCATGGACTGGGGGGAATAAAAGACAGATGGGTGGGGGAGGCAGAGGGCACAAGGGATTAGGTTAACGACAGGAGGCGATGGCTTTTCGAGCACGGACATGTGGAATGGAAATACATTATTGAGTCCATGAGGTGAGGAGGAAGGCGACGGACTTGTCTCCCTCCATGGACTGGTGACGCACAAAGGACGGGGGGAGAAGGTGGACTGGAGAGGGGGGGCAGAGCGAGGTGGGGGTCCAGGGATAAGGGTGGAGAAAGAGGGGAACACAGGACACGCTGGGCAAGAATGGAAAGACGAGTAACGGCAGCAGGGGTCGATTTTTGAGTCGACTCAAGAATCGACTCATCACACGAGGGTGGAGAAAGAGGGGAACACAGGACACGCTGGGCAAGAATGGAAAGACGAGTAACGGCAGCAGGGATGGATGGGATTGATGAGCAGCAACACGTGTCAAGACCATTCAAGCCACCATGTGGGAAAACGACAAGAGAGGCACAACGTCGCCTTGAGAATCTCACCCATTTGTGCCTCTTGCCTGCTCATGCCTCTCACCTGGTCATGGCTCTCCGCATACGCAACGCATTTCTCCGTATATCTCCGGTTCGTCAGCGTGTGAACAATCTCCCGCATGCTCCACTCCTCGTCCCTCCGATCCTTCAAATACTCGATCCAACGGTCAGGAATCGCCATGGCAAGCCGGTAATCAAACCCCACCCCTCCAATCGGCACCGGCAGGCCCAGCGTCGGCATCCCCGAGACATCCTCCGCGATCGTCGTCGCATCCGGCCGCACCCCGTGAATCAAATCATTCGCCAGCATGAGATACACCACCGCATCCACATCCGTAGACGTCGAGAAATACTCGTGATACTCTCCAGAAAACGACATTCCGATCCCCCGGTGGTGATACAGCATGGACGTCACCCCGTCAAAGCGAAACCCGTCGAACTGAAACTCCTCAAGCCAATACCGGAGGTTGGAGAGCAGAAACCGCAGCACCTCCCAGTTGGAGTAATTAAAGCACCGGCTGTCCCACAGCTTGTGATACCCCCGCTCGCCCGTGTGGAAATACGAATCGGCCGCCGATTGCCCGAAATCAAACCCGTTGAGCCCGTCGGAAACGTTATTGCTCGCATGGGAGTGAATCAAATCCATGAGCACGCGAATCCCGAGGGAATGCGCCGTGTCCACCAGGTACTTGAGATCTTCCGGGGTGCCGGATCGGGAGCTGACGGCGAAGAAGTTGGTAACGTGGTAACCGAAGGAGGCGTAGTAGGAGTGCTCGGCGACGGCCATGAGCTGGATGGTGTTGTAGCCGGCGGCCTTGATGCGTGGCAGTACAGAGTTGGCGAAATGCACGTAGGAGGCCACTCGAGGCTCCTCCGAACTCATCCCCACGTGGGCCTCATAAATTCGCGGGGCGTCAGGCTTGGGGGGGCGCGGGCACTTGAACTGGTACCTGCAGGGATGGGGGGAAGAGGTTGGGAAAAGAGTGAGGTACTGCTGTGTGGTGGGAGGGAGTGTTGGGAGACGAGGCGGCCATGAGCTGGATGGTGTTGTAGCCGGCGGCCTTGATGCGTGGCTGCCTTGATGCGTGGCTGCACCGAGTTGGCGAATTCCACGTACGACGCCACACGAGGCTCCTCTGAGCTCATCCCCACGTGGGCTTCATAAATCTGTGGGGCGTCAGGCTTGGGTGGGCGCGGGCACTTGAACTGGTACCTGCAGTGCCAAGAAACGAGGAACAAGGGGGCGGGGAGAGGCCACAGGGGGTGGGAGGGAGAGGGGGTGTGTGTGTGGTATTGAAAATATGCGCGTTAGATGGGATTGTTGAGAGACGAGGGTGCCATGAGCTGGATGGTGTTCTAGCTGGGAGCCTTGATGCGTGGCAGCACCGAGTTGGCAAAATGCACGTAGGTCGCCACTCAGGGCTCCTCCGAGCTCATCCCCACTTGTGCCTCGTAGATGCGCGGGGTTGAAGGTTTAGCCGGGTGCGGGCACTTGAATGGTACCTGTGGGAAGGGAATAGAGGGGGGGGGGGGTGTAAGGGATAGGGAGGGGGTAGAACGTCACTCAGGGCTCCTCTGAGCTCATCCCCACGTGCGCCTCGTAGATGCGCGGGGCGAGGGGCTTGGGGAGGGGCGGGCACATGAACTGGTACCTGGAGGGGAAGGAATGGAAGGGGGGTCAGGGAAGACGGGAAGGGGGGATCTTTGTAGATTCACAGGGCACTTGCCTATTTAGAATACTCAAAAGTGGCCATGCGATGCGGCCCAGCAGATCCATGCTGGGTTGGGAGGCGCTGCACCCACCCACCCACCCACCCAGTGTACCTCTCTCTCGAGCCTCTCGAGCACCCAAGTTCATGGGATCACCCGTCCTCCTCAGCCGTGGCCCACCCACTCCAAACAGTGGGATGTGCTCCACCCACCTTGCGGTATGTACAAACATCCTTCTTCTCATTCACACAAACTCACCTTTCATTGGCCAGAGGGTCCCGTGGATGCCATCGTAGCCTGCCCCCATCTTCCCAGCTCAGCAGTTGCCCACCGGATCCAAGCCAGGATGCGTTCCACCCACCCACCGTCCCCCTCAGTCACCAAAGGTACAGAAGTCCCTCTCATACATACAAACTCACTTCTCATTAGCCGGAGGGTCCCAGGAGATGCCATCGTAGCATGCGCCCATCGTCCCCCGCTCGGCCGTCGCCCATTTGATCCACGCTGGGATCCGCTCCACCCACCCGCCATCCCCCTCGATTACACAAGCACACAAGCTCACTCAAACGATTATTCACTCACCTCTCATTGGCCGGAGGGTCCTAGTAGATGCCATTGTAGCATGCCCCCATCTTCCCCGGCTCAGATGTTGCCCATTTGATCCACGCCGGGATTCGCTCCACCCACCCACCGTCCCCCTTCTGCAGCCGGCTCCCTTCACCCTTCCGAACCAGCCTACTGCCCGACTTTCAAGAATCACCCACCTGATTCACATAACTCACTTTTCCTTAGCCGGAGGGTCCCAGTAGATGCCATCGTAGCACGCCCCCATCTTCCCCGGCTCGGCCGTCGCCCATTTGATCCAAGCCGGGATTCGCTCCACCCACCCGCCGTCCCCCTTCTGCAGCCGGATCTTCACCCGCGATCCGTGCGCGATCGCCGGGCGGCCGTCTCTGTCTGGTAACCGCACGGACCACACGCCGAAGTGGTTGCGCTCCATCCAGCAGGACTCGCCGTTCCACCCGTTGAAGTCTCCCACTAGCTGGGCGGCCCTGTGATTATAGGGGGGGCAGGAAAGGGTGGGGGAAGGGGGAACAACGGGAAGGATGTTGACCAGCAGGACTCGCCGTTCCACCCGTTGAAGTCTCCCACTAGCTGGGCGGCTCTGTTATTATCAGGATGAGTGCGGAGAAGAGGGGGGGAGAGGGGAAAGAGGGAAAAGAGGGGAATGGATTTGGTGTGTCCCTGTGTGGTGTGTGGTCGCCGCACGGACCACATGCCGAAGTGATTGCGCTCCATCCAGCAGAACTCGCCGTTCCACCCGTTGAAGTCTCCCACTAGGGGGGGAAGGGGGGAAGGGGGGAAAGGGGGCAGTTAATCTTGTGTGTTTCTAGTGGACCAACTATTTCCTCATTCCACCCGTTAAAGTCACCCACCAGCTGGGCCGCACTGTGATTATTAAAGGGGGAAGACAGGGTGAGGGGAAGGCGGAAGGGGAAGGAAGTATTAGATATGTTGACCAGCACAAGCTTAGCCACGCGCTCCACCCTTTCCACCTGTTGACTTCACCCACCAGCTTAGCCACGTCTTGAGTCGCCTCAAATCAGCCACGTTTTGAGTCGCCTGCTGCTGCAGCCACTGTGATTTCACTTCACCCAACTTATGTGCTATCTATCAAGAGGAGCTCATTGTCATTCACCTTTACGAAATCTCAAAACTCACGTGGATCTTTGAGACGATTTTTTAGGCGCCTAAAAAACTTTCAAGAAATCTCAAAACTCACGTGGCCGCAGGCGCCCATTCGCGGTAGACTATGGCATTTTTCTCACACGTGAAACCCATCTTCTCATACCGTGTCCATACAGGGTGATCACCCCTTGCAACTCCCTCACACGGTCGCAAGGCCTTCAACCCAGTTCACTACTTGCAACTCACGCAACGGCAGCAGGGCCTTAAAGCCCACATCACCCCTTGCAACTCACGTGGCAGCAGGAGCCCATTCGCGGTAGACTATGGCGTCCTTTTCACGCGTGAAGCCCATCGTCTCATACCCTGCCAGGCACGCACAGGCATGCACAGGCACGCAGAGGCACAGGCAAACCACAAGCAGAGGGAAAGCAGGACCACAACAGAGAATATATTTTCAATGTTCTACAGAGCATCAACCTCGGACAAAGCTGCTCCAGCCCCCCCCCCTTCATGCTGCTCCAGGGTTTCGTTTGAGCTTGAGGAACTGTGCATAGCATAGCGGTAGCGCAGATGAGGCTCGTGGGAGGCCAGCAGCGGAGCGGGGAGGGCCGGAGTGAGGGAGGTGCCAGGAAGACAAAGATCCATGGGGTACCTTATCATATCATAGTGTCTCACCTTGGGAGAAGAACTGCTCGAGCCCTTTTGAGAATTCTCAAAAACCAGCTCGTGAGAAGCCAGCAGAGGAGCGGGGAGGGCTGGAGTGAGGGAGGTGCCAGGAAGACAAAGATCCATGGGGTACCTTATCATATCATAGTGTCTCACCTCGGGAGAACTGCTCCAGCCCTCCTTCGTGCTGCTCCAGCGCCCTCTTGAGCTTGAGGAACTGGGCGTAGCGGTAGCGCAGGTGGGGCTCGTGGGACGCCAGCAGGGGGTCGGCCTTGACCACAGCGAGTCCGTCCGGGGAGTATTCCACCTCGTTGAAGATTACAGGAGCAGCATCCCTTGCTGTGAAGCCTGGGTTGTCGCCCGGAGCAGAGCGCAGGGGCAGCAGGCGGCGCACTGGGAAGACCGTGCGGCTCACATGGCACCTGGTGGTCTGAAAAGTTGAAGGGGGAGGGTGGAGGAGGGGTGGAGCAGGAGAGAAAGGGGGGGGGCAGCAGGGAATCAGCATTGACCACAGCCAGCCCATCGGGAGGGTCTTCCACCTCGTTAAAAATCAGGGGAGCGTCATCCCTTGCTGTGATGCCTGCGCTGTCACCAGGAGCAGAGCGGAGGGGCAGCAGGCGGCGCACTGGGAAGACCGTGCGGCTTACATGGCACCGGGTGGTCTGAAAGGGTGGAGAGGGGTGGAGAGGGGCGAGAGGTCGATCGGCGAGAGAGCAGAGCAGAGCGCAGGGGCAGCAGGCGGCGCACTGGGAAGACCGTGCGGCTTACATGGCACCTGGTGGTCTGAGAGGGGGAGAGAGGGGAGTGAGGGGAGTGTGGGAGGTGGGTGAGAGAGGGTGAGAGTAGGGTGAGTTGCGGTGGGGGTTGAGAGGGGAGGAAAGAAAAGTGAGGAAAATTGCATAATACACAGGAGATACATCGGGGATCAAGAAGGGAAAGGAACAAAGGGAGAGGTCGCCATTACAAGGAGAGATAGCCCGTTGCTTTTTCCCCAGCCCCAACCCTCACTAAACAGCATTCCATATCAAACGGCTGGCTGATCCTTGCTTCCTCCAAACCACCCGCAGAAACCTATTCAGCTAGTATCCCCTCCGCTCCCGCTCCCCCATCCTCTTCGCCCCTCAATTCAGGACCCATCCCAACACTCACTCACCCCAACGCCGCTCCACATCAAACAGCCGAGCCTTGCTTCCTCCATACCATCCACGGCAACCTATTAGGCTAGTACTCCCTCCGCTCCCCTTACCCCATCGTTCCCCTTCACCCCTCAATTCAGGACCCATCCCAACACTCACTCACCCCAACACCGCTCCACATCAAACAGCTGGGCCCCTTGCTCCTCCGCGCCACCACCTGCAGCAGCCCACTCCTCCCTCCCTGACGAAAAGAGGGACTCAACTCAGAACCCACCCCAAACACCCACTCACCCCAACACCGCTCCACATCAAACAGCTGGGCCCCTTGCTCCTCCGCGCCACCACCTGCAGCAACCCGCTCCTCCCTCCCTGACGAGAAGAGGGACTCAACTCAGGACCCACCCCAAACACCCACTCACCCCAACACCGCTCCACATCAAAGAGCTGGGCCCCTTGCACCTCCGCGCCACCACCTGCAGCAACCCACTCCTCCCTCCCTGACGAAAAGAGGGAAACAAGAAAGTCGAGGGAGGGGGGAATAGGGAAAGAGAGAGGCAAGAGCCATTGTCAGCTGGAGGGACGAGAGGAAACGGAATGAAAATGATAATAAAAAAAAAGAGGTATGAGCGGTTGGGAGAGGCGATAAGGGAACAGGGGTGCAGGATCGAAGCTGAGAACACGTCTTTGAAGTTACCTGATGCGGCAAAATTGCACGTCATTGTGGCCTTGAGAGACGAGGGAGTGATACCCTAGAGGTACGACGGTGGGGAGACATATGCACTCGAGAACGGAACCACCGGCGCAGTGCAAACCTATAACGATAAAGACGTTTCTGCGGTTACCTGAAGCGGCAAGCCCGCAGGACATTGCAGCCTTGGAAAAAAAACGTCTGTGACTTTACCCGAGACCTGAAGCAACATACACGAATGAACTTACCTGACGCGGCGAAGTAACAGGTCGCTGTAACCTTCGCGCACAGGGAGTGAGACCCGAGAGGGACGACGGAGTAGGGGCGACGCGTGCACTCGAGCACGGGAACATGGGTGCAGGCCTATAGCAAACCACGCCAAGAAACAAACAGGCTTAAAGGAAGGGGAAAGCGGGACGCCTGAGGTTAGCCTAGCACGGCAGGAGGAGGTGCAGCAGCAGATTTCCTGTGCGATGACCTAGATCAGTTCTTGAATCCGTGACGACCTAAACTGAATCACGAATTAGCTGCCGACAAGGCCTCCGCGATTCGCAATCGCCGAAAGGGTGAGAGTCTAGCCCTAGATCGCTGACTCTATCGGAATTTCTAGGATCTTGGAAGCCCGAATGAAACGACAACAAACTCTAGTTCTGGAGGCCCGTTCGTGCACCAGATGCTCGGTTCCCCTGAAACGCTGACTCCAACCGCGCTGCTGCAAGAAGGTTCGCCGAAGGTGCACCTCCTCCCGCACCGCTGGTTCCGGGAGCACTAGCTGCAGCGGCAGCGGCGGCGGCGGCTGCGAGTCGTCTGGCTTCAAAATACTCCTCCCGATCCTCCGGTTTCAGCTCAATTCGCGTGGGATTGCGACGAAGCATCGGTGGCGAACGTCAAGCGACCATCGGTATTGAAATTACTAGTAAACCGCTGGCTGGACCGGTCGTGCAATGCTCAGTCGTCCGATGAATAACCAACAAAGACAATTGAAGGGCTTCAGCGTTGGACGTTCAACGGGTACCCACGCTGCAAACCAGCTGAGCTGAGCTAGTCTCGTGCCTTATCCCTTCTCCGCTTGGTTTGCCGTCGGGCAGAACACACGCGGAATTTAGGATAATATACCCTGAACGGCCAATGTCTATGTGTCTGTGACTGGTCTGGCGTCTTGTCAGGGCTCCTCTTCATTCAGCGGCTGGTTGGAAGTAGTTCGAACTTCGATGTTGTCCTGCTTCGCGACGACGTTCACTCCGGGTTACCATCTCTCCGTCGCAAATTTTCTGTACCGTACATCCCTATGTTCCTCTCGTCGCCTCGCCTCGCCTGCAACCAACAGGCTTGCGGGAAATGGTCCAGCAAGCGCAGAGCCCGAGAGTCTTCTAGAGCAGAGCCTGATGTGCAGGAGGGAAAAATGGCAGGCATCGGGGAAGCCGCGCAGTGCGCGCCTAATCGCAAGCGGAGCCCTTGCCCACCGCGGGGACTGCTGGAGGGTAGATCCAAGAAACTACACGCAACAAATAGCTTCGAACTAGGAAATACACTCAATACGCGCAGCATTTGATTCTAATCATAAATTACTTCCAGCAATCCTAGTGCGGTGATGAGATGCTCTTTTCCACTTCAGATGGAAGTATATCAACACCGCTGGCCTTTATCTCGCTAAGAATGGGTACATCCTATATCCATTGTCAATCTGACCAGGGCTGGTAAGGACCATAGTTCTCCATACAAATACAATACAAAACACATCAATTTTGTGTAGCCCGTAACTATTTCGAGGCAATGCCAAATCTGGGATTATTGATGACTCTTCAGGCATCTCAGTCGATCTAGAGCCCCATGATAAAACCAGACTATAGACAGAAACCACATTACGTGGTATACCAAGCAAAGCAAGCAACCCTGATGTCATTTCATTGGGTGCCCCATTAGGAACTTTGTAGCCTGATTGACCGCAGTGAATTGGAGGTTGGGGCTTTCTTTCCTTTCAGGGTTACCTTACCAGTACACAGCCCCATGTTTGGGCTAATAATGATCTCCGAACTGAAAACACCCAAGTCGTTGCCCTGGGTTGTACATGAGGTGCAACATACGGTAGTAGAACAGATTATATTTACACATCAGAAGTACCATCAGGTCAGGAGCATTGCTGCCGAAGCATTACCAGCTCTGGAACCAAAGAGGCATCAGTCAACCTACACGCGAGCAAAGCTGACACCAGCGGGGCAACCAAGAGACGATTCTCAAGGCGCCTAAAAAATCCCATCAGCCTTGGTCCCAGAGAGGGGTCAACCTGGACTCAAACAATGCCAGCACGAGCAGCGGTGACATTGACAGCTGCACTGCAAGCAGCCCTCCCAGCCACATTGAAGGTGCCTCAAAAGTTTTTGTGGAAGGATCATCCGCCCTGGTCTCAGAGAGGGGAGTCATCCTGGACGCCAGCAGAGCCAGCACGAGCGGTGAAATCGACAGCTGCGCCACAACCTGCCCTCCCAGCCACACCACCACCTTCACCAACGGTGCACATTCGAGGGGCCGTAGGAATCAGCTTTGGTCCCAGAGAGGGGTCAACCTGGAAGCGAGGAGAGCCAACACGAGAGGAGAAATTGACAGCTGCGCCGCCACCTGCCCTCCCAGCCACACCACCACCGCCACCAACGCCGCTGTCCTATGGCAAAACATGGGCCCGGCAACCCACTAAACCGCACTCAAACCCACAACCAGCACCAGGCCTCTCACCCCCCCCAAGAACCACGCGACAAGCCCTGCAATCTGATACCCCCGCTGGTTCCCCCACATGAGGGCAAAGGTCAGCACCCCTAGCAACCGCTCTGTACCGATTGCTGAGGCACAGGAGACGAGGAGGAAGAGAACGAGAAGCACTGAGAGGATGGAGGAGAAGGACCGGAAACCGCCGGGGAAGAGCGAGCGGAAACGGAAGAGTGCGAAGCGGCAGATGTCGTCGACCCATTGGCCGAGGAAGACTTGTGAGAAGGAGAGAGGGAGGGTGAAAGGTTCCAAAGCGGCACGCCTGCTTTCTTGCGCTCGCTCTTCATCCTGCTGCTGCCAGCTGGCGCGATCCCATTCGTCCGCACGGTCCTCCTCCTGGTGACGTGGACGTGTGCGGCTGCTGCCCCTGCTGCCTTGCTTGCTGTTGCGCTCTTGCCAATACGAACGCCTGTGGCTATACCTGTTGCTATAGCTGTTACTATACCCGGAGCTAAAGCTATTGCTGTGGCTGTGTCTGTATGATCTCTGCGCTTCCCGTTGCTCCCAGCTGTCTGCCTCTCCCTGTTCTGGCTGCTGCTGCTGCTGCTGCTGCTGCTGTTCTCGTTGTTGTTGTTGTTGTCCCTCCTGGTGAGTGGTGTGTGAGCCGTATGTGGCGCTGTTTGCACTGTCAGACCAGGCATACGAGTGGGGTTGCTCTTGGCTGTGAGCTGCTGCTGCTCTTCGCGGCCGTCTTCCCCGCGACCGCATCTGAGCGTAGTTGAGAGGCCAGCGGAAAAAGGCCGCTGAATCCTGGGACGAATCCTCTGCCGCTGCTCCTGCTGCCCCTGTTCCTGCTGCTGCTGCTTCACCTGATGACTCTGCTCTTGATGCTGATGCTGCTGCTGAGAAGGGAGATGAGTGCATGTTACGAGGCCGGTAGGACGTGGAGGAGGGAACCCACCAGTCATCTGAGCCATGTGGTGGTGTAGCAGAGGAGTAAGGCGGTGCTGCTGACGCTGCTGCTGATGCTGATGCCGCTGCAGCAGCAGAAGGTCGTTGGTGCCGGTTCCAGTACGGCCGGGTGTCAGTCGCTTCAGCAGCTGCTGCTGGTGGTGGTGGTGGCAGGGTGAAGTCGTAGCGCTGCCGCTGCTGCTCATCTGATAGCACCTGCATGGTGAGAAACGGATGGGCAGGTGAGAATGGACAATGAGAGGACACACGGATGAGGTGATTGTTGCTGCGGGAATTGCTGTAGGTGCTGCCATTGGTGGTGGTGGCAGGGTGAATTCGTAGCGCTGCCGCTGCTGCTCATCTGATAGCACCTGCATGACAGCAAGTTCAAGAGCAACGGATGGATGGAAGCAACAAGTGATATATAAAAAGGTTTTTTGACGCGTCTCAACGTTGAATGCTTTTGAATCCTATTTAGCACAACATTGGGAATGCAGTGAAACATCTGGTACAACATGGCAGGTTTTGGAGAATTTTAAAAAATGCAGTGAAACATCTGGTACAACATGGCATCACCACCGGATTCTCTTTTGCCATGGTAAGGTAACGGAGAATCCCCCCCCCCCCAAGATGGTTACAACATTACCCCACGACCTCTCATCACCTCTCACAAAATTTCATCACCTCATAAGCAGCTAGAATAGCTCGGAACGCCTGGGTGGACTGGTGGTGACGTGACACGTCGGGGTGACACTGGGGGGGGGCAGGAGGGGGGAGAGAGCAAAGACTGCACAGGATGCAACGAGAATACACACATGGAGCGCTTGGGTAGAGAGCGCTTGGGTAGAGAGTAGACTGGTGGTGGTGGCATATGTCGGGGTGACACTGGGTGGACAGAAAGCAGGGAAAAAGGGAGAAAAGAACAGTGCAAAGGAAGGAGTACCAAGCTCCGGCAATCAGATTTGACATACACTCTCACAACAGCAACGGTACTCTTTATAAGAGAATGACAAACATGTTATGTATGATGGTGTCCCCAGCAGGTTTTTGAGAGTTAAAAAAAAAAAACATAAACGTTGTGTACAATGGTCTCACCACCATAAGCGTTCAGCTCTCCTTTTAAGCTCATCACCAACCCATTCCCAGGGCCGTACTCTGTACTCGTTACAAGGTCCAGCTGCCCCCACAAGTGCACAACCCGCTACAAGCACGGGACACTACCTTGCGTGCCAGCTGTCTGAAGGCGTGTTTTGAGTCGACTCAAAACACGGCACACTACCTACCTTGCGAGCCAGCCGTCTGAAGGCCGTCTTAATCTCCTGTTTACTGGCGTGCCGTGACACTCCCAAGGTCACATAGTGGTCCCCACCACCCGCAACCCCACCACCCACACACTAATTGTAGATGCTCTAGGAACATAGTACCTTGCGTGCCAGCCGTCTGAAGGCCGTCTTGATCTCCTGCTTGCTGGCGCGTCTCGACACTCCCAAGGTCACATAGTGGTCCCCCCCACCCGCAACCCCACCACCCGCATTGCTACCACTGCCCTCGCCCCTTCCACCCCAGTTCCCGCTGCCCTCCTCCCTGCCGCCCGCGTTTCTGCTGCCGTCTGATTGGCCCGCCCAGTTCGCCCGCCAAGGCCCTCCCCTCTCCCATTCCGCCCTGCTGTTTCTCCCCCTCTCGCCTCCCCTTCCCCCTCCCCCTCCCGTCCTTCCGCTTCCCCAATCATCGGCGCCTCCCCACCGTCCCCTCGCCCAGTTTCGCCCCTCCGCTGCCGACCCCCTCCCCCAGTCGTCCCCGCCCCGCGCCCCGCCAGCCGAGCGCGGGGAAGACTGGTTCCGCCCCCAGTCGCCCCCCCCATCCCACCTCCCGCTCCCCCGCCTTCCGCCAACCCACCTTCCGCTCCCCTTTCCCCAGTCCTCCCCTCTCTGCGCCCCCCCATTCGAGCGCGCGCGATCCGCGGAGGCGATGAATAGAAGCCGCTCAGGGGGGTTCCGTGAGTTCCGGCAGGGCGGTCGGGATCGACGCGCGGTCCGGGCCAAGAGGGTCGATGGAACTCGAGCGCTGAATGCGGGGAAATAGTAAACAGCGAATGGCCGTACGCCACGTGTCGAAAGGTCCTGACCGCCCGCTGACCATGGTGAGAGGAGCCGGGGGCGGAAAAGATCTGCGCCGGATGCGGGCATCGCGCGCGTGCGTTTGCGGAATCGAAGAGGGCAGCTTCCGCTGTCACGCGGAGGACAGTATTGAATGCGGCGAGCGCACGACCTCCGCAAACGACTCTTAATCACCTAATTGTCAACGTTATCCTTGTAGCATCAGGCTTCGTTCGTCGCGCCAATGCCTTCCTTTGCGCAACGCGCAAGCGTGAAGTATGGGGTGCGCTAGGAGCGTCGTCTCGCATGTCTGCTGTGCGCGCGCAACGCGCGAGCAACGCCTTGGTGAAGTGCGCGACTACTGAGCCGCATCCTCCACATTGCCAGCGATGTCGTTTTCGAATCATTCGTTTTCGTTTTTTGCAATGTGCGCGATATGAACAGTCTGTCCACACTTCTCCTATCTTGAGACGAGATATACAGTCTGATCTTGCGGATTTCAGGCGTACACACATGCGATGTACCATTTTATTTAGAAAACCACTTGTACATCCTATCATACCAGCGTACATTTTCGTGGTGCTCCTTGCACTCCAGATATATTCTAATGTAGCTCGCAAGCGGTCCCGTAAATCCCCGGCGGAAGAAGAATGTCTCCCATGCTTGTTGTAACTCTGGGCTCAAACAACTGATCAAATTAGAAAAAGATGTGGCAGAGAGGGACATGAGAAACAACAAGATGGGGATGGGGGGAGGAAGAGTAAACGTACAATATAAAAAAAGGTACTTTGCGGTTGTGGTCTCAGAGGGGAAAAGGATGGGAATGAAGTGCTGTGCCTCCAGAGTGGGAATGAAGGACCAGTTGCTGTGAGCTCAAAGGAACAACTTATAATGTTCAGAATAAGAAAGCAACTCACTGATGCAGCTGCCCATAGGACGGTATACGCCCTGCTGGAGCCTTGAAATCTGCTGATTCCACCCGTAGGATCTTCCAGTGGTAGTGCCCCAGCACCAGGCAGTGGCAATTGAGGAGAGTCAAGACGACAGCAATGATTAAGAAAAGTAGATACTCACTGATGCGGCTGCCCGTAGGACGGTATGCGGCCAGGAGGAGCCTCGGGATCTGCTGATTCCACTCGCAGGATCTTCCAGTGGTAGTGCCCCAGCACCAGGCAGTCAACCGTTATCATCGGGCATTGCTCCTCATGTGCCCCCCCTTCCTCATGTGCCCTTGCTTCACCCCCTGCAGCTGCTGCTTCTGTTCCTGCTGCTGCTACTGCAGGCATTACACATGCTGTTGATGTTCGCATTTCACCACCTGCTACAGCTGATGTTGAAGTTGTAACAGCTGCTGCCCGGGCTTCTGGCAATGCTGACGGTCGTTGCTGCTGTTTCTCACGGGGTTTGCCAAGCCTAGAGGGATGCTGTGGCTTCTGTGATCCGCCAAATGTAGGGGAGTGCAGGGTTCGATTCCGGCTGCTGCGGATGGCCTTGAGACTGCAGATGCTAACTCGCACGTGGATGGGTGTCAGATTGAAGCCCTGGTTCGTTTGCCACTGAATGGTGGAGAGGAGCGGCAGATAATGAGAGGATAAAGGAGATATTATTGATATTTTGCTAGCTGGTTTATTTGTTTTTCTCGAAGGGACAAAGGGCTGGCAAGGTGGAAATATTACAAAAAAAACATCCCGAGTCCAAGGTAGTGCATTCCTGTTTTGAGACGTCTCAAAGCTCGAGTTATGCTTACCAGAGAGTACAGTGAACACAAAGCAAGGAGTGAAGGGAACTGAAAAGGCGAGCCAGGAAGCTGGAAAATACATGATGGGCAAACCACAAACCTCAATCTCGATTGTGTTTACCGGAAAGTACCAAGCAGAAAAACAAGGAGTGAAGGGATCTGAAAGCAAGCCCGAAGCTGGAAAATACAACGCGGGTGAACCATGAATCAGGGGATCAAGAGGAAACGAGGTCATGTAATGGTGAACCCACCCACCTCAATCTCGGTCCGTTCATCCGTGTCCATCCCCTCCATAAGCTTCTCCTTCCACTGCCCCGACACCAGATCGTCCATTTTCACCCCCTCCACCCTCCCCTGCCTCTGCCACCTCCTCCTCTTCCTCTCCTCCTCACTCAACCCCCTCACTCCCCCCTCCCCTTCCCCTTCCCCCTCTCCCCCTTCCTCCTCCTCCTCCTCTGCTCCGCCTCTCAGCTCCTTCTCCTGTACAAACCGCGCAGTCAGCAGCATGTCCTCTCCGTCCTCCTCGCTCTCCCTTCTCAGCGTCAGCACCATCTCATGCCCGCTCGGCTCCAATCTAAACTTGGAGGGAGGGGGCTCCAGCAGAGGCTGGGGTTTGGGTGGTGACAAAGGAAGGGGTTGGGGAAAAATGAGCCCTGTTTTATCTCCTCGCCTCCCTCTCTCCGTCCTCCTCGCTCTCCCTTCTCAGCGTCAGCAGCATCTGATGCCCGCTGGGCTGCAGTCTGAACTTGGAGGGAGGGGGCTCCAACAAAGGCTGTGAGAGTGAGACAGACAAGGGGGAAAGAAAGGTGGAAGGAAGGGGTAAAAGCCGGGGAGGAGGAGGGGAAGAGGGGGTAAGTGGGGGAGGAGTAGCAAGCAGAATGATGTTCAGTGCAGACGCCGAGCTTACCAAACCTGTGGACGAGGCTGGGCATGTTGCTTGCTTGCCGTACATCAGGCATGGCGCTTGAATACTTCACGCTCCACATTCGAGCTTACCATACCGATTAACGAGGCTCGGACTTGGCAAAAGTTCGGCGTGAGGTTTGGCATGTTGCTGGCTTGCCGTACCTCGGGCATGACGCTCGGGTACTCCACGTCCCATGCCAGCTTCCGCTCGAAGCACTCGCGAAACTTCTCATTCGACCCTGGCGGGAACGTCGAGTACGGCACCTCGATTTCCCCCTCCTCCACGCGTCTAATCCAATCCCCCCGTCCTGCCGGATTCCCCTGTTCCTGCTGTGCGGGTACAGTCCTCCCCCAGTTCCGCCGTCCTCCTGCCGCATTCGCCCCGCCTTGCCATCCTAAGTTCCCCCGATCCGCCTCTGCTCCCGCCCTGGCGCGATCTTGCCACCCCCATTTCCCCGGGTCTCCCCGTCCGGCTGATTCAGCCCGCTCGTTCCGCGGAGTGTTCCCCCTGTCCCCTGGTTCTTCCCTCCCCGCACCCCCGCCTCTGTTTCCCCGTTCTCCTGTCCCTGGGCCCCAACGCCTGTGGTCCGGTTCTCCTGACGTGGCGCGATTTGGATTTCCCGGGCCACGTGTCCCGCTCGCGACTCCGCTCCCAACGCCTGCTCTTGCGCCTGTGGTTCTTCTGTCTCGATTCGGATCGCGCAATGAGCGGTTCGACACTCCGTCCCTGCCACGCTCGTCGCCTCTCAAACTGTCGCTTTCGCTGTTACCACCTGAACCACCTGTCGCGCTGGAACTAGAGTTACTAATGGAATGGATTGAGCACGCGTGAGTCTGCGACAGCAAGAGCGTTATAATCTGATCGCTGCATGGTGGTAGCGCTGCCCGTGATTTGCGGCAGAGAACGCGGAGCATGATGGTACTGACGATGGAAATTCCCTGGGACTCCGCGAAAGATGGCGAGAGGTGCGATCCTTCGCGGAATTGGGTCCAAAGAGGATATGAGTATTCGCGAATCTCGCTCACGGGTGCGACGAACATTTAGAAAACGCACATAGCTTTTTCGCTTGTAACCAGTTTTGCAATCTGGTTGGTGGCGGATAAACACAGCCCCGATTCTCTCCTTTCCAGCATCTGATTGGCTGGATGACGGCAGGTTGGGGCTGTGGACGACATGCGAACTTTTCGGGTGCATCACCAACTTGTTCGCATTCGCAACACACCCTCGAAAATGCCCTCCCCGAAGCTGTTTCTCGAGATTGTTCGCTGAATGTCACCCCTCGAGATTGTCGCGAGGTCCAACCAAACCAGAACGGAAGTCCCTGCCTGGTTCAGTGGTTCCTTCCGTTCAAGCACACAACCCAACCAACGTCTAGCGCGGTCAGGTACTGCCCGTTCCAGATACCGGACTTAGACCTACCTGCTTTCCAAGGTTCAGGGGCGTGCCGCGCGACCCTTGAGCCACTGCCTGTTGCTCAAGGCAACTGGACTGCTAATTCTTCGCATCCTTATTCAAAAGTTGCGGTGTCGCCCCTGCTACTTTATTTATTCCTTACTGTTTTCTTCGGCGTTCTTTTCTTGACATTGGGCATTACATTCTCGCGCTGCGATCATGAGAGCATTGAATCCGTTATGGCCGCTGCTTTTAGCAGCAGCTATTGTTCTCAGTAGCGCGTACGCTCAAGCTCAACTAGATGCGTCCCTTAGTTCCACGTCAGCAGACGCTCCTGCCAGCGCGCCCGCTCCCGCTCCCAGCTCCGTCGCAGCGCCTTTCCTCCCAGCCGCCGGCGATCTCCCCGCTACCGGCGATCTCCCCGCGGATTTCGGAGCTCTGCCGGCGGCCGACGCCATGCGTCAGTCGATAATCGGCGGGCCGGCAGATCTAACGGCCGTTAGCCGAAAGAACTGCTCGCTGTCCGTTCAGACGGATGTGGGAACCAACTGGGAGTTCGAGAACTGCGTTTACCTTCAATCGGGCGGCGGATTCACCTTCCATGTAATCACATTACCGTATAATCAGTACCTGCTCGCATCACTGAAAGCATAAGCACCTCGCGCCTTTCTTTCGTCTCTGTTTTTTGTCAGAAATGTTATTACTTTCTTTAGAGTGATCGTTGCGCTCCATTTGCTAGCCTGTCCTCGTGATCGCTTTCCCCCGTCTGGCCGCTTGTATCAGGTGATACAACATATATTTTTCGTAAATTTCGCCGTTCCCGCGTCCCCTTGTTCAGTCATCTCTCCTTGTTTCTCTCCCCAGTCCAATAGACACACGAACCCCCGCCACGCATCCTGGACTGTCCAATCTCTGCAATCGGGGAGGGTTGGGTGAGCAGGGGTATAGTCATGCTCCATTGAACTCCAATTTTTAATATGTGCTCTTTCCCCTCCTCCCGCTTCCCCTCTCCGTCGCTCCAGTGGACATACGATCGCCCCACCCGCATTCTCGACGGCGCGTTTTCGGCGGACTGGGACGGGTGGGTGGGGTGGGGCATAGGCGTGCGCATGGTGGGGGCGAGCGCGCTCGTGGCGTTCCGCGCAAGCGAGACGGAGTATTACTTCTCGCAGTACTACCTGGCCGATTACAACGCGAGCCTCATCAAACAGGATACAGGGACCTTGGATTTGGTTCCCAACAGTGTCAAGGTGAGTGGGTGGCTTGAGAGCTCGCCTCTGGCTGGGGGCGTAGAGAGTGAGCGAAGGCAAGTGAGACGGAATATTACTTCTCCCAGTGCTACCTGGCGGATTATAACGCGAGCCTCATCAAACAGGATACAGGGACCTTGGATTTGGTTCCCAACAGCGTCAAGGTGAGTGGGTGGCTTGACAGCTCGCCTCTGGCTGGGGGCGTAGAGAGTGAGCGAAGGCAAGTGAGACGGAATATTACTTCTCGCAGTGCTACCTGGCGGATTATAACGCGAGCCTCATCAAACCGGATTCTGGGAACTTGGATCTGGTTCCCAACAGCATCAAGGTGCTTATTTAATCGAGGTCTTGGGGGGCAGTGGGCCCGGCCTAGAGTCAGGGTCAGGGGACTCGCTCGCCCTGTCAGGCAAGGCGGAGAATTACTTCTCTTCTCGCACTACTTCCTGGCGGATTACAATGCGAGCCTGATCGAACCAGATACTGGGAACTTGGATCTGGTTCCCAACAGCATCAAGGTGCGTATTTACTCGAGGTCTTGGGGGGCAGTGGGCCCGGTTTAGAGTCAGGATCAGGGGACTCGCTTAGTCAGGCAAGGCGTATTATCACTTCTCGCAGTGCTACCTGGCCGATTACAACGCGAGCCTGATCAAATCAAGCCGGGCACGGGCAAGCTGGAATTGGTTCCCAACAGCATCAAGGTGAGTGGGTGGGTGGATTAGGGATTGGGGCCCCTGAACTCGGGCAGGCCAGAGTCGGGGGGCTCTCGCTCAGGGTTCAACGTATCACAGTACTACCTGGCGGACTACAATGCGCGCCCTGATCGAGCCGGATTCTGGGGAGCTGGAATTGGTTCCGAACATCATCAAGGTGAGTGGCTTGGGGTCTGAGGGTCCTGAACTCGGGCGGGCTAGAGCCGGAAGACCCGCTCAGGGTAGTACATATCGCAGTGCTACTTGGTGGACCACAATGCAAGCCTGATCATGCCAGATACGGGTGAGCTGGAAGTGATCCCCAACAGCATCAAGGTGAGTGGCTTGAGGGTGGGGGATTGATATGTGAGGTGAGGTCAGGGTGGCTTACCATGGGGTGGGGGTGGTGTAAACAGGTCAGGGTGGCTTACCATGGGGTGGGGGTGGTGTAAACAGGTCAGGGTGGCTTACCATGGGGTGGGGGTGGTGTAAACAGGTCAGGGTGGCTTACCATGGGGTGGGGGTGGTGTAAACAGGTCAGGGTGGCTTACCATGGGGTGGGGGTGGTGTAAACAGGTCAGGGTGGCTTACCATGGGGTGGGGGTGGTGTAAACAGGTCAGGGTGGCTTACCATGGGGTGGGGGTGGTGTAAACAGGTCAGGGTGGCTTACCATGGGGTGGGGGTTGTGTAAACAGGTCAGGGTGGCTTACCATGGGGTGAGGGTGGTGTAAACAGGTCAGGGTGGCTTACCATGGGGTGGGGGTGGTGTAAACAGGTCAGGCGAGGGGGGGTACTACGTATCACAGTGCTCCCCCTCGCAGTACTACCTGAGGGATCATAACGGGAGTGTGATTGAGCTGCATCAAGGGATCTGAACATGGTTGCCGGAAGCAGCATCAATGTTAGCGGTTTGGGTTCTTATGCCTGCCTTGGAGTCACGGGAGGGTTTTGAGACGTCTCAAAACACTTCTTCATACGCGCAGTTTGGGTTCTTATGCCTGCCTTGGAGTCACGGGAGGGTGAGTGGTTTGAGTTGAGGTCTGCTGGGGGGCGTAGAGTCAGTCAGGGGAGGCGGTCAGAGCACCGTACTGTACCATGTCAGGGGAGGCGGTCAGAGCACCGTACTGTACCATGTCAGGGGAGGCGGTCAGAGCACCGTACTGTACCATGTCAGGGGAGGCGGTCAGAGCACCGTACTGTACCATGTCAGGGGAGGCGGTCAGAGCACCGTACTGTACCATGTCAGGGGAGGTAATCAGAGCACCGTACTGTACCATGTCAGGGGAGGCGGTCAGAGCACCGTACTGTACCATGTCAGGGGAGGCGGTCAGAGCACCGTACTGTACCATGTCAGGGGAGGCGGTCAGAGCACCGTACTGTACCATGTCAGGGGAGGCGGTCAGAGCACCGTACTGTACCATGTCAGGGGAGGCGGTCAGAGCACCGTACTGTACCATGTCAGGGGAGGCGGTCAGAGCACCGTTCCATGTATGTCACTCACAGTACTGCTACCTGACGAGCTGCCATGCGCGTTTTATGCCGCCAGCCGGCAAAAGTCAGTCATAGTTGCGAGCATAACGTGTCATCAAGTCGTGGCTTTTGATGTGATTGGGACTGTTTCTAAGAGGCACAATCGGAGTCTTTTTATTTACGTCAATGTTAAAACTTTGTTTTGAGGCGCCACAAGAAACGATCAATGCTCATCAACCAAGGTGGTGTCAGACGCCTCTTGCAAGCCCCCCCCCCCTCCCACCTCTTGCAAGCCCCCCCCCCCTCACTGCGTACCCCTTCTTTGTGCCACTGCTCTCAGTAATGGTTTCTTTCCTTCTTTCTCCCATCTGAGGCGCATAACATATAAAAAAGAAGTAAGAAAAAACAATGCCTCAGGAACCTCCTTCAGAAACCTCCTTCACCTTGTCACTCTTTCGTTTCAGGTGCACGTTCACGGAACCATGGTGCGAGTGATGCTGTATAGCATATCAAACTGGATACGCACATATACACGCCTCAGAAACGTCCTTCATTTGTGCCAATCTTCCCTTTCAGGTGCACATTCAAGGAGCCACGGTGCGGGTGATGTTCTATGATATACCAAACTGAATATGTACACGCGCCTCAGAAGCCTCTTTCGTATTCATTTGTGTCATCACTCCATGTGTCAGGTGCACATTCAAGGAGCCACGGTGCGAGTGATGTTTGCAGTGGTGCTACCGGAGGGGCAGACGCCAGGGCTGTACGTCATCATGGCCAAGGGGCAGGGCGGCAACGGTGACACGGGGGCTTTGGAGCCCCACAGCCCCTTCCACACCGCCCGCACCTACCTGCGTTTGGCAGGTGAGGGTTCAGGGGTTCAGGTTCTGGGTTCAGTTCAAGGGTGACTGCTCAGGGCAGGTGAGGTGAGGGTTTAGTTTAGGCCCCACCGTGAAGGCGCACTCTCTATCGAGGCATGTGAGGTGAAGGTTTAGTCCCCCCCACCCACCCGTCGTTGTGTGATGTGAGTGATTTTTGCCATCTCGACCCTGTCTGTCTTCCTGTTCCCTTCCCCAATTCTACAGGTGCTGCCCACCCCCCCAGTGGTCGCAAGCAGCACACGGCCTTGTCAACCTCCTCGCCTGGGTCCTCCCCATCGGCATGCTTCTCGCGCGCCACCTCCCCTTACCCTCTTCTCTGGCTCTCTCCCCTTTTTGTTCACCCTTTCAGGTGCGGGACCCCCCCAGTGGTTGCAAGCAGCACACGGCCTCGTCAACCTGCTCGCCTGGGGCCTCATCCTCTTCACCGGCATGCTGCTCGCCCGGCAGACTCATCAATTCCCTTTCCTTCGTTCCCGTATTTTCCCCTTTGAACCTACAGGTGCCGGACCCCCCCAGTGGCTGCAAGCAGCACACGGCCTGGTCAACCTGCTCGCCTGGGGTCTCATCCTCCCATGCTCCTCGCCCGGCAGACTCATCAATTCCCTTTTCTTTGTTCCCGTATTTTCCCCGACCTACAGGTGCCGGACCTCCCCAGTGGTTGCAAGCAGCACACGGCCTGGTGAACCTGCTCGCCTGGGGTCTCATCCTCCCCATCGGCATGCTCCTCGCCCGCCACCTCCCCCAACTCGACCCCTCCGCCTCCTCCTCCTCCGCTTCCGCCTCCTCCGCCCCCTCCTCCGCGTTCCCCTTCCCCTTCCCCTCATCCGCCGTGGCGGTGGTAACCAGCGGGCCTGGAACACCCTCGTGGGTGAAGCTTCATAGGGTGGTGCAGGCGGGGGGGTATGCGCTGGGCGCGTTTGGGTTTTTTCTCGGGCTGCTCATGTGGGGGGATGCGCATGAGGGGCATGTGCGCCTCAGGGGCGTGGGGGGGGAGGAGGCGGGCGAGTTTGACCCGGGGGCGCACAGGCGGTACGGCATCACCCTCTTCGTTCTGGCCTCCTTCCAGGTGGGTTTGTTAGCGCGAACAATGAAAAGCAGCAGTATGTATCAAGGGAAGCAGCATAGGTTCTTTGTGAAAATCTCTACAGAACAGATAGACGCATGGGTTTCGTTGTAAACCTTCGCCGAGGAGGGTTTCTTGGTGATGGAGAAGTTACTCAGCGCTTTCAGCTGTGCTCGTGCCCTCCTGTGCTCATGCAGACATGGGCCATGCAATTCTTATGTCGAATGGTGCCCATTATTCAGGTGACTGCACTGATTTATGGTCCTTCCCCTTGAAGATGCTCTGTTGTCGATCTGGTGGAATCTGAGGCACCACTGGAATGGGCGGGTGGTGGTGCTGCTGGCACATCTATGTGTAACCACGGGCTTAGAATCCTCTCACAGAAAGGATGGTGCCCCCATGTCATGTGTACTTACTTGTGCTCATGTTTTCACATGATTCTTTCCCATGTATACCATGTGTTCCTCTGTTCAGGTGACTGCTCCCATGGTCATTCCTCATAAGGACGACGCGCTCCTTCGCCCCTGGTGGAACCTGCTGCACCACTGGAACGGCCGACTGGTGGTGCTGTGCTGCTGTCACGTCCATGTGCACTCACACGCCTATAACCGCATGCTGTCTCTTTGCCTGTGCACTCCTTGCCCTGTGTTCCTGTGTTCAGGTGACTGCTCTCATGGTCATTCCCCATAAGGACGCGCTCCTTCGCCCCTGGTGGAACCTGCTGCACCACTGGAACGGACGCCTGGTGGTGCTGTGCTGCTGTCACGTCCATGTGCACTCACACGCCTATAACCGCATGCTGTCTCTTTGCCTGTGCACTCCTTGCCCTGTGTTCCTGTGTTCAGGTGACTGCTCTCATGGTCATTCCCCATAAGGACGCGCTCCTTCGCCCCTGGTGGAACCTCCTGCACCACTGGAACGGACGCCTAGTGATTCTGTGCTGGCACTGCCATGTGTCTGCATGTGATTCTTTGCAATCTATGCCCTTCACTCCTCATGTGTTCAGGTGACTGCTCTCATGGTCATTCCCCATAAGGACGCGCTGCTGCGCCCCTGGTGGAACCTGCTGCACCACTGGAACGGACGCCTGGTGGTGCTGCTGGGAGTGATCAACGTGTGGCATGGCATCTCGCTGCTGCACCCGCACTCCATGGTATGCCGTCACTCAAGGTTGGGAGGGCAGTGTGCCAACGAAAATTCTTGGTCCAGAAAGGGCGATTGTACAGTTGATTGTACAACTGTTGCCATTTGCTGCTGGGAGTGATCAACGTGTGGCATGGCATGGCATCTCGCTGCTGCACCCGCACTCCATGGTATGTGCCGTCACTCGTGATTGGTCAGAAGGGCAGCAGTGCCAGAAAATTCGGTGGAGCGGAAAAGGAAGCGAGTAAAATGTTAGTGTTGCTGAAGAGTTCATATGCTGCTGGGAGTGATCAACGTGTGGCATGGCATCTCTCTGCTGCACCCGCACTCCATGGTAATACCCTCGCCCTCAGGCATGATTCTGTTTTGAGGCGCCTCAAAACAACACCCGCACTCCATGGTGGTAATACCCTCGCCCTCAGGCATGATTCTGTTTTGAGGCGCCTCAAAACAACACCCGCACTCCATGGTGGTAATACCCTCGCCCTCAGGCATGATCTCTCCACTCAGCGTTGCCTTCAGTCTGCTCTTGTATGTGTGGCATGGCATCTCTCTGCTGCACCCGCACTCCATGGTGTTTGCCATCCATCCTGTTACGGCATTCGCTTTGGTCTGCTCCTCATCATCGCATCGCTCCTCCAGGCCTTCACTGCACCCTCTGGATGTGGCTCATGGACGATGCACCCTCCCCCTGTTGCCCATCGCTGCTCGAGGCCTTCACTGCACCCTCTGGAAGTGGCTTATGGACGATGCCCCTTCCACCTTGTTGCCCTTTTTTCCCTTGTTCCCCCTGTCACTTTCCTCTCGACCAGGTGTGGTCCTTCCTGTACGGCATTCCCTTTGGTCTCCTCCTCATCATCGCATCGCTCCTTGAAGCATTCACCCTCTGGAAGTGCCATCACACCCTGCTGTTACCCCTGCCACTCTCCCCATATCCCCCCTGTGTCCAGGTGTGGTCCTTCCTGTACGGCATTCCCTTTGGTCTTCTCCTCATCATCGCATCACTCCTTGAAGCATTCACCCTCTGGAAGTGGCTTATGGACGATGCCCCCACCACCGCCTTCCAGGTAACTTCCTACTCCATGTTCAACACCACTCCCTACAAGCAGCTTCAATCCTCGCTCCCGCTTACTCAATTCTCATTTCCTTTCTCATTGTCATTCTCATCCCATAGTCATGAGTGTACATTTCATGTACTAACAAACATTCATTCCTTACGCGCCTACCTTTTCTGTATGCCTACTTACCATAACTAGCACTGGAAAATTTTTATTAGTTCGCCATACATGCGCGCGCATCTGTGCTGGCTAGCCTTCTTCCTGCCACATCCCCTTTTTTTTATCCTCGTTATGAGCAGCGCTGGGTACAGTCCATGGTTCCGGCGCACATGCATCGCCGCTACATGTCGCTCCACCAGGGAGCGGAAGCTGAAGCTCCTGTGGATCTCAGCGATGGGGAGATTGAATTCATGGCTTCCAAGTTCCGACAAGAGCTGGAATACAAATACATGTAGACTAAGCAAAGTGGCTGTGTCAGAGTCAGCATGTAAGCGTAGCGAGGGTGCGATTACCAGGGAGGTATTTTTACGTCTGATAATCCTCCAAGAATATTGGATGAACAAAATACATGAAGGAATCCTAGGGTCCGAACCAAACCTGTGATAAAACAGGGAAATAAGTATGGCCTACAACTGTGGAGTTTTGAGTTTCATTCGTGTTACGTCTATAAAGTGTGTCTAATTTCCAGCACTCATTCAAACGAGGAGGCCGATATCATAGCAACTGCCATTCCTGGATTCCACCCAATGGATTTCAGTTCAGCTATCTCCTCACACTACTTCTCGTCGACTTCCGCACTCCTCCAGAGGTTATTTCCCCCCATTCATCGGCGCCTTCCCCCCGGCCCCATGCTGCAGCGCGCCGTTTCCGCTGCCGGCATCGCATCGCCTCTTCGCGCCCCTCTCCTTTCCGCACCCCACCACCAATTCCGCTCCCCGCGCCACTTTCCTTTCCGCCCTCCCCGCCCAGCTTCCGCCTCCGCGCTTCTTCCCGCTTCTCTAGGTCCCGCGGGCCCCACTGCGCTTCGATTTTCGCCTTTCCCCGCCGTCCACCCTGCCCTCCTTCCGCACACTCCCAGCCTCCGCCGGCCCGCGCATTCAATCTCCGCCTCCGCGGCTTCCGCAGGTGAATCCATGGCGGAACCGGCGGCGGGCGCGGAGGGTGCGGCGGGCGCGGGGGTGGCGATGGAAGTGGAGGTGAAACTGCGGTTAGCGAATAAGGAGGCGCACGCGCGCGTCGCGGAGCTCCTGGCGGCCAATCACCGCGTGACACATCAGCAGGAGAACGTGTTTTTCGACGGGGCGAATGGCGAGCTGTGAGTGGTGATGGTAACACGTCCCCGTTACAAGTACATCAGCGTTACAAACATGCCACCTTTACAAGCTTGTCGCCGTTACACCCTTGCCCTCCTTCTCCTTCCGTTCTGTCCCCTTATCCCTCCCTGAATGCAGGAGTCGCAACCGCATTGTATTACGCCTTCGTTTCTACAACAGTGACAGCAAGTGCGTTGTGACTGTAAAGGGGAAGACTATAATGGCGGATGGCATCGGACGCTCAACTGAGGTAAGCAGGTTCAGTGTATCTGGACAAGTTGATATAGAGCAGAAAATAACAGATGCCGTTGGACGCTTCGCTGAGGTAAGCAGGATCGCGGGTTCGGTGTATTTGGACGATTGAAACTGAGTGATAGATAAATGGTGGGTTAACCTTTTTCTGAGAGTGATAGATAAATGGTGGGTTAACCTTTTTTCTGAGAGTGATAGATAAATGGTGGGTTAACCTTTTTTCTGAGAGTGATAGATAAATGGTGGGTTAACCTTTTTCTGGACAAGTTACAGAAAAGAAGTGGTACTGGACTGGCCATACATACAACAGGGAAGACTGTAGGGGATGGCATCGGTCGCTCCCTCCTCTGTTGAACAGATTCAGTGTATTTGGACAAGCAGTATTGAGAGCTCCTTCTTACAACTTACCGGTCACGCACGTTCCAGGGACCCGCCACTGCTCTTACACGTGTGATGAGCCCCTATCCCCGCCTCTCCGACACGCACTCACAGGAAGAAGAGGAGATCGAACCTGCCTTTGGCAGGGCATGTGCGGTGTGGAGGGTCCTTTTCTGCTGCAATCCACATCCACGCATCTCCTCTTTTCCTGTCTAACATTCCCGCTTTCTGCCATCCTGTGCTTGCTATCTGTCTCTCTGCACACCCACTCACAGGAGGAAGAGGACATCGAACCTGCCTTTGGCAGGGCATGCGTGGCAGACCCCTCGTTGCTGCAATCTGCATCCACGCCTCTCCTTGCCTCCCTGGTACGACTTTTCGTTGCTTTTAACCAAGTCACTTCAAAAGTCACCTTGAAGGGCATGTGTCAGAGGCAGGGGAGGGACCAGGGTCCCCTTGTTCGTTGCTGCAATCTGCATCCATTCCTCTTCTTGCCTCCCTCCCTGGTACGACTTCCAAGTCCCACTATTTCCGAGGCACCTCCAAAATCGACCCTGCCTTTGACCACCGGGCATGTGTGAAAGATTAGCTTTGAGTGAAACCCGACCCAAAATCGACCCTGCCTTCGACTCAAAACTAGACAATGCCTTTGATCACCGGGCATGTGTGAAAGATTGGTTTTGAGTCGACTCAAAACTAGACCCTGCCTTTGACCACCGGGCATGTGTTTTTTTTTTAGGCGCCTCAAAAGTCGTCCAAAATCGACCCTGCCTTTGACCGGGCATGTGTGAAAGATTCCTCACTGCTGCAACCCGCATCCACGCCTCTTCTCGCCTCCCTGGTACCAAGTCCGCCTCTCCCTACGCTTTGCAGAGCTGTTTTTCCTTGCAGAGATGTTTTTATATGCAGGGTTATTCTTGTTTATAGGGGTATTTCCTATCCCCCCCCCTTTCTCCCGACGCTTTGCAGGGTTGTTTCTCGGTGCAGACTTGCTTTTGTATGCAGGATTATTCGTGTTTCCAGGGTTCTGGTTTTTCGGGGACCTCATCCAGATTTCTTAGAATCTTTGCTTTAACGGTACTCCACCGTTGGATGACAGGTGATCGAGACGTCTCATCGAGACGTCTCATAACCAACCTTTTATCGAGACGTCTCATAACCAACCTTTTATCGAGACATCTCATAACCAACCTTTTATCGAGACGTCTCATAACCAACCTTTTATCGAGACGTCTCATAACCAACCTTTTATCGAGACGTCCCCCTACCCGTCCCCACCCCTTCCCATTCTCTCGTTTCCCCTCTTTCCTCACCCCATCCCTCACCACCCCTTGCAAAATTATCCTGCCCACAGTTTTGTGACTGGGATTTTGTGCTTATCACTTCCCCCCACCTCTCACCCCCTCTCAACCCCAACCCCCCCCCCCACACTTCAGCCTGCCCGCTTCTCCTGCCCGCAGTTCGTATGTCTGGGTGGGTTCCGCAACATCCGGACTGTGTTTGAGTGGCGGGGCAACACGATCGAGCTCGATGAGACTCAGGTGGGACATGGTGGTGTGTGATTTGAAGGGGTTGAGTGCGGTGCAGATGGAACGGCAGTTTGTGTGCCTAGGGGGATTCTGGAACACTAGAAGCGTGTTTGAGTGGCGGAGCAACACGATCGAGCTGGATGAGACTCAGGTGGGGTGCGGTGATGCGCAGATTGGGGGGGTTGAGTGCGGTGCAGATGGAACGGCAGTTTGTGTGTCCGGGGGGGTTCTGCAACACTCGGACTGTGTTTGAGTGGCGGGGCAACACGATCGAGTTGGATGAGACTCAGGTGCGTCGTGGTGGTGTGCAGATTCGGGGGGTTGAGTGCGGTGCAGATGAATCAGCAGTTTGTGTATCTGGGGGGGTTCAGCAACACTAATAGTGTTTTTTAGTGGTGGGGCGACATGATCAAGCCAATGAAACTCATGTGGGACGTGGTGATGTGCGGCAAGGAGGGGTCGAGTGCGGTGCATTTGAAATTACAGTGTGTTTGAGTGGAGACACAGCTTGGATGCAGCAGAGCAGTCGAAAAGGCAAGCAAGCAAACAAACAAACAAATGGTGTGCATCTCTGTTAAGAAGTTTTGGGGCGTCTCCTTGTCCTTTCAAGAAGTAAAAAACCGTGTTTTGAGTCGACTCAAAACATGTGCATCTCTGTTAAGAAGTTTTGGGGCGTCTCAAAGTCCCTTCAAAAAAATGATGGCTAATGTGCATTTTTGCGGCGTCTTAAAGCTCGCGGCCCAAATTGCGGAGCGCGCGGAGCAACCTTAGTAATACTGACAGGGAAGGTTGTGTGAAACCAAACTCAAAAGTCGAAAACACACCTTGCGTAAAAAACCACCTGAAAAACACCTGGGTTGACCTTACTAAAGTAGTGCAATTTGGGCCCTGAGCTTTAAAGCATGTGTTCTGTTGCTGTACTGTGTGCTGTGCACTTGTGTGCTGCGTGTGTGCCCAACCCAATTTATGCACTTTTCCGTTTTTAGCACCTTGTCTTTGGTACTTGCAATACACTCATATTCTGAAAGTGCCTTAAAAGCAGTTTGGCACACAGTATGTATTCATGTGTTCGCCCTTTTGTGTGCCTTTGCCACCAAGGCTTCGATTGGGTTACATCCACCCTTGTTGTGCCCCTTGCCCTCTTTCTGCAGTTTGCCTTTCAGCAGGTTTCCTTCGGCACACAGTACGAGATTGAGTGTGAGACGAGCCAACCAGAGCAAATCCATTGTACCATATCATCCTGTCTCACCCTTATCATCCTGTCTCACCCTTATCATCCTGTCTCACCCTTATCATCCTGTCTCACCCTTGTTGTGCCCCTTGCCCTCTTTCTGCAGTTTGCCTTTGGCACACAGTACGAGATTGAGTGCGAGACGGGCCAACCAGAGCAACTCACGTATTATCATCCTGTCTTGCTCTTGTTGCGCCTTCCCCTCCTTGTTGTTCCCCTTTCCCTCCTTGAGCAGTTTTCCTTTGGCACACAGTACGAGATTGAGTGTGAGACGAGCCAACCAGAGCAGCTCAAAGCAGAGCTGTAAGTTGGTCGCACAACCTCCCCCTCCCCTCTTCCCTCCACCAAGCCCCCCCCCCCCCCCCCCCCCCCCGCGTTTTGTACTCTCCGTATCCCCCATGAGCCTTTCCCATTCTTGAGAACCTTTCCCATTCTCTGAAGGCCCTCGGTATCCTCTCCACTCTCGCCCCCTCCCCACCACCCCGTTTTGTTGTTTCCATCATCCCCTTTCCCCCCCAATGCTACCCCCTCATCCATTTCCCTAAACACCTCAAACCTTCCCCCCCTCAACCCCCCCCGACACCCCCCCCCTTTCCTCCCTCACTGACTTTTCCCTTATCCACAATGTCCCCCTTCTCCTCCCGATTTTGTGCGCTCGTATTGGATGGTTGCAGGGGGGAATTTTTGCAAGAGCACAAAGTGCCCTTCAATAACAGCAGCAGCACCAAGTTTGGCATTTTCCGGGCAGGGAAACTGCCGGAGTACTGATTGTTTTTCTCAAAAAAATGGCAGAGCCTGCTAAAAGACGGCAGCCCAAACGACTTCAGCCCAGCTGCTTTTATGGGTGTATTTGTGACGTCGTTTGCTGTCTTTAATCATAGTGCTATAGTTGTACACTTAGTTCGTACACTTACTGCACCTTATAAAGCCTGGATGAATCATGACATAATGGGTCATGGCCCATGACTCATGGGAATCCACATCCAGTACTTAAAACACGCACGCATTCCTAAACTTGCAGAAACGAGACTCTGTGAATCCATTGAACTCGCGGCATGTGGCTTTAGAGTCGACTCACAAGTCACCTGGAAACATGCACGCATGCCTACACTTGCAGAAACGAGACTGTGAATCCATTGAACTCGCGGCATGTGGGCGGCAGCAGCAGAGAATTCTCCTTCAGACAGCCCTGAAGCTCCAAAGCAGTCACAGGCATCGCATACACGTCCTCTGCATGGCCCTTTGCTCCCCACTCGTCTGCTTCACTGTGGGATGAGAGTTGGAGCAAGGGAAGTGGTGGGCGGAATGAGGAAAAAAAACTTGAAAGCAGTGACAGGCATCACATACACGTCCTCTGCATGGCCCCTGGCGCCCCACTCGTCTGCTTCACTGCTCAAAACAACAGTAGAGGAGGAGGAAGGAGGAGAGGGCAATGTGATTCCTCGTTCAAACAGCCCTGAAGCTCTAAGGCAGTCACCGGCATGACACACACGTCCCCTGGCGCCCCACTCGTCTGCTTCACTGCTCAACACAGTAAATGGGGAGGAGGAGAGGGTAATGAGAGTTCTCTTGCAGACATCTCTCTGGAGATCCCAAGGCAGTCACAGGCATCACATACACGTCCTCTGCATGGCCCCTGGCGCCCCACTCGTCTGCTTCACTGCTCCACACAATAACGGGGGGGGTGGGGGGGGAACAGGAGGGGGCAATGGGCAATGTGAATTGTTGTGTGCACACAGCAGCCAAGACAATGCAGTGACAGACAGGCATCACATACACGTCCTCTGCATGACCCCTGGCTGCCCACTCGTCCGCTTCACTGCTCAACACAGTTGACGAAGGGAGAAAACAGGTGAGCGCAATGTGAAATATCGTGTGCAGCAAACTCCGACGCTCCAATGCAGTGACAGGCATCTCATCACTTACACATCCTCTGCATAGCCCTTGGCTGTGGGATGTGTGCAGGGAGGGAATGGAAAGAGGGGTGGGCAATGACTAGGAGAGGGAGAAGTAGCAAAGCAGTGACAACTGCCATCACATACACGTCCTCTGCATGGCCCTTAGTTGCCCACTCATCTCCTTGACTGTGGGGCATGCGATGTGTGAAGTGACTTTTGAGTCGACTCAAAAGTCACCTTGATTGTGGGGCATGCGATGTGTGAAGTGGGGAATGAGAAGAGGAGAAGCTGTGAGGATCAAACCAGACTTCCGAACCACTGTGGTGAATGATCTGGACGGCTAAAAAATAACCTCCAAACAGGTGGTGAACCGTGACCAGGCAACGCAACTCACGTGTGGCATCTCACTCACCGTGTGGCATCGCTGTCAGCAGCAACAGCCTTGCACATGAGCTTCACCACTCGCCGCAAGCCACCCTCCTCCCCCATTTCCTCCCTTTTTACTTGCTCCTCCTTCACTTCCTCTTCATTGCCTTCCTCCTCCTTCCCTTCCTCCTTCTCCCGACCCTTCTCAGAGTCCCAGCATGCCCCCCACCCCACGGCTGTGTGAGCACTGAGCAGCACGAGCAGCAGGAGGGGGCGGTGGGAGGTGACTGAGCGGAGGACCAGACGGTTTGGGGCAGAGGGGGTGGCGAGATGAACGGAGAGGAGCGAGGAGAAGCAGGTCGAGAGGGAAGGGGAGGGCCTGAAGCAGGGGGGGAGGTGAGGACGGGGGAACAGTGGAGTAAGAGGAGAGGAGTTTTGAGGGGGGAATGCGTAGACGGATTCACAGTAGGCAGCACGAGCAGCAAGAGGGGGCTGTGGGAGCAGACAGAGCGCAGCCAAAATGACCAAGGGAATGAATATTACCATGTTGAGGAGGGACCTGCGGCCTGTGCCACTCGTTCTTCCTTCAATCCTGCCTCACCAGAACCGTCTGTTGGGTTTCCCTTCAGTGGGTCTTTGCTGATCGCAGCTGCTGAAGCTCCACCAGCTGCTGCTACAACCGTGCTGTTCGCTGCTGACGTCACGGCCTCCTCTGATGACATCATCGAGTGGTCTTGGCATGGTGCACATACATGCGATGTATGAATCGGCCGTGCATCCACCCTGTGCGGCTTTTGAGAATTCTCAACAGTCGCACCAGATGGTGCACGTGCATGCGGCATGTGAATCGGCCGTGCATCCACCCTGTGAAGAAACAGATGCTCCACACAGCGTGTCCGCCTTGCCTTGGTTCCTCCTTCTCCTACCACTCCTCGCCTTACTCCTTCACCTTCACTTCTTCCAATTTTGGAAATTCCACTCTCCCCTCCTTCCCCCTGCACCCCTGCACTTCCACCTTCCACATTCCTCCGTGTAACCACTGCTTCTGCCACCCTGTCCCTGCCCTTGCTTCTTGCCCCAACCACCGTGCCACACCCCCCACACGCCACTTCCTGCCAGGGCCCCCCCTCTGGCACTAGATTAGGCACCAGAAGCTGTTCCTGTGCCCCATACTCCTCCGCTTCATACCCCTCCGCCTGCTGTCTCCCTGCCATACTTTCCCCTTGACTTGGTTGACTCGGTTGACCTGCTTCATCACAGAATGGCTGGTCTGCTTGTAGCGAGCACTGAGAGGCTTGTAATGAGTCGCTACTGTTGAGAGCGAGTCTCTCCATGTGGGAGGCAATGGCAGCAGTGCTGGTCACATGGACCTCATTCGGTTGACTTGATTGACTTGCTTGGCCCGGTTGACTTGGTTGACCTGCTTCATCACGGCGAAGTGGGTCTGCTTGTAGCGAGTACTGAGAAGGGAGTGAGTCCGCGCTGTTGAGAGAAAGTCTGGTGACCTGGACCTGACTCGGATCAGGTGGTGATTTTTCAGTTGAATCAGTTGACTTGGGGTACGAGGAGAGGAGGGCGAGGGAGGTGTGGGAGAGGAGGCAGGAGGAGGGGGAGAGGGAGCAGCGGAGGTGGAGGGAGTTGGCGACGTGCTGGGCGTGGGCTGCAGCATCAGCGCAGCACTCTGCCCCGCAGAACCACTGCTCTGCCATCTCGTCCACATCCGGTGACGGCATTGGGGCGAATTTGCTGCTTGGAAGGGGGGACAGGGGAGGGATGGGGGTTGAAGGGGGGAAAGGGAAGACAATGAGAGACCAAGCAGCACTCTGCCCCGCAGAACCACTGCTCTGCCATCTCGTCGGTATCGGGCGATGGCATGGGTTGGAAGGAGCTGAATGGAGTGGAAGGGAGGTAGGCACACAGCGGAAACAAAAGGGTGAGGTGGCGGGTTGCAGCATCAGCGCAGCACTCTGCCCCGCAGAACAGAACCATTGCTCTGCCATCTCGTCAACATCCGGTGATGGCATGGGGGCGAATGAGCTGCTTGGAGGGCGGAGGAGGAAGGGGACGAAGCAGGGCGAAGGGGATATGATGAGAGAAGAAGCAGCCCTCTGCCCCGCAGAACCATTGCTCCGCCATCTCGTCAACATCGGGTGATGGCGTGGGGGCGAATTTGCTGTTGATTGGGGCGGAGTGAAAGAGGGCTTAGGGAGGAGGGGATGATGAACTAGGGAAGATTACACGAGAGAATAAGAAGCACTCTGCCTGCCCCACAGAACAGAACCACTGCGCTGCTGGCATCTCGTCGGGGTCGGGTGAAAGCATGGGTGAAACGAGTTTTGAGGCGCCTCAGAAATTAAGCACTCTGCCTGCCCCACAGAACAGAGCCACTGCGCTGCTGACATCTCGTCGGGGTCGGGTGAAAGCATGGGTGGAACGAGCTGGATGCAGGGGGGAGGCGGGAAGGCGATGAACCAGAGTAAAGGGGAAATGATGAGAGAAGAAGCAGCACTTGGCATTGCGTAACCACTGCTCTACCGTATCATAGGCGTCGGGTGGAAGCATGGGGTGGAATGAGCTGAACGCAGGCGGGAGTTTGGGAAGGCGGGAGTTGGGAAGGCGGGAGTTGGGAGTGGGGAAGACGACGGGCTGTAGCAAATCGCCCAAGTGAATTGCTCCCTCTTACCTGAGTGGATTGCCGGTCAGCCGGTGGCGACAGCGACGGCAGTACAAATGGACTGGTGCCATGGCAGACAGGCAGGCGAGGAGAGCGGCTGTAAAGAGAGCAAAAAGAGGGAGCATTTGAGATGGTGAATGGCGGGGGACGTGAAAAGGTGCTGTGCAGCTGCACCGGTGCCATGGGAGAGAGGCAGGAGCGGAGATGCGCTGTGAGGAGAACAAAATGGGTAAAACGCGTGGGGGATAGAAAAGGTCGCGCGCAGATTTGAGCAGATGAATTGGTGAACTGGTGCCATGGTAGAGAGGCAGGAGAGGAGATGCGCTGTGAAGGGAGAAAAGAGAAACCGAGATAAGGAAAGAAGGGGGTGTGAGCAGATGAGTGCAGATGAACCGGTGCCATGGCAGACAGGCACGCGAGGAGTCTCGGTGAGAGTGAACAGGGGAAAGGAGTTGATGAAAGGGGAAAGGAATTGATGAAAGGGGAAAGGAATTGATTCGAATGGGATGCACGAGTACAGGTGGCTCGTGGCAGTGTGGCAGATGGGCTGGAAGGCTGGATGAACAATCTTTGCGGCGCCTCAAAAAGACGACTTTGAGGCGCCTATTGATGGGATGCATGAGTACAGGTGGCTCGTGGCAGCGTGGCAGATGGGCTGGAAGGCTGGACGAACGATCCCTCCAACGTTGCATAGATGAGTATTACGGAGGGAGGGTTTCGGGTTTTGGGAGTTCAGGGAGGGAGGGTGCAACGAGGCCATACGGAGCGAGGAAACACAAAGAAGATGAGGTGAAAAGTACTAAGTGCTACTCACGCACGTGACCAGCCCT